ATCTGGCATCCGCACGCGAAGGATCGCTTCCATCAGCACCAGGTTCGCCAGATGAGATGGTGCCATTGCTTCTCAGGATATCCAGTAATCTTGCAAGGGCGACTTTGAGGAGAAAAACGTATTGCTGAAGCTTGGATATGTGAGTAAATGGTGTGAGGCCGTCTGTTTTGCCTCCGATACATGTTGTGCAGTAAATTTTGCGTTCCAGCGAGTTGAGGAAAGCTTCATTCAGGACGCGTCCAAGCTCCCGCTGGCAGCGGGAACAGTTGACACAGTTAATGTGCCACCGCATATCGCCGTTTTTAGCACACTCGTCTTCCACCGATCTTCCGCACTGGGCGCAATGATCCGAGTCTTTAGCTGAAAGCCGCTTGCCTCCCATGGTCACTTGTAGAAGACCCTCGTCGCCCTTGTAGCTCTCAAAATCGTTCAAGTCGTCTAAAAACTGATGAAGGCCATCGCTTGTAGTCGCTTCTCGCTCCAGACGCAATGCCCCCTGAAGGCAAATGCGGATTAATAGCTTCAGGTAGTGGGCTAAGCCAGTGACGAGGGACAGGAGCTCTTGAGTAACACCAAGCTGTCGGGAACCATTATCTTGTGTTTTTGAAAGCAGAGAAAAGAAGGAGACAATCTTCTTGCAGAGAAGCTTAGCTTCACGGCCATACGACATGCCTGTGAAAAGAGTCATATTAGCGTCAAGCCATTCTTTTAAGTTTCGTATTTGCAGGACCCAAACGCCTTGCTTTCACTTTCTCTTTTAAGACTTACCTTTCTCATTTTGCCTTGCGACAGCGGCGTCCAGTCTGTCCGCGGACTGAAAGAGAATTTCGACGTGCCAGATGAAGCGTTTGGCTACCAACACACCGTCGATGTACGAAGCGTTGCTAACGTGGAGCAGCATATCGGATATACACGCTGCAGAGGACTCCTCAAACGTTGATAATACGCTCCATATCCTGAAAACCTTGTCCTCCATGCGTTCTTCGTCTTCCCGAATACGGTCCCTGTCGACATCGCTAACCTCGCCTTCTTGGATCTGCGGCGCTTCAGTGGGCTGAGCTAAACGCACATTCCAAAACTTGTGTATCATATAGCACTCGGGATGCCAGTGCTGGTTCTGCCCATTGCGGAAAATCTCCACAAACTGCTTGAGGATAGCCGTCTGGCAGCCATTGCATCGCTGCGCAAACTGAGTGGAGTAGTGGTAGTGGCAGTAGACGTTGCTATCATGCTCGTAGTAGCTGTCTTGGGCGCCAAAGACGGTCGCGCAGAGTGAGCAAGTAAAATGATCAACGTGATACTTGTGCTCGAGCGCGGTTATGTATGACCCGCGAAGCGCCCCACCACATTTATGGCAAAGGAGGCCAAGTCGTCGAAAGTAATCAGTTTCGCAAAGGGGGTATTGATCTCCATTTTCATCTTCTGCGGGAAAGAATTTGGATGCTACGATATCGCCACAATCCTGTCAAGCGAAGTTAGTACACCTCGCGATAGAGAGGTGGTAAAGTGGGGAGGAGAAAGGGGATGAAAGAGAGGGGGGAGCATTACTCGACACTTGAAGCAATCCAGATGAAATGTTCCGTCCAAAGCCCGAACGAACTGTCCGGTCAATTGCAAACCGCACTTTTTGCAAACTCTCGTCTGCGCACTAGTAGATCGTCCTCCGTTTCGCGGTCGTGGGCGGCTCACATCGCTGCCGTTTGAAGGATCCTCTGCCCATCCTGAGGGCGGTAGGGGGCTGTTAGGACCTGCCACTGTCGGGATAGGTGCTTGCGAAGATCCGTTTTGCCAGCCTCCGTCTGCGTGGCGCGAGTCTGGTCCAGCATGCTCATTCGTACGATCGTTGGGGCCCCCCTCCGGGGCAACAACCACAGGCGGTGCGTTGCTGTGGTCGGTTGCCATGGCGCAGAATGCGGCGGATTTCCTCCCAAACGCGTGTTCCTCTTTCTCAATCTAGGGGACCAGTATGATGATTCTGCCCCGTCTCAACGCCCAGTGTCTAGCAGTCGTCGGCGAGGGGTAGCGGCAACGGCCGGCATCAGCTGGGGTGGTTCTCGTAGATGGGATCGATCTCAATTGGAAGCAACGCCACGGCTCCAAACAAAGCGATGCGCGACAGCGTGCCTCAAGCAGCTCACAGCTCAAAGCAAGGGGCGGCCGGTAATCGCGTGACTGTCCAGCAACGACGGGTCGGTCTTCGTCTGGAACAGATGGTCGGAGCGAAAGTAGATGAGCTCGAAGAGGATCGTGGAGTGCTGAGCTGGGAGAGTTAAGATCCGCGTAGTAGCATGCGGGTCGTCAACATGCACTATATGGAAATGGCGGGGGGGGACGACGCCAGCGCCAGCACAGGACGGAGGAGGGGGTTCAAGGAGAGAGAAAAGGTCAGCTCCTGTGAGAGGCAGAAACAGCCCGCGATGGTAACAAAACAGAGAGAGTCAACCTGTAGATTCTCACAGTGGACGAGAGCTGGGCTGGCGCACTTTGCTGGACTCACGGGACTGGGGGGCGGTCGAGGGTGTGCTGACAGCGCGTGGAGTCGCTGTGGTTTCTGAGGGGCGGCTAGTTTGGGTGCAATTTCCAGGTCGCCTGGTCGCTGATGGGCGCTGGCGCTGCTGTTGGCTTGGGCCTGGGCCGCTAATTGTTTGGGGTGCTCTGATGCTCCGTGTCGGTACCACTGTACCTGGCGTCGGCGTTGCAGAGAGCTGAGGGGGCGCGCCAAAGGGGACCAGGTCGGTGAGTACCCTTTACTTTGTTTGAGCCGCCTGGACGCTTCCCACGCAACCAAGCAGCACGGCAAGGCATTATGACGCGGGCCTCTATCGCGGGTACGAGGCATGTACAGGCATGTGCTTTGCAGGTACGAATGCAGCAGTCATTTTGGCAGCGCTGCTTTAACCCTCATCACAAGTATTGATCTGTAAGCTCTCTCTCCCCCTCTTCAAACGAGGCGCACTTCGTCTCAGTTCGCTCAACTGCGCCACATCTGGCAGTCTCCAGCTCCCCATGTCTAGGACCTGCAGTAGGGACTGCCTCTCTCCCCGGCACTGGTATCCCAGATGGCAGGCGGATGAGTAAGGTAAGCAGACCGAATCACACGATCAGCCTACCTGTGTTTGGACGCATTCTTCGTATGCAGAGTATCGTATCAGCCTTCTAGGCGAAGGGTAAGATACGAACGGGTAAGATACGATATATGGAGCAGCTAAAGCTACTATACGTAAGGCTGAATTAGCTTCTATGGATAGCTGTACAGATGGGCGGCTGTGAGCTGAATACACCACCGTAAGTGTGAGGAGGCTCATAGACTCTTCAGCCATTGATCTTATCCCCATGTACCTTGAGATGTTGAAGAGTAGTAGAAAGCTTAGTCCCCTTTGAGAGGTTTGTTCACGCCGCGTGCGCCACACGGGGGCATTCCGTCCGTACCTGGCATCGTTGCATTACGCCGTGGCTATTTTTACTTCTGCATCTGTCAGTGTTTAGCCGACGCCAGTCGATAGCAGCAAAGTCTACTCACCATTAAAACATTCTAGAATGCTTTCTCATACTTTGCGTTCAACTTACCCAGTACATGGGTTCTCGTCCGACTAGGTACAAACAGCATACAAGAAGTCGACACAAAGCTCAGCGGCATATACTAACACGACGTACAAGCGCGCTCATCGGCCAAGCTGTTTCAAAACCGTTATAAAGCCCCCTCACGTTGACAGTTAGATTTTGATATTCATTACGATTACGGAGCAAAAATATAGCCGAGATCAGCCCGGTCGAGATAGGCAACCCGGCCCGGGCCACCAGCCCTGGCTCTACTGAGCATAAGCATAAAAACTCTCTCGTATTTCTGTCCTGTGTCCTACGGAGCGCGATCCCCCATGCAGTAGGTACGAGTAGACTTTGCAGAGCATTACAGCGAGTGCTTTTCAACCCATAGACAAGACGGTCGATCAGCACGCCATAAGCGCTGGGTTGGCGGGTATTGACAGTCGGATAAGGGGCTCAAGCTCAGCAGCTTTTATAGCTTCCGTGGCGACTTAGCTCCCTCAACAACTTGCCAAGAACGTATCCATTCTCAGCCATGGCGGCTGTCCCCGTATTCAGCCTCCAGTCGCCAGCATTTCTCCGTACCGTATCGCCAGGAACCATCTGCATAACGCACAGCTCCTTAATTGCCAGGCCAGGGCCCTGTGGCTGGAGCGCTTCATACATGTAGCGGCAACAGCACTAGCCCCGATGCGTCCATCTCTTGTAAACCGCCGGTGACCTCTTGGGCCAAAATCGCCATGCCCAGCAAGTACTGCGCATGTACCTATCATCAGTCATATTTCTCGGCACCTGCACGGCACTGCAGTGTTTGATGCGCAATCTTGCGCGCTTATTACGCTTAAGGAGGCGGTTTGGCTGGCGGTATGACTCCTTACACGTACCCTGTCCACCTATGACGTCCTTTGCAGCCATAGACTCGGTACATCTAACGCCGTTGGAAGGTACATTGCGAAATCTCGGTGTCTTGCTATTTAAAGATTTCTGGTTCGATGATAGATTAGATACTGTGCTGCAGTTTACCTCGTATCTACGGGTATGGAGTAAGAATGAATTGCTGCTTCTCCAAAGGACGCTTCATTTTTTTTACAGAAACCTCAGCTACGGGGCCACAAGAGACTTTTCCTGTCAGGGGCAGCCGTGCTGAAAGTGCTGGATTTTGTCTAGCAGCTCCAGCTACCGCAGCGCTGTAGCGGAGCCATGGCGATTCAAGTCCCGCTCTCGTGCTTGATTGGCCCAACCCATTATCGCCACTGTATCCGTAGCTTTTGCTGAAGAAGCTGTATTTTGCGAGACTGGGGCAAACACGACCAAACTGGTGAGAAAATGGCTTCAATTAAATCATGGTACCTATCCGCTGAGAGCCAAAAACGATACTACGAGTACATACTACTACCTGCGGCATACATGTATTCAAAATTTTTATCCAACCATTGAATTGCCAATAGCTATCAGGTAACGTGGCGTTCCCAACTCCAAATTCGCCTTTTTCCACCTCCGAGGGCTTGTCCTTGTTATTTTTGTACCATCTTCTTCAGCCTCTTCTCAATCTTCTCTCGACCCTCCAGGGTCCGCCAGACCTCATGAGGTGCATCGTCCACGATATCCCAGTGCTGAAGCTTGTCAGTCAGCCTCGTCAGGTCCCGCTGCTTGGCTGACCACTCATCGCTCGCCTTGACCCTGCGCCCTGAGCTAATCACAACCAGCGGCGTGTCCCTTTCCTGAATCTGCCTGCTGCTGTCGACGTCTCGCTTGGTGAAGGAGTTGAGCACCAAGCTCTCCTGCAGCTTGGCGAAGATGAATTTTCCCGTCTGATATGCAGACCGGCCATAGATCCGGTCACGGCTAGTGCGTCCCTTGAATATCGCGCCCGGAATCCGGTCCAGCCCAAGCGGCGAGATGACGCCTCTCAACCACAGCCAGAAGCCTCGGCCTGGCGCCGCACCGGGGCCCAGCAGATCTTCGTGCAGGGGATCGATCAACAGCAAGCCCCGAACATCGTGACTGTGGCGAGCTGAAAAGACTCGCGAGTACAAGGACCCGATTCCTGCGCTAGCAAGAACAAAGGGCCCGCCCTCCTCTGCTTTGGCCAGCGCCTCGCTCAAGGCGTCCACGACGAAGCCGGCGGACGACGGCGATGGGGCGGTATCCGACCAAGCCAGTCCCGGACGGTCTGCAAAGCAATAGCGAGAAATAGACCCATTCTTGACCGCATTGTCTGCAAAGCCCCATAGGCCGTGTTCGACCGGCCACTCACCTCCCTCGAATAAGACTGTTGTGACCGTCTTGCCATTCTCGTCCGTCTTGTTCCCTTGGCAATACAGGTGGATGCGATACTTTTCATTGTCAACCCAATACAGCTTCCCTGGAGGAGCGACCTTTGCATCCAGAGCTCGGAGAATGATGGCTAGGGTTATCAGAGCAACGGCCACAACCATCACCGAGTAACCAATGGAGGAGAGGAGAACCTCGAGCCATTCTGTGAGGCTTTTCCTTGATTCCGCGCGTCCAGTCAGCCTTTCCTCCTCCTCTGCCTTGCCCCATTGGACAGTTCTGTCGGTGATTATGGACCAGAGGCTCATTAAGAGAGCCCAGATAACGCTGGCAATTCCAACCCATCCTTCCTCATACCTCGTTTTCTGAACAGAGGCAAGGAGGATCGCATCGAGCGCAAGAAAAGCCTAGGACGAACATCTTTTAGCGCCCATTGAGTTATGGTCTATGACAGTGTCTGGTACTTACGGCAATTACGATTGCAAGTATTCTTACTGACTTGGATGGCACTCCAAAGAATAACAGCGTGAAGAACATATTCAGCAATGTCAAGCTCGTGTAGCCAAAAGCAAAGAAGCCGCTCCCTTTGGTATGGAACCCAGGAGGCGTGGCGAACGCAGACACGAGCAAGATAACCCACCATAAGAAGGTCAGCGCAGTGAAGAATAGAGTAACATAACGGAGAAAACGGATGCTGAAGAGATTGTAGGGCGACACCGCAGGGTCATCTGGCGAGAGAAGCTCTCTAGTCGAGTTGACCCGGTTGGGCAACAGTCGGGTGTATTCGTCTGGCGGCCTTTCGCCTTCTTGTTCGGGGCTGTCCCGAAGCTCTGGCCGGACATCTTGCTCGCTGCCGTCCCCTTGGGAATTGAACAGCGGCATCGTGGGTGATTCCTGTGGTGATGTATGCTAAGATGAAGAGAGTTGCCGAAACCAGCAGCTAACCCCGTAGACCTTTGAAGTACTGAGAAATTGTCCGCCTCGGTTAATGAGAAGAAAGTGAAGAAAGTAGAGTTAAATCAAATAGATTTCAAGCTGAAAGCTCAGTTTGCCCCCCCTCCACTAGCATGAGCTGTTCAATTCGCAGCCATTTCGTTGGTCCCATCGTCAAAGAAATGTCATGCTAAAAAAATGTATACGTCATTTCACCTACACCCTGCTCCGATCCACCAATCGCCGTCCACCAAACAAGGTTATTAGACTTTCGCCTCACACTCCTTGGACCTGCTCTTTTGCTCCGGGATTTTAAATTGAATGCTATTTGCATGTCTTTTCTTCCCGTCTTGGGGTAATCGTTGGCTTATCGGAATCGCCCATGTAGATGGGAGCGTTAGCAGGGGCGTGGGCTCATGTGATGCATTTTGTGCTGCGAGCACCTTATCGAGCTCTTTGGTGTCGCTAGCAGTTTTGAAGATGTCTTGGCTGCTCTGCGTATGACGTGTCAATGTGAGTGAAAAGTATGTAATCGAATGATATGAAGAAATATGCCAGCGTTACCAAGCTGTGGAAGATTGACTTGGAACAATTGAGACATGCCCGTGATGCTACCTAATTGCCAAGTGTTACTCACGATCTATGTATGAGGATGTCAAATTGATTTGGAGCTATCTAGCTATTCATATGTACCATTCCCTATATCAACAAGCAAATTTTAAACTGAATATTGAATCAATAATTCGTTCAGCCAAGGAGGAAGTCTTCTCTCTAACCTCTCAAAACCCTCAAAAGCCGTTCTAGCCCCCAATCGCACCTAGCAAAGAAGAGAAAATGTGTACATATAGAAGCAAAACTATTCTCGGAGGCTGTATATTCTACCAACGCCAATCATAAGCTCATAAACTCGTAAAACAACCCATCCGCTGTTTTATCGCTACTCTTCCCAGGGTGCAACTGCATTGCAGACTTTTGCACTCTTCATGCTTGGGACAGAAGAAAAGCCACTCGATACAGACTGAGATCCACGACTATGTCTAGGATACGAAGGCAGCATGTCTCTCGCTCGGGTTTTTTCTTTGAGGGCTTTCTCGGGTGTAGGGCCTGACGTGGAGGTAACAGCATCGATTGGTACTTTTCCCATGGGAGAGTGCAGTTTCGCAGCAGCTTTTGGATCTTTGAGGTCAATGCCGTGTTTCTTAAAGGTATCCTTTTTCTGGTCTCTCATGGCTTGAGCTGAAGGCTCACTTGTGGTCAGCCAGTTTTTGACTTGCGACATCCACCGGGGGCGCTTCTTGTCCTCTCTGGTGGATACAGTATAGTCTGATCGAGGTTCGCTGCTTAACGAAGGGTCGTACCCAGGCCGGGAATGATCAGACATGCTCCTAGATTTCGACCCAGAGCTCGTGGCAGCTGACGCCGCGGTGGCCATTCTAGGGAGCGGCTTGATGGGAAAGAGGAAAATGGGATCGTATCTTGGGTTATGAGATGTCGAACTCGTAGCTGCCCAGTCCAAGGGATTTTCTAGCGGCTTATCTGTAGAGAAAGAAACCTGTCGGCCATCGACTTTGACTTCTTGGGGAGCTCTTCTTGTCGGTTGATGGATGCTGGGATTATTCTGTCCCCGTGACTGCCTATGAGATGGCGAGAATCGCTTGAAATGCTGATCGGAGTTGGGTAATGTTGCGCCAGCGGGCGACGGGCCTTGGGAACCCGTGCTTGTTGGCGAAGAGTACGGCTGGGCAGGGCTTGGATTGCTCGAAGTGCTCCGCGACAAGAAGCGGTTGAGCAGCGGGCTTCTATCCACCTCAGAAGATGCGGGATGCTATCCACCGTATATCTGGGTGGCCGAAGGAGGGCTTTGGGACGAAGCGGCGTTGTCAACGACACTCGGCCGAGATTGGTCTGGGGGTGTTGCGAAAGAGTCTCGCGCAGTCCCTGCCGATGTTGAAGCTCTCAGGGCAAAGGCCGTCTTCTCAGTAAGGGAAAGAGGGTAGGAAAAGTTGCGGATTCCGGATTTCCGCGATAGCAAAGGTGGTGGCAGCGGGAGCTGGTTATCTGAGCAAATTGAAGCGCGGGCCGGTGAATATTGCGTAGACATAGTTTTTGGAACCATTCGTCGGCAAAATTCCATTCGACGACCTCGAGAAGAGAGTGTATCAGGGCGTGAACATGACTCTTTGAGATAGAAATCGGGCCACTCGCGAAGTGATCGACGTGAAAGAGTATGCGGCCAAGCAGAAATTATTCCAGAGCTTGAAACGATAGTCTTTTGTCCAAAACTTTGCACTCTAGTATATCAGAACAAAAGAAGAGAAAGGACGATCAAAGAGAGGCTCTGAAGAATGTTATGCGAGGTATGAAGATACAAAATAGGTTTTGGAGCGTACTTGAGAATCTGATATGAAATCGACGGAAACTTCCTAGGTAGAGGGAAAAAGAAAAAGTGCCACTGATGAACAAGTTGTCGGTTTTCAGTAGCTTCTTTGTTCGCAAGTTATACTAAACAATGGAAAGAGAGTTTTCTCGGCTGAAGGGTCCTGGACTAAATGAACGAAAAAAAAAGCCCAAAATTTCGGGATGTAGAAGCGAGGTTGTTGCTCTGGCAAGCGGCGGCAAATTTCAGGACTAATAAAAACCATGGGCTCAAAGAAATTTCAAGGCAACCGTTCATTTGCACGGCCTTTTCGGATCGCTATTGTTTCCTGTCCTTTCCAGCTTATTGTTAGAAGCAAAATAATAATATGTTTCCAACAAACTGCTTGTTGGCATGTCGGTCTATTGCAGGTGCAAAGACAATGGGCGGCGCCAGATGCTGAATAGGCCTCACATTTGCTCCTCTCATTTTTTTCTCGTCCCTTTTCTTCACTTTTTCTTTAGCTTCTAAACTCCACCACAATACAGAGCACTTGTACAGCAGAAACACACAAAAAAACAAGAGCAGCTCAGCTACCCTGCTCCAGCTTTCCACAGCACCCAATCGATGGCTTCTAGGCCAATATTCGGCCCTGGAGGCGAAGCATCAGTTTAGCATAGCTGGTGGGCCCCGGCTGCCAGGATTGGCCATCGAGTTGTTAGATCTCAGCAAGGGCGGCATGCTGCAGATTGGCGCGCAATAGTCTGGATCCTCCAACGGCAGGGATTATCCGTTGGTCACATATTTCCCTCCTTCTCTTCCGTGCCGTCTGCCACGCCAACTTGTATCTACCTAGTAGATGCTCCTGCACTTCTGCTAATACTTGTACTAGCACGTAGAGCTCGTAAAGGCTGCGCGCCACTCATATCGCCGCGTTGCATTTAGGACAAGCAGTGCAGCTAAAATGCGCGGCCCAGCTTCCGCGGCTTTCCTAGCGGTGGGTGACAAAGGCTGAGCATCATGTGGCGTCCACGTTCCACGTTGCGATGGATCCCCATGGCAAAAATAGCCGACTTTGTTTTCGACAGGCCCAAATAAAGCACTCTTCGGCGACCTCCAGATGCGACGGCGAGCCGGGAAAAGAGCTAAAAGCTTCTGTGGCCTTGTGATTGGGGCGTGTGTATAAGACGATGCTATAACAAATCGCGCGCTACTTGCAGTTCCCTCTATCTACTAGGTCCCTACTAAGTAATGGTAGAGACTAAACACGGAAACTTCACTGCGACGCGATCAAACTTTCATTCTTAGCCTGCCTTGGTAGCTAGAGGGAGGACTATATGATCGGCCATGCAGCAACAAGATGAAGCTATGCAACCACCTGAAGGATGTCCGTTATATCTGTAGCCCCTCACCACCAGCTAATCTCCAATGAAGCGTCCCTTGAGAGTCTGGATTGTGAGGCTTTGCTCATTGTTGGTCGAGCAGCCATCGCCGAAACAGGGCCTGCTGCTTTCGAAAGGGCTTAGCTCCCGCAACGGGATAGAGGTTATCGAGATGTGCTGGCCGATCACCTGTGATCCGAGAGCCTCAGCAATCAGTCTCGTGCCGCTAGAAGGCCTCGGCCCCTCTGGCAGCTGATGGAACGCGGCGGGGATTTTGCCATTGCAAGTTAGACAAGGGGGGGGGGGTTTCTAGATGGAGCAGTCAAGCTTGCAATCAATTTTACTTTTGCCTCCACGCGTCAATCAATAGTCTGGTTAAAGCTGAACAATGTCATTTGCAAAGTAGGATAGCCCTGAGTAACGGCCTGTTGCACAGCGCAGTCGAGAGACATCCAGTGTCACCGCAGTCATATCCCAACCACCGCTCTCCCTTGATATCCCTGCGGTGGCAAGGAAGCTTCTAAGAAAAGTAGAGAGGAAGCGTTAGTCTATATTCAGCGCTGGCTTGCAGCTTCTAGAGACTTTCAGCCGCACGCACCGTCTTTGCTGTAAATTTCCTTGCTCAGCTGTGATGCAGCAGGCTATTTTTGGAAGAAGTCTGTTCAATATTGGTGCCAATGTCTCAGTTAAACCAACGCTGTGGGCTGGAGAGGTCAGCCTCTCTCTGCTACGGGGAGCTATTACCCTATATTTATTCTATGCAACGACAAAATCTTTGGAACGCGAAGAGCGAGTTTAAGATTAACTCATTTCAGTTTATGTGTGAGAAGATTCCTATCAGCCATGTCATATACAATGTCCAAAGCGACATAAATTGCTTGAAAAGCGGTAGAGAGAGTTGTTTGGCTTGAATTTGATGCCCCAATATCAAGTATAAGAAGCGTAAACAAAGAGGCCTATGAGCATAGAAATAGTAGGATATAAGTGCTTCGCCGCGGAAAACTGCCATCGCGCATTCAAAAGCATTAAGAAACATGTGAAACTAAACATGATACCTTTTATGCCATAAGATAGAGCATCTCTGTAATGCCTCTCAATATGTGCAACTTTCCTCTGATCACGATCGTGCCTGGCAAGAAGCTGTCTTAGTGCACACCTGGCACACTACCTGCAAGGTACATATTCCCATCACCAGATAACGTTGCCCGATCTCGTACCATGCAGGTCCAACTTTAACTTGCCACGCGAGTTGTCGCATCATGAGCTTACTAAGGCAATGACATCCACCTCAACCTCTCAAGCCATAACTTTGCCCAGGCATCATTCTTTCTTTTCCACACTCATCCAGCGCCAACCCAGGCATCAAGGGCCTCGTATACGACGCGCGCCCGGCCTTAACCCCCCAAATACACAGCCACCCGTATTCTAGGCATCAAGTTCAACAAAACCTCTCTTCCTCTGGAACTTATCCTCGCCGCTGGCCCGGCGCATTCTGCGCTGATCATGGCCCCGGCACTCACCATCACCACAAACATGAACTCGCGGCCGCCTTCGCCCGTGCCGCCTCCCATGTCGCCCATCACGCCGCCGCTGCCCTCTGCACAGCTTTCCGTAGATGCGAACCGAAATACCATTGTCAGTTCCGAGGCGCTGCCGCCTCTTGCGACAACGACGGCGCAACAGTCCGCTCGCCCAACATTCACCCACTCACAGTCCAACCAAGTCGGCGTCCCGCCGCCAGCCTCCACGCCCATCGAGTTCGAAACCAATCCGGATGTCATTGCCCTCCGATCGGCCATCACCGTGCTGCAGATGCAGAGGAGCCGCGCAACAGCGGACATCCAGACCCTCAGCCAGATCAAGAACGAGGCGATAGACAACCCAGACGAGTTCATCCGCGACCTGGCGCAAGGAAGGATCGGCCAGGGCGCCCGGACCGACGCCGACGCCGGCGACAACGAAGCTGCCCGAGCATGGGCCGCGCAGCCCATACCAAAAGCCCAAGACGTGGTTCGCTGCCCGCCCATCAACTGGTCGCAGTATGCTGTTGTGGGCGAATCTCTGGACAAGCTGCACGCTGAGCAGGTGGCTAAACCTACGCAAGGTACGCCTGCTGCTGTTGGTGCTGGAGGTGTATACCAGTTCAAAGGCGGCGACGGCAAACAAGAGGAATATCCCGGCGTGGCTGCTCCGTATGCGCCGCTAAAGGATAAAATCGAGAGAAAGACCAAAACCAAGAAATGAGGAACCGTGGATCGATCGAGTAAAAATGAACGGATGATTTGCAAACGCAAAATCTGGTCGCTTGATGCGACGTGATGGCATATACATATATATGAGAACGGCTACGGAGTTGAGGTTACAGAGGAGACTGCATGCATTCACGGCGTTTGGGAATTTTAGATGAAACACTAGCCTACCAGGAGAGACAACTCGACTGGCCAAATTCTTTTTGTATTTAGAACTGCTTTTTTTATAAACCTTAAACTGACGGCCTCAAAGACTGTGTAGTAGAGCGGCGCAAAGATGCTGGATGAACTCTCTTCATACGGACCTTGTCAAGGTTATGGCACTCCAAAAGTGGCACGCATTCAAATCCTTGAATGTTTTAGCGAAGCAATCATTGCGTTCTTAAAATCATAACGAGTTATCATTTTGCCATTCAAACACGAAAACGCGCGCCACAAATCTCAAGTATCAATTTGGTCACTTCATTTCACCCTCTTCCATGCCATCTAGATGTATCGAATGAAGGTCAAAAACGCCCCTTGGTCGCCAAACACACCACAATACCCAGTTGCCCATCCGAAAGAACAAAGAGAAAAGGAACCAGGTAAGCAGTGAAAGTTGATAAACAAAGAAGAGAAAGGGATTGTTTAAACGCCGCCGAGTCCTTACGTGAGATGCATCATGATATAAAGAGAAGAAAAACTTTACGCTGAAATTTCGCTTGATCCTCATAGTAGTGAAAAGCTCGTCCGTTACTCGGGGAAATCCCTGTTATTTGAGTTAGCGGGACTATCAGGTAACAAGGGGAAAAGCCAGTCACGGCCTCTGTCCTTACTCCATGCTCTGCTGTACTGATCTCCGCAGACGGCGGTTATACTGCTTCTTGTCGTCTGGCTTATTTCCCCAAAACATTTTGGTCGCTTCAGGATTGACAATCTTCCTCGGGTCATAGGCTGGCTCATCTTCTTCTAGAGTTTCAAAGATGGCTTCAATATGAGATTTGACGTCCTCAATCTTCATTGGGTTAGGGCTGTAACACGCTGTTCCATCGGCTGCAATATGGTGATGGAATATCTTGGTCTCAAATTTAACACGCGGCTGTTCATTAGGGAACCGAGTGCTGAAGCTCATCTTGATACGAAAGAGCCCGCCGTCGAGATTCGTCATCGGCCTTCCAAAGTAGGTAACTAACCAGACAAAAGGATTGCCGTTTTCAAGGACGACGCTGTGGGGCATATCGCCGCGTTTCAAGTAAGCCGACACTTGGTCAAACTGATGCTGCAAATTGACGGCAACTGTGGACTCTCCTGCCTTGGATGTGCGGCCTTCTTCTGCCCAGCGAAGCGTCTCTGCGTCGAGCGCCGCTTTGATTGCTCTAAGCCGGCGTTCAAGCTCCGTATAGTTGAAGCGGCCATCCATGGCGTTGGTGTTGGGAGACTCAAACGGCATTTTAACAAATGGCTGCAGATCTTGCACTTCGGATTTGCCTTGTGCCACAGCAGCCATATATGAATCGTAATACCAAAGAAACTTGCGTTTGCATAGATCTTTGAACGGCTCAAATGGGACGTTTGATTCGTCTATGTCTTCGTAATCAAAGCTGCTAGGGTCCAGGCTGTCAGAGGGCGCGCTGCTGCCATTAGCTTGTAGCCCCAAGTAGGACTCTAGACGCTGAATAATAGATATCCTCAAAGTTTCATGTCGTATCTGCAGACTGGTTAGCTAAAGCTCAACTCTAGCATGGAATAACAAAGCCCGCACCTTTTGGACGTAATGCATTTGTGCTTGCTTATCAGCCGGTGAATTTGCATCTTCAAAACCTGGTTCGTTTTCGTAGGGATTTGCCGACATTAAGCTCTGGATTGATAGTAAGATTGACTCGAGTCCCTGTGCTGATGACCACTCTTCGCCACGTTCTCCCCTCCATGTGCTATCAAGGCGTCAGAGGGCTCTTAAGTTATCAAATGATCTGGCTGTTATAAGAAGAAATACCCCAAGATTGACCTGCCTGGATGATTAGCGGATAGCAACTGAGAATGAAAAGTGCTAGAGACTTACAAACAAACTTTCCCACTGGAATAAATGTTGGGATTGAATCGGCAACGCCCTCCATTCGTTGTGATGCACTGAACACTGGGTGATTTTGACGGGTACTCTTGGCAGGGTCAGCATTATGCACATGGGGAGCCACAGAGAAGAAGAGGCGAAGCCATGCCTTTATTGAATCGTATTGCAAACTACACCACATTGTTAGCACTTCTATAATACCTAGTACGCCCGGTATCTACCTACTTCAAAGAAGCCAAATTCGTAGGGAGTCTCGTGCGGGCCCATGACGAGCGCCCTCACGTTACGGACATCGACATCACGGCAAGCGACTGCAATGGCTGTGGCGGCGACGACCCCGATTAGTGTCTAGCGCTTAGATGAATGCCATGGCTCGATTCGATATGAATGCCAACGTACCTAGATCCGAGCCTTTTTGGATGTCGCTGAGCTCCTATGAATGCTGCTGATCAGCCATGTGACCCCAAAAATGCTGTCTGTGAGCCTTCCCGAACCTTGGAGATGCGAATTATGGATTGATCCATGGCGGCTGCCTCGTGATGAATGGGCTTGCAGACGAGACGATGTAACAGAAAATACCAATCTAAGCATCAGGAGGTAAATCAGGGACGAAGATTGCGGTGCGCGATAGCCTTTGGGAATTCTACATGTGCGAAGAGGACGAGTTGTGTAGTTGGATGCAACTGAGGAGATGGGCAGTAAGTTCAGGCCGTGGCTTTGTAGTGCAAATTCTAAGGCAGAAGGCCGTGCAAGGAGGGGTCCGCAGGAGGGGCTCGCCTCCAGGTGAATCAAGGCCGAGTTGCCTGCCGCGGTTGCTGGGAGTGCCCTGTGCCTGGACTGAGGACGCAATGGCGAGAGTTGGGGGTGCTGTCACTTTGACTGGCAGGGAAGCAGCTGTATCGTAACCAACTTCAGTGTAGCAGTGGGCTGGAGAGATGAGAGATGGAGGACTGAGAGAGAAAAAGCGAAGAAAGGTTGGAAGAGAGAAGTAGAGGAAGGTGGTTTGTACTAATACGCCATGGAGGCGTAGATAGGCGCAGCTTAGGCGCTAGATTGCGCATCAGAGGGCGGCTTCGGGTGCTTGCATGCAGGCAGCGGCGCTGGAGTTTCTGGCTCGGGTAGGACAACGCCACAGACGGACGCCTGTTGGGGGGTCGCTTGGAACCTGGATAATGTAAAAAGAGCAGATTGGCAGTGGTGCCCAGTACAGTAATACCTGTAATATGCCGTAAGCTGCTACTTGCCTACTCGGGGCCTATCTGCCGCCCTATAGTAAGATGAGTGAGTGATGGGTACTATGGTATATACCTAGGTAGTATATTGATGTATCAACGCAGCGGAGAGGAGAAATTGGACTGCTATTTGCCTTGGCAATACGAATCTGAGTGAAGCTGGACGCAGACGTATTCATACTCCTGGATGGTACTTCCATTGCTGCCATAGCTGCTATCGCTGCTACTATCTTGATTGCGCCTATTGTGTCTAGGTATTGCTTCTACTGATAGAAAATCTCATACATGATGATTTTCTATTTCCGTCTGCTCTTAGTAATACAGCTCGACTTGAGCTGGGGGAGAAAAAAGCTTCTTTCAGGCATTGATGCGGAAATGGTACCTATCCATATCGCCCAAAAGCAACCTAAGGTGGGGTCGCGCTCTGGAAGCCTAAAATAAGCCAGATTGGATGCTTTAAGGGTGTCGCGGGGTTCATCAGCCTTGCAGCTGGGCTACGCGCCTCGCGCTATCTCTGTACCAGCCGACGCGTTAATGGATTTTGCTCCATCACGCATTGCTTGGTACTAGGCGGCTCTACATTTTAACGGCCATTGTTGTATTCCGGTTTGTCACGCTCAGTATTTGGACACTTCGACACCGGGAATAACGATTCGACCTCCTTGCACAATTTTCTCGATCAGGCATTGAGCCCAGCATGGCCAGCTTTTTCGATCTCAAGGCGAGGAAAGCGGCCGCTGCAAATGGAGCTTCATCGCAGAAACACGATAAACCAGCCGACGTGCGGGCTCAGCCTTGGGTTGAGAAATAGTCAGTCGAACCGTATTCGTAAATTCCCTCCATGGCAATGATGCTTATGCTTTATAGCCGCCCCAAGAGCCTGGACGATGTCACTGCTCAAGATCACACAGTGACCGTTCTCCAGAGAACACTACAAGCTTCCAATGTTGGTCAATGTGCCCTCAATTGAGTCCAGAATGCATGTTCAAGCTAACGGATGCCACCTATCCAGCTCCCACACATGCTATTTTACGGCCCTCCTGGCACAGGCAAAACATCCACCATCCTTGCCCTTGCAAAAGAGCTTTATGGTCCGGAGATGATCAAGTCACGAGTCCTTGAGCTGAACGCGTCCGACGAGCGTGGTATCTCGATTGTTCGACAGAAAGTCAAAGATTTTGCACGAATGCAGTTGACCAACCCGCCGCCATCCTACAAAGACAAATATCCCTGCCCGCCGTTCAAAATCATCATTCTAGACGAGGCCGATTCCATGACGCAAGATGCACAGAGCGCTTTGAGACGAACGATGGAGACATATAGCAAAATCACACGCTTTTGCCTAATCTGCAACTATGTTACTAGAATTATCGACCCCCTGGCGAGTCGATGCAGTAAATTTCGCTTCAAGAGCTTGGATCAGGGCAATGCGAAGAGGCGGTTGGAGTCAATAGCAGAGGCTGAAGGGGTTACGCTTGAAGATGGTGCTATCGATGCCCTTATAAAGTGCAGCGAGGGTGATCTGCGAAAAGCCATTACCTTTCTGCAGAGTGCTGCACGATTGGTTGGAGCGAAACCTTTAGAAAAGGACGGCGAAGGCGACGAGGCTATGGATGTAGACAAAAGGCCAGTGACTGTCAAGATTGTTGAGGACATCGCTGGTGTGATACCCGGTTCAACAATCAACGATCTCGTCAAGGCTATGCGCCCAAGTACGTCAGCAGAGGCATATCGGTCCATATCCAAGGTGGTAGAGGATCTGGTCGCAGACGGCTGGAGTGCTGGTCAGGTTGTAAACCAGGTAAGCGGCCCTACATTCTTTTTCTTTTGGCATGCTTAGCGTCGTTATACTGACTCTTTTGTAATTGTACAGCTGTACCAAGAGATAGTCTTTGATGAAATTGTTCCTGATGTCCAAAAGAACAAAATCGTTCTCGTCTTCTCTGAAGTCGATAAGCGATTGGTCGATGGAGCAGACGAGCATCTATCAATTCTTGATCTGGCAATGAGGATATCGGCCATCATGTCCGAAAAATGAATCTCGACTGACTCGAGAGGCTGAATGAAAAATAAATCAAATGAGGAGCTGCAATCAGCATGGCTTATTCTGACTAGGCGGCGTTTGTTCTTTTTACTGGAGATATAGAGGCATAATCGAAACACATAGGACGGGGATATACTAAAACTATTAATGATATGATTTAGATCGTATCCTTTCTTAGCTTAATGCTCCTAAATTTCCGTGTAATCTAGACCAAACATCGTGCCCGTCATCTGTTATGCTGCTCTTTGACGCGGACTTTAGTGATTCAAGCTTCGTTGCCGCTACCAAAGCCTTTGGTTTATTATCAGCGCCCTCACTAGAAACATCCCCATCAGGATGACCTAGCAGGAAGTCAATCTCTCGAAGATTTTCCAAGCAATTCTCTAGCGCGACCTGTCCTATGTCGACGGTTTCTGCAGCATATTCGAGAAGTGTTATTTTGGCCGAATCTGCGGCGAATACCCATGGCTTCACCCGCTTCGAGATATCCGGCTGTTCGGATTTCGAAGCTACTTCTGTCTGTATACCAGACCTCCGGCGTAGCGAATCCTTCATGGGGTATGTTGGTAGCAAATGGCTTTCTTCACTGAGACGGCCGAGTAATTGGCAGGCATCCTGATTCTGCTTGGACAATGCCGACGTGAAAAAGGATTTCTGAGTGATGGCTGCCTTCTGGCTTACCGAAATAGCAGCCATGGCTCTCAGATAAGGCGTTAGAAGATGATCGATTGGTGCTGGAGGCTTGTTACTATTTCGATCCAGACCCGCAACTAGCTGTGCAGGCGGCAGCAGAGATGGCTGAGCTGGCTGGGAAAGCTGAGACTGCTGTGTTTCCAGCTCTAGGAGAGTTTTCCTCATAGACACATATGTGGCATACTTTCTGCTAATCTCCTCGAGGTGAGCTGCAATTGTTGACGGGCTAACCCTCGATTTGTAGGTATACTTTTGGCCCGCCTCTGAGCCGCTTCCAGGGGATGCTCTGCCGAGTTCGTTTTCGATCCAAGCTATAAGTTCATTTCGGGCTGCCGTCAACGCTTCTAAGCGAGCGCCGTTGCTAACGATATCGAACTGATTTTGGGACCGAGCCTTTGCCTCACGCCGTGTTTGCTCCTCTTTCTTCAGTAGCAGCTTTGCCCTCAGCACTGTCTTCTCTAACTGGTGGATTCGATCATCGAGGCTTGCGTGGGGAGAGTTCTGATCAGGCGCGAGGCTGTTGATGACATCGTCTGGTGCACTCGGTGCGCGGGGACTCCCTTGAAAGATGTGTCTCGCGTCCAGGAACTCACGGGTTGCGGCTGGCTTTTCCATGAGCATATCGAGAGATTGTCGAACTGCGAGCAAGCTCTCTCGCTTCTGCTGCAGCTTCAAGAGACATATGCGTTCCTCCAGGAGGTCAGCACTGCTTGCTGCTCCTGCTCGAGCTGGCGGCTCAGAGTCTTCAGGGGCATTCTTCTGCAGGAGATCCTCAAACTGCCGACGTGCGGCGGAATTGGCCTGCAGAGCCTCGACATATTCCCTGAACACGCCAGTCAAATCCGATGGCGTGATGACTTCTTGTGAGCTGTCCACGAGGAACAGGGGATTCTGGACGGCGCCATTGCCGGAGCACGACCCGAGGTGAAGCGCCAAAACGCGCCTGATGTAGTTGACTTGTTCCCGAGGCTTGATGTATGGCTCCAGCTGCTGTTGAAACTTTGTCAAGATTTCAGGCTGATGATCGGGCATATTGAGAAATGGATATTCATTTTACTTGATATGTCAACGTTGGGCAGCACATGTCTTTCACTTGGGCCAAGTCAGGCACACGTCGTAGCTACATACCGCCTCTGGAGCTGCTGGCCTGCTATAAAGTGCCCACTACAGCAGGTCTCCACAGTGTGGCGAGGATAGCGTTTTTAGTGTGGCGCATCGCACTAACTATTTGCTACCTGGCGCGTCCTAGGCAGAAGATGTTGGCTCAGGAAATTTATCGCGACGGAGACCCAGGCAGCGGTTTCAACCAATTCAGCGACTTCATCTTGCTGAGAGGCCTAGGAAGCTGCCCATCGTTCCGACTCGATTCCCTCTGTCTGGACGGCAAGCACATGGTGAAGTAGAAGCAGGGCTCATCGAGCTTTTGTCGAGGACATCGACGTTCTCCCCTCTTCTCTTCTTTTTTCGCCTCTGACCTTATCCTCGACTACAACCGCCACGATGTCGGACCCTCATCGCGATGTATCCCAATACAAGTACTCGGCCATGTCCAACCTGGTTCTCCAGGCGGACCGTCGGTTTGTCACTCGACGGACTGACGAGGCCACTGGCGACCCAGAGTCTCTCGCTGGGCGCCTGAGTATCAACGATATGGGCTCACGAGTCGCTCGTGACGAAGCTCCGAAGCAGAAAAAACAGCCTGGAATGCCCGACATTGAACGAGGGAGTCTCCAGGAAGGCCAGGATGTCTTGCTAAGAGAGCAACGAAAACGGAAACCCGATGCGCAACAAGCTGGCGTATTGGGGGCAAACGATGCTTTGATCGAAGGTATCACATATCGACCTCGAACTGCGGCGACGCGGGCGACTTTTGATTTGATCTTGACCCTTGTGGCGAACAATCTGGGTGACGTACCGCATGATGTCGTGCGAAGTGCTGCGGACGCCGCGCTGGAATATCTGAAAGACGATGATATGAAAGATCTGGATAAGAAGAAAGAAATCGACGACATTCTTGGCTCAACCCTGAGCCCCAAGCAGTTCAACGAATTAATCAACTTGGGAAAGAAGATTACAGATTACGATGCCCAGGACGATGATGAGGATGTTAATATGGGAGACAATAATGACGATGACGCAGAAATCGACGAACGGCAGGGTGTAGCTGTTGCTTTTGACGAGGATGACGAAGAGGATGAAATTGTCAACGAAGTTCGCGACGAATCCTCAGAAGATGAGGAGGAAGAGGAGGAAGGCGAGGGAACAGCAAAGGCAGAGGAGGATGCTGCCGAGGCAGATGACGACATGATTCTCGACTCGGCTCCCGTGGATGCCAAGCACAAGAAGAGCGAGAAACCCTCAATACTTGCGCGAGACATAGACGCCTTCTGGCTACAGCGGCAAATCGGTTTACTTTATCCTGACGCCCACGAGCAAGCAGATAAGACCAAAGAGGCCCTGCGCGTGCTCTCTGGAGAGCCTGACGAAGTTGGAGGCGAAGAGAAGTCTCTTCGAGAGATTGAAAACGATTTGATGGAGCTCTTCGATTTCGAACATCACGAGCTTGTTCAAAAGCTGGTCGAAAACCGTGAAAAGGTCTTCTGGCTCACGAAGCTTGCCAGAGCAGCTGATGCGGAACAGCGGGCAAATGTTGAGCGGGAAATGGTCTCGGAGGGGCTGCAATGGATTCTCAACGAGCTGCGGGGTAAGTCTGGAGCTGATGGAGATAAGGCAGGGAAAGGAGGTATCAAGATGGACATTGACGTTCCCGCTTCTTTTACGGCTGAGGCGCCCAAGGCGGAACGGCTCGAAGGGCAGCTGGTCGGTGGACTGCAACCCAAGAGGCTCATCAATCTGGAAAACTTGGTTTTTGACCAGGGCAACCATTTGATGACCAACCCCAAGGTCCGACTGCCAGAGGGATCGACAAAGAGATCTTTCAAGGGTTACGAAGAGATCCATGTGCCTCCTCCGAAGAAACGAAATGACCCAGACGATATCCTTATCCCCATAACCGATATGCCGGAATGGTCGCGGTTGCCCTTCAGCACGTCCAAATCGCTGAACAAGATCCAGTCCAAGACCTACCCAACCGCATTTGAAGATGATGGTAACATGCTTGTTTGTGCGCCGACCGGTAGTGGTAAAACAAACGTGGCCATGTTGACCATACTGCGAGAAATTGGTAAAAATCGAAACCCGGAAACCGGCGAGATTGATCTTGATGCCTTTAAGATTGTCTACATTGCCCCCCTCAAAGCTCTTGTTCAGGAGCAGGTTGGCAACTTCGGAAAGCGTCTGGAGCCATACGGAATCCGCGTGAATGAGCTTACCGGTGATCGTCAACTTACCAAGCAACAAATCTCAGAAACTCAGATCATCGTTACCACGCCTGAGAAGTGGGACGTTATTACTCGCAAGGCTACTGATCTCACATATACGAACTTGGTGCGCCTGATTATCATCGATGAAATCCATCTGCTCCACGATGACCGTGGTCCAGTATTGGAGAGCATCGTCAGCAGGACCATTCGCAAAACCGAACAAACTGGGGAACCGGTCCGAATTGTCGGTCTTTCTGCGACGCTTCCAAACTACCGAGATGTTGCTAGCTTCCTCCGCGTGGACACAAAGAAAGCCATGTTCCACTTTGATGGCTCTTTCCGACCTTGCCCATTGCGCCAGGAATTTATCGGTGTTACGGATCGCAAGGCCATCAAGCAGCTAAAGACGATGAATGATGTAACATACAATAAGGTAATCGAGCACGTTGGCACCCACCGGAACCAAATGATTATCTTCGTGCATTCCCGCAAAGAGACTGCAAAGACGGCTAAGTACATTCGAGACAAGGCTCTTGAAATGGAGACTATCAACCAGATTCTTCGGCACGATGCTGGTAGCCGAGAAGTCCTGACTGAGGCTGCAAGCCAAGCAACTGACCAGGATCTCAAAGATATCCTGCCTTATGGATTCGGTATTCACCACGCAGGTATGAACCGAATAGACAGAACTGATGTGGAGGATTTATTCGCCAGAGGCGCCATCCAAGTCCTTGTGTCTACCGCCACCCTTGCCTGGGGTGTCAACTTGCCTGCCCACACCGTTATCATCAAGGGCACACAAATTTACTCACCTGAGAAAGGTAGCTGGGTTGAGCTGAGCCCTCAGGATGTTCTCCAGATGCTAGGTCGTGCAGGACGGCCTCAGTTCGACACCTACGGTGAAGGTATCATCATCACGACTCAGAGTGAGATCCAGTATTATCTTTCGCTTCTAAACCAGCAACTTCCGATTGAAAGTCAATTTGTTAGCAAATTGGTAGATAACCTCAATGCTGAAGTTGTACTTGGCAATGTGAGAACTCGCGATGAGGGTGTCGAATGGCTTGGATACACATATCTCTTTGTCCGAATGCTTCGGTCTCCTGGGTTGTATCAAGTTGGCGCAGAATACGAGGATGATGAGGCTCTGGAGCAAAAGCGTGTTGACCTAATACACTCCGCAGCAATGGCTCTTAGGAAGTCTAATCTTGTCAAATATGATGAGAAGACAGGCAGGATTCAATCTACCGAGCTTGGTCGCATTGCCTCCCACTACTACATCACATCACATTCTATGGACACCTACAACAACCTCATTCAGCCTTCTATTACAACTATTGAGCTCTTCCGAGTATTTGCTCTCAGTGATGAGTTCAAGTACATTCCTGTTCGCCAAGACGAAAAGCTGGAGCTCGCAAAACTGATGGGCAGAGTGCCGATTCCCGTCAAGGAAAGCATCGAAGAATCGCACGCCAAAATCAATGTTCTGCTTCAAGCGTACATTTCTCGTTTGAAGCTGGACGGCCTGGCTCTCATGGCGGACATGGTGTACGTCACGCAGAGCGCCGGTCGAATCTTGCGAGCCATCTTTGAGATTACGTTGAAGAAGGGCTGGGCGTCGGTTGCCAAGACTGCTCTAGACCTTTGCAAAATGGCTGAGAAGCGAATGTGGCCTACCATGTCTCCGCTGCGTCAATTCCCCTCTTGCCCGCGCGATATTGTCCAAAAGGCAGAAAGAATCGACGTCTCTTGGAGCAACTATTTTGACCTTGATCCTCCAAGAATGGGCGAGCTGTTGGGTATGCCCAAAGCAGGACGCACTGTCTGCGGGCTGGTTGCCAAGTTCCCCAGGGTCGACGTTCAGGCACAGATACAGCCTATGACCAGATCCATGCTTCGAGTCGAACTGAGCATTACCCCTAATTTCGAATGGGATGATAGTGTCCATGGCGCTGCCGAGAGCTTCTGGATCATAGTCGAAGACTGTGATGGTGAAGATATCTTATACCATGACACGTTCCTCCTTCGCAAAGACTACGCCGAATCTGAAGCAAACGAACACATTGTAGACTTCACTGTCCCAATCACCGACCCTATGCCACCAAACTACTTCGTTTCTGTCATCTCAGATAGGTGGATGCACTCTGAAACGAGATTGGCTGTTCCCTTCCACAAGCTTATCTTGCCAGAGAAGTTTCCTCCTCACACAGAATTGCTTGACCTTCAGCCTCTGCTTGTTTCTGCTCTGAAAGTTCAAGACTATGTCAATATCTACCCAGAATGGAGGCAATTCAACAAGATCCAGACGCAAACCTTCAACTCGCTCTATAAGACGGATCAGAATGTATTCGTCGGTGCCCCGGCTGGAAGTGGCAAGACTGTGTGTGCCGAGTTCGCTCTCTTGCGGCACTGGTCGCAAGGCGATGATGCCGGTCGAGCCGTCTATATTGCTCCATTCCAAGAACTCATTGATGCTCGCTTACAAGACTGGCAGAAGAGACTCGGCCACTTGAACGGCGGAAAAGAGATTGTGAAGTTGACTGGCGAGACTGCTGCAGATCTCAAGCTTCTGGAAGCTGGTGATTTGATTCTCGCTACTCCAACGCAGTGGGACGTCTTGTCCAGACAGTGGAAGCGACGAAAGAATATTCAGACAGTGCAGCTGTTTATTGCCGACGAACTCCATCTTCTTGGTGGCCATATGGGCTATGTCTACGAAATCATCGTATCACGAATGCACTATATCCGTACGCAAACAGAGCTGCCAATGAGAATCGTTGCTCTTAGTGCTTCTTTGGCGAATGCTCGAGACATTGGCGAATGGATTGATGCTAAAAAGCACGATATTTACAACTTTAGCCCTCATGTCAGGCCTGTGCCGCTTGAACTTCACATTCAATCCTTCTCAATTCCTCATTATCCGTCCTTGATGCTGGCTATGGCGAAGCCCGCATACTTGGCCATCACGCAGATGTCACCAGATAAGCCTGCCATGATTTTCGTACCCAGTCGAAAGCAGACCAGAGGTACTGCGCGCGACTTGCTGGCCGCCGCCGTCTCAGACGATGACGAAGACCGCTTCTTACATACTGATGTGGAGCAGATGCGGCCCCTTCTTGACCGCGTCCACGAAGAGGCACTCGCCGAAGCCTTGTCTCATGGTGTTGGCTACTACCATGAAGCTCTCAGCCAGAGCGATAAGCGTATTGTAAAGCACCTTTACGACAATGGTGCTATTCAAGTGCTTGTCGCGTCTCGCGACGTATGCTGGGAGTTGACAAACACTGCTCATCTCGTGATTGTCATGGGCACGCAGTATTTTGAGGGCCGAGAGCACAGATATGTAGACTATCCCCTCAGCGAAATCCTGCAGATGTTTGGCAAGGCGCTACGACCTTCAAAGGATGGCCGCGGCCGCGGAGTGCTCATGCTACCTCAAGTCAAGCGAGAGTACTACAAGAAGTTTTTGAATGAAGCCTTGCCAGTCGAATCACACTTGCACAACTATCTCCACGATGCTTTTGTCACAGAGATTAGCACCAAGATGATTGAGTCTGGTGACGATGCGATCAACTGGACTACTTTCACGTACTTTTATCGAAGACTATTGGGTAACCCAAGCTACTATGGCCTGACCAGCACTACTCACGAAGGTCTGAGCAACTACATGTCAGATCTTGTGGAGACGACGCTGCGTGAGTTGGGCGAGTCCAAGATTATTGAGTTTGACGAGGAGGATGGATCTGTTGCTCCACAGAATGCTGCCATGATTGGCGCATACTACAATATTTCATACATCACGATGCAAACATTCTTGCTCTCTCTCACAGCGCGGACGAAGCTCAAGGGCATCTTGGAAATCGTTACTTCTGCTACTGAATTTGAATCTGTGCAAGTTCGGCGACATGAGGACAGCCTTTTACGACGCATCTATGACCGCATTCCCGTCAAGATGGCACAGCCTAGCTATGACACGCCTCACTTCAAGGCGTTTGTTTTACTCCAAGCCCACTTCGCTCGGATGCAACTCCCGATTGATCTTGCCAAGGACCAAGAGGTTATCCTTGCCAGAATTCTCAGCCTCCTCAGCGCCATGGTAGACATCCTCTCGTCAGACGGTCATCTTAACGCCATGAACGCCATGGAGATGTCTCAGATGGTTGTCCAGGCAATGTGGGACCGAGATAGTCCCCTCAAGCAGATTCCTCACTTCTCTCCAGAGGTTGTGAAGGTTGCAAATGACTTTGGGTATGTGTCAGATTGTCTAGATGAATCATCTCAGATAAGAAATGAACCAATGCTAACGCGTGTTTACAGAATCAAGGACATTTTCGACTTCATGGAGGCCATGAATCCTGAGGAAAACGCAGACTATAACAAATTGGTCAAGCAACTAGGTCTTTCGCAGAAACAGCTAGCACAAGCGGCAGACTTCACAAATGAAAAGTATCCAGACTTGGAGCTGGAGCATGAAGTTGTTGAGGAGGATGAAGTCAGAGCGGGCGAACCATCGTATCTGAACATCAAAATCACCCGAAACATTGAGGATGATGATGAACATGACTCTACAGTGCATGCACCATTCTATCCAGCTAAGAAGATGGAGAATTGGTGGCTGGTTGTGGGCGACGACAAGTCTCGAAACCTGCTGGCGATCAAACGAGTTACCATCGGCCGCGAGCTGAACGTACGGCTGGAATACACTGTGCCATCTCCTGGTGAGCACAACCTCAAGCTGTTCCTAATGAGTGATAGTTATATCGGGGTGGACCAAGAGCGGGAGTTTTCAGTGACGGCAGCAGAGAGCATGGATGTGGACGAGGACGACGAGGACGAGGACGAGGACGAAGACGAGGAGTAGATGCCGGCGCGCGCTCTCCTTACCATTTAATATCTGGAATAAAGAACGATTATGTACAATAAAGGCAAGCTACGGATACAATCTGAATATGTGATTTATTTTTGCCCAGACTTGGTTGGCACGATCGCCCTGATTCCGGTTCTGGCTTCACCGCGACCCTCATGACGATGATCTGCTCTTTGCATATAGTTTTCCGGGTAAAACAGGGGTTGTGGTGGCGCGCGGTTGTGGAACAGCAGTTTCGAGGCCCAAGGCGGTTGGGTAGTCAGGGCGACAACCTCTGCAAGGCAGGGTTGGGGCGATGAGACGAGTGGCAGCCGTCCAAGGCGCCGCCTGCTGAAGCGGTCGAATGACGCCCGTCGCACGACCCATGCGAGCCAGAGGCAGCTGTCCAGCGCAGCGGCACCGGAAACGCCGTTGCCCTATGGCGCCTCGGCATTGCGAATCGCGGGTTTTGGGGTGCTTATGGTCCATCGCCGTTATAATACCACACCAAGCGGGTCACGTGATGTAGATTCAGACTCAGTGACGTTTGACGTGTTCCTGCGGTTCGTTATTCGCTCCAGTGTTTTTCCTTTTGTCACCCACATCAATCCTAGCACAACGCGGGCGACGCTGAACGAGACAACTGCGCCTTTCATCCGCCGAGCTCCCAGTCTCATCACGCAACCCGCCTTGCGCCACCGCTGAACACGCATAAACACGCCGCGAAACGCGTCCGACGCTAGATTCTGAAGCTTGCCTCGAACCCTCGTGCCGTTTCGCGCGAGATCTGCCCGTGTCTCTCAGCCATTGGAAGCTGCGCATCGTCACCCAGCGTTTCGCAATGGCAGACAACGCCCCGGAGAAGCCCGACGCCGCTGCGCCTGTTGCTGGCACCGAGGATCAGGTCGCCGGCGAGGGAGAAGTGGCCGCCAAGACTGTGGATAAGGCGGAAGCGGGTGATGCTACAATGGAGGAAGCAAAGGAAGCTGCAGGTGAGCTTCCCCAACGCGCGTGAAGCGAGCTTTTCGCGCACGCCCAAAGCTCTTTAGTCTTGCTGGGTCTTGTTTATTCTGCAATTCTAAATAACAACAAAGCTCTGAATTGCCCTTTTGTTCTGTTTTTCGATGTACTTTTTTTTTTTTTTTTTTTTTTTTTTTTTTTTTTGGCCTTGGTCTATGGAATTGCGCTAACTATAGCTGCCTACAGCAGAACCCAAGGCGCCCGAGAGCGCAGAAAACGCTGCCGAGGCCGCAACTGAAAAGCCAGCTGAGAACGAAAAGAAGACCGATGCGGACGGCGATGCCGAGATGAAAGACGCTGCCGACACTGCTGCGGCTGCTGAGCCCAAGGCTGAAGCTGCCGCCGCCGCTGAGACTCCAGCTGCTGCGAAGGGCAAGGGGGGTCGACGAAAGTCGACTGCTGGAGAGTCAAAGGGCAAGACTCTGAGCAAGAAGGGCTCAAAGGCACGCCTTACCCACATTGATGCCCAGCCTGGCGATCACTTCTTAGTGAAGCTCAAGGGTTTCCCGGCTTGGCCCGCCATTATTTGTGATGAGGACATGCTCCCACAAGCTCTCATCAATACCCGACCAGTCTCCGCGGCACGTCCCGACGGATCCTACTCTGAAGCTTACGCGGATGGCGGTAAGCGAGTGCACGATCGAAGCTTCCCCGTCATGTACCTATATACAAATGAATTGTGAGTCATGCAACTCCCAAATCTGCGCGTCGTGGCTGTTACTGATTGGCTCCAGTGGATGGGTTGCGAACACTGCCCTATCCGAGTTGACTGCGGATAAGGCTCGAGATACGATTGGAGACAAGATGCGAAAGGATTTAAAGGCAGCTTTCGAGCTCGCGATTGAGCAAAACTCAATTGAGCACTACAGAGCGATTCTACAAAGCTTCCAGGATGAGCTGATTGCGCAGGAAGAGGCTAGGAAAGAAGCTGCAGCTACTCCGAAGAAGTCCAAGAAGGGCAAGGCGAAGGTAACTGACGAGGATGAAGACGTGGATATGGAGGATGCGGAAGAGGCGCCAAAGGCTAAGCCGAAGAAGCGAAAGGCGGCCGACGAAGAAGCTGCTGTGAGTTATGCTCTTTCCATTGTATTTCTTTGGCAGCTTGCTTGATTTACTAACGCGAAATCGCCATCAGGTCCCTCAACGTTCTGAGTCCGTCAAGAAACCCAAGATCAAGCTCAACACATCATCATCTGCATCAAAGGCTGCGAACGGAACGTCAGCGCCAAAAGCTAAAGAAGAAAAGCCTGCAAAGGTCGCAAAGGCCAAGCCGAAGAAGGGGGCTGACAAGAAATCTGACGCGCCTAAAGAGCCCAAATTGACCCCGGAGGAGCGACATTTACGCAAGGAGGTGAGTTGAATATCACGCCGTTCAGAGAAATTGATAGAGTACATGTACTAACTAAATCTACAGAAAGAAATCATGTACCTACGCCATAAGCTCCAAAGAGGACTTTTGACCAGAGAGCAACAACCACGAGAAGATGAAATGGAGGCAATGTCCAGCTTCATCACTATCCTCGAGAATTTCCAGGATCTTGATGTATCAATTATCCGGGGCACTAAGATCAACAAGGTTTTCAAGGCAATTCTGAAGCTTGACTCTATCCCTCGTGAAGAGGACTTCAACTTTAAGAAGAGGTCTCAAGCTCTGCTGGATAAGTGGAACAAGCTACTTGCTAGCGATCCTGCGCCCGCTAACACGGCGAATGGTGTCAATGGAGCTTCTGAATCCAAGGACTCCAGTAAGCCGACGGGAAATGGCGACGTGAAGGAGAGCGACGACAAAAAGAAGGAGGTCGATGACGAGAAGACTAAAGGAGATGACGAGGAAGCGACTGCCACGACCACAGCCAAAGATGAAGAATCGGAAGCCAAGGAAGACGTGAGCGAGAAGAAGGACGAAAAGGCCGAGGCCGAGGCAGTGAGATACCACCATCCTTCAAATACTTGACAAACCCTAACCTTTCTTCGCAATAGGCTCCCACTTCCGCAGCAGTTGAAGCCGCTGCTTAATCTCTCAAAATTTCCCGAGTAATCTGATATACTCTGTGATGATGAAAACACCTACTGTCTCTGCGTCTCGGTTCCGATGCAGCAGACCAGTTAAGGCCATCTTCTTAATGTCGACCTATTTTTCTCTATTTTTTTTTTCTCTCTATTTCTTGTGTGGCGCAACGGACTCCTTGTTATTATTATCATTTCGCACATTCTTCTTTATACAATAAAAGGGGTCACAGTTTATTCTTTGGTTTGTGGTGTACAAGTAGCCACCAACATGGATGAGCAAACCGAAAGATGGACAGAAAGGCTCAACTGTTTTGTTTCTCTTGGAGCCGCCCTATTGATGTGGCCTGAGAAAGTCTTGGGTGAGCGGAAAAGAGTACTGCTAGTACCCAACATGAGGTGTTTCAAACCCAGTATGCACAACACACGGGAAGGAAATGAAATGTGGAGTGACTGCGGTATTTGAAGGGGAAGGAGGGGGCCACGCCTGAGGAGAATGAGACATTTGTACTTGTTGATTTTCGCGTTGCTCAATCTTTTTGAGGGGATGGTGATTGTTACTGCCGGGGTCAAAGGATGCTTTGGTTGGGGCGGCAAGGATAGGAAAGCATGCTTTTTTCGCGTTGAGAATCAAAGCTCTATTTAGTTTATGAAATTCAGCGATGTACGATGATTGATCGGATTGTATGTATGCAAGTATACGCGAGTTTGTGAGAGGTGTACTGTTATGCCATCGTTTGTAAACATTGCGCACATCAATATTGTATCGAAGAGCGTATAAGATATCATGTGTAAAACGTCATTGGAATACATTGACAAGTCACAAAGCTAGCTTTAGAACTAATGTCGAGACTTTTTTGCTATTCAAATAACCAGGCTTACAATACTGTTTCGTTATTATATTTGAAAAGATAATGCCTGAGCTTGCAGTACGGCAACCAGACCTAACCGGGACTTTTGATCCACAGTATTCACACAGTATCTACACTGTATAGCGACCGTGTTTCTGCCAAGTCGCGCTCCGCTCACCATCGACGACTACAAGCCGTTCAAGTACGGCCACTTTTTTTTTTTTGCTGCGAAAGCGATTCCTCTTATTGTGATAAGTAGACAAAAGGGAAGAAAAAATGTCGACTGAAGATCCACAAAGCACTTTCACCCAAGAAGACCATCAGGCAAGTGAACAAACAGCTCTGAACTTTCACCGCGTTCTGTGCCTCAAGTTCTAATCATCTTCGAACTATATATAGGTGGCCTTCATTTTTAATCCAGAAGAAAATGAGGCGCCACGCCGGGAGAGGCCCCCTAAACGGCGGAAAACTGCCAAGAGAGCTGCAGCAATCGAGAATGAAGCAGAGCAGGACGGAGAGAGTTCATCATTGTGGTTCACTCCCTTGCTTAGTGGTGCTGAGGGCATGGCTTGCGTGCGGCGACGGGAGCGGCTTCTGGAGGAGAATTGGGCAGTGATTGATGCTCGAATCAAGGTATTATGCGTCGTTTGAATTGGGATGACTGGAATGAACTTGCTGATGAGATGGATAGGATATTTTGAGAGACTCCAACTCTGCGACTCTGGACGACGTGTCGCGGTTTGTGACTGAAGCAAAATCAGAGTGGTGAGAAATGCTGACTCCTTTCCTCTCGCCTATTCTTTCCTTTCCTCAATTGTTTTCTCTCACTATGAAGGCTGCTTCACAAGGTCAAATTTTGGAATGACATCTAACCCAATGAAATCGTAGTGGCGACAAGATACCCTCTGCGTTCATCATCACAGGACCCAACATTGCCTCACAAGATTTGCTATTTGAGCAGCTGTCAGACTCACTTCAGAAGTCCTCACCGAGTAAATTCATTAGGCTACGATCGTCAGAAGCGACCAACCTGAAGAATGCGCTGAAGAAGATTATTCAAGATGCAACGTCCAAGACGCTGGTAATCGACGGCGAGGAAGACTTGCAGCTTGGGCAAGGCTCAAAACGGCGATACCTACCGTATGACCTCGAGGCGCTGCATGAATTTTTGGGCCATCAACCCCACGAAAATATCTTTGTCGCGTTTCAGGATTCTGAGGGATTTGACAGCGGCTTATTATCCGACATCATCACTTTGCTTAGGTATGCGGAATTCATATCTGGTGCCAAGGGACGCGAAGAGTATTTTCTGTTTGCTAATATTAGATATACACAGCTCATGGCGGCCGCAGATCCCCTTTACTCTACTGTTTGGAATTGCTACGTCAATTGATCTACTGGAAAGCCGCCTGTTAAAGTCAGCGTGCCGCCTGATATACGGTGCGCAGTTTGATTGCGTTCAGACAGATACTATTTTGGAGAATGTGTTCAGAGGGGCTGTGATTTCCAGCGATGTGCCCCTTAGGCTAGGACCGCAGATCTTGAGGAGCATGCTTGATCGCCAACGGGACCACATGGCTGGTATTCAGGCATTTATAAGCTCTTTGAAGGTGAGATTGATCTGTGACCTAAAAATAGACCTTGAAGCTGACGACGGCAGTACATTTATATGTGCCATTTTTACGCCAACGCCCTCAGCGTCTTACTGGCTCCAGAGATTGAAGGAGGGGAAGAAATCCTACAAGCCGAGCACATTGAAGCACTGAGGCATCTCCCCTCGTTCCGCAACGAGGTGGAGAGGGCCGTTGGGCTCGCAACCGTTGACAGCCTCCAACATGCTCGCTCGCTTTTAGAGGACGATGAGTATCTACTCTTACAAGCCCGAGCAAGTAACGACTGTCGACAAGGCTGGATGGATGGCCACCTGCGCTCACTGCTCGTCAGGGAAGCCGCAGGAGCAATCCAGCCCCCACTCTCGCGGGCGTATGTCGATTCCCTCTCTACGACATATCCTGATTCAGGAAATGGTAGCCTAACAGAATACATCCGGCGTATGGGCATAAGCGCGCTTATTGGCCTGCTGCGTCGGGCCATCTCTATATTTCAGGAAGGAGAGCCGAGCTTGCGTCTCCAACCAGCATCACGGGAAGAAGACGTTGCGCTACTAGGCTTCCTGGAAGAGACGCTATCACGCCTAAAACAGCTCGAAGCGGACGCGGAAAGCGCAGGCATCACACTGCTCACCAAATATAGCAGCCAGAGCAAGGTGATGCGGACGACGGTCATTGCCCAGCGGGTTCAACTGAGTCGTGACTCTGCAGCCCTCCGCGACGAGGACAGGCAGTTGACGGACATTGTAGACGCAGTGACGGAACGGCTGACTGCACACATTAGGGCAAGCCGCCCCGACAAGGTGCTGTTTTCGGAGACGTGGCTGTATGACAGCAGATCGCCTCTACGGGATATCATGGTGCCACGGCCTCGAGTGACATTCAAGCGCAGCTTGGCGCGGCCATACGACTACCTGGCATGCAGCTGCTGCCGAGGCGGCGATGCAGAGGACGGTACGATGCAGGCGACACTTCCAGCCACGTCCATCCTATACCACTTGTATCTCGAGGCAGGCAGTTTGATCAATGTGGCAGATTTGTGGTCTGCATTTTACGCACTAGTGGGTGGGGATAAGGAAGGAGAAGGAGAGGAAGAGGAAGAGGGTGAGGAGAATGATGATGAACAGCGGCAGCAGCAGAAGCAGCAAGATGAACGCAAAGCTCTGGTCATGTTCTACCGCGGCCTGGCCGAGCTGAGGGCCATGGGATTCGTCAAGAGTAGCAAGAAGAAGACGGACCACATTGCTAAGGTGAGATGGTTATGAAGCGACAAGGCAAAAAAAGGAACCTCGGCCTGAGCTTAAACTTTGAAAAAGTATCATTATCTAGCATTACGTGGCTATTAGATTTACGAAGAAAGAATGCGTCCCGGCAATACGGAAACATGGGAAAGTCAGGGCACTCATGACACGCACAAGAGAATAAGACTGGAATGTAACAATTGAAGCCACCATTTGCCAAGTCCCATACTAAGGAGACGGCTGGCGCTTTCATTTTTTTTTCTTTCTCTTTACTAATAAGCAAATGGCGCTTTCTCCCAGCGAACTAGTATCTGCAATCGCCCTTTGAAGCCACGTGCGGCTGATGGAGCAAAGAGAGATTTGATGGGATCAGCTGAGGCCCCATGCCAAGCCCAACGCCCTTTCTTTTACTGCTAGTGGTGGTATTTCCCTTTTTTTTTTTTTTTTTCTTCATTCTTCTCTGCTGGCTTGGCCGGGAGCGGAAAGTGGCGAGCTGGAAAGCCATGGCCATCTACTGAAATACATGGACTTGCCAAAAGTGAAGCAAGTCATCGCGGTGGCAGTGTATATGAAGTGCTGTAGGAGTCTCGTGATGTACCCCAAAAAAAAAAAGGCGCGAGCACCGAGCCGTGAAATTTCTACGGAATACCTTGTACTTGTACATGCGGTTCTGCGACTAGTAGCCGCGAGGCGAGAGACAGTGGCGTGGACAAGGGTATCGGACGTTTCATTGGAGTGTTTTGGCTTGGTGTGTGGTATGGGGTCGCTACCCGAATTTATAGAAACATGTCAAGCGAAGCCGTGAATCTGGTTCCAAATCGAGGAGGGCAGTTCTTTAGCTCTTGTTTGGGCAGAGAATGCAACCCCAGTGGGTGGTAGTGAGTGTAGCTGCATACGTTTTTAATCTAATGTAATGTGTTGTTCAAGCACTTGTCATAATCATTTACAAAAAAGAGAAAAACGATTAATGAATGAAAACATGGAGCAGGCAGCCCGTAGGATTCAAACCAAAATGCCTTGATACCCCAAATGCCGCCTCGTGCATACTGTACTAAAGATGGGCGTACCCCAGGCTTGGGTACGTGATGTGCGCACATGGGAAACGGCAAGTGGGGAAAGGAGAAAGGAACGCTGTAAGGGAAAAAAAGTTGAGAAACAAAAAGAAAAAAAAAAAAAAGGTGAGTATCTTTTCGTTCTCCTTGCTTTAACTAGAGCGGGCACGGGTATGGTGGCTTGTTTCTATTTTCTGCTCATGGCGTAGATAGCGTAAGCTGAAACGGGCATAACGAAAAAGGGCTGAAAGCTGAAAAAGAAAAAGAAAAGAGACCCAAGGGCGGTATGTAAGGGGCGGTCTGTGCGAGATGATTGCTAACGAGTTGTCGAGGACCTATACTGTTATGTGCTTGGATGGTTTTGCAGATTTGATTGATTATAGGAGAAAATGGAGATTTACTAGGTACTACCAGTGCATTGTTGGGTTGTTGCGATGTAGTATGAACTGTGTTAGTTGGTGATATGCTTGGGTGATTACGAATGGAAATCATGTACAACGCGGTAATCTTTCAGTTAGTGCTGTGTAATTGAGCAAACAAAAAATGTCTCGGAAAGAAAGATGGAAAAGGATATTCCTTTGCAATCAAGTCGGGTCCGAATCAGAAAAAAAAAAAAAAAGTCTCGGATTTGGCCTGTATGTCTCGTTTGTCATTTTCGTGAATCCATATTACGGAGTGCGTGTGTATTAGGGGGGAGGGGGGGACCCTGTGTTTGTTTCTGGAGCTGAATGTCACTCAGCACGAAGCGGAAATTTTATACCTACATGTACTGGGATGAGGGAGGGGGGGCGTGTGTGTCGCAGAATGAATCACATTACGATATACCCATCACTCGTCTCTGTGTGATAGTCGACATGTTTGCTCCATTTCATTTGTTCTTTTCCTTTTTTTCATTCGACGAAATTGCAGCGAATAAAACACGTACTGTATAGCTTCTTGGGATCGGTAAGATGTTGCGCGCGTTTTGTCTCCGTTTACGGATACACGGGTTTTGTTTGTGCTTCGGAGGCTGGTGGTTCCACTAAGCTGGGGTTGGGAATTTGAGACATGTAAGATGAGAAGAGAGAGAGAGGTGGTGGTGGTGATGGGCAGAAATGAAAAAAAGTGACGACAGCGGTAGTATTGGTTACGGAGAACAATCTCACCTGAGCGGTGCCGTACGTGGTATATACGTGGACATGCATTAGCAGCTGGGTATGGTAGGCTGGCGATGCTACGTCTTTTCGGGCTATCGATGCCGGGCTATCGATGCTGGGCAAGTCGGTTCGTTCGCCATTGTTGCTGCTGTTGATTTGGGGCCGGCATTGCGATCATCGCTCGACCAACAGCGAGCCGAGGAGGCAGAGTAGCGGTATGGCATAACACACGATAATGCTGATGCTACTACAACAGTAAAACATGGCTCCATCTGCAGCCAGGCATAATCATACGCCTGCCGGTGGGCAAGGCTTCTTCTGTCTTGCGAGATATACGGTGTAAGGCCCCTTCCAAGAGGCTTGATCCATGGGCGTGAATAGTTTCTCATGCAGCATGCCGACTGACTCAAGCTGAACTTTGCGTCTCGCTCCTGATTGTAGCATCATGGCCTAGCCAGCAATACGCACCGCACTGCGACTCTATAATAAGTACGAGTGTCCACAATGACTCTAAACGTCTGCTGCCCTGCAGCTGCTAAGCCCAGCAGCCATTTATTTATTGTCTCTCTGCTAGCATGTCTTATATGTGACACACGCAGCTTTTAGTACGCCGGTGGGCTGCGCGGCTATGCCGTAGACAGCCTATCTATGCGTGCAAGCGGAAAGACAGGATCTCCAAGGGTCTTGTCCTGTTTGTTTCTGTTTCTTCTGATTAGTAGTACCAGTACTGCATGCATATAGTAGCATTCTCCCATCAGGGGTCTTTGGCAGTGGGCCAACTATGTTCTGGAAACAAAAGCGTCGCCTCTGAATCCAACGACCCCATGCAATTTCAGGCTGGCTCCGGGATTGGGCTGGCGGAGCTCCATGAGATTCTTGCGGTTGGACAAGATGGTGCCAATTAAGGAAAGGTAGTACATGCGTTGTCGATCATGTTATCCGTATTACTCTAGTTCGTGATCAGGCGACCGGCTTATCGAGCGAGTCTCGCTTTGGCTCGGGGAGGTAAAGCACAACTCCAATGGCAGTCACTGAATGCAAGAGTTCCGTAGCGCGAGAGCCGGCCAAGAGGACGGATTGGACGCCGTTGAATGCGAGTGCTTATGACCATCAGACACCATCCGCAGGGAGAAGGGCAATAGTCTCGCCTGCATGCAAGGCCTCGGGTCCTCAGTGGCAAGGAGGCTCAATTGGTGTCTGGCGGCCACATGGCTGGGGCGGCCTAGAAGCCCATGTGCCACCGATCCGTTGCCATCATGGGCTTTGTGCAGATCGCGCGCGCCGCAGGGCACCAACTGCATGCAAGTATAACCTGTTATTCGGGCACCAGGTAGCATTGGCCGGTCCGGTAAATGAGAAGCGGAAAAGCAAAGAGAAGCAGCGTCAACGGCAAGGGAGTGCGGCATGACTCCAGGTCGCAACCGAAAATAGCTCCATGTACTCAGTTGCCGGCCCAGCATTCCAGCATTCCAGCCCAAAGCACCGGCACGCCGTGGACCTGGCCGCTCGCTGTCTCGCCTATTTGGCCTCTTGCGCTGCTTCCTTCGGCGTACTTCAGGCAGGCCTGCTGCAATTGAGACGTGGGGCGGTGGTGATTTGATGGCTGAGAGGGGGAACCGGCCTTGGATGGATTGAGCATCGCCCGGAACCAGCGTCGCCGGGCCACGAGCTGCGGATCCGGGAGCCGAAGGGCCTCTTTTGTCGCTCGCTCTCGGTCTGTTGGCATCGTCGAAGCTAACGTCGACGGAGACATTGACATTGGCATTTCTGGTCTCGGCGTTGGGTCGAGTTGGTCGAGCTGCCGTCAATGGCCATTCATTCGCCGGCAGCACAATGCCACCGCATATGGAGGCCCAGCAAATCACGCAGAGTCGCATCCATCGTCACGCTGTCTGTTTGTCCGTCTAGGGCCCTGGAGGGTCAGCTCTGCTAGAATGTCTCACTCTGGCGTTGTCGTGGCTGCGTCCGTCGCAAAGCTCTGCCCCTCCCCAATGGCCATGGACCCCCCGGCGAGGTAGCGTCCAACTACAACCGCTGCGGTGGTAAGGGCTGGCTGGAATTGTGCTCCATTTGCATCTCTCCTTGCCGCCGGGGGCACGAATCTGAGGGACGGAGAGATCTGGATTGCGGGATTGGAGAATGGCGGGACGAGGGTGTGGGACTGCAAGCCGGCGATTGATACAAGGACTACGTGTGCCAGGCGGTATCAGCACCTGCATCTTGGGCAGCCACTGTAGAGGCGCGCTGAAGGTCTGCTGGATTAGCGGCTGGTGCCAGTGCGTTTTAGTGCTTCGATGCGACCTGGCGCTGCATCGCTGGCCTGTAACGGGCTCTTCCAGCGGGCGGGGCCCCAGAGATTCAGCGCACGCGAGCGGCGGCTGCTCCGTCGCCTACAATGCCCAGGTACCGGTACCAAATCACGGCTCAGCGACAGCGGCTTGGCTTCGGCGCCTTGCCCAGAGCAGTAGCCAGCTGCGTGGTGGGTGGGGACCGCCAGCGCTGTCTCGTCGCAATACCACAAGTAGCAGCAAAAAGAGGCGCCTCCAAGGCGGCGTGGCTGGCAGAGCCAGAGACAGCAGCAATGGGGGCGGCTGAGGGCCCCAGGCCTCTTCCCAGATCCCGGCCCCAGCGCCAGCGCCAGCTCCGGGCTCTAGACCAGACTCCTGGCGCTGGGCTGCCGACACACCCCACGGCCGTCATGGATCAACTGCTGATGCTGATGAAGAGGCTGCCGTGGTAGCGGCACTAATAGGGGGCCCGGCAGGCACAGAGTTGTAGATGTAAGGCGATTGCGTGCATATTAATATAACTTTAGTAGCGAAGCACGAGCTGGGGTGAGGCGATTACCGACTGTCCGTCCCCTCCACCAACCTATAAAGACTCTCTGGCCTCTGTTGAGCGAGCGAGTCGAGGCGTGTCATTGCATTCCTCCTCTGTGCCGCCTCGATCAGTGCCTATTTATTATTACACCACCCATCCAAAGGAAGAAACAACAGTCAGCACCAGCACCTGACCACGGGTCTCAGCCTTGTCCTCCATCCTGCGTTGCCCAGAAAGGAAATATTAATACTTCGCCGGAAGGATCCTGCCAACCAAATCGTCATTTTAAAAGGGAAGCTAGGGCCTGCTGCTTAGAGAGCCTGCAACTGCCTTTGATTGTCTCGCATCCGGTGCAACAGCAGCTACAAGGTGAACAGGAACGAAGGAACCAACAACAGGAGGCGCTGTTTCCATCTATAAACAGCCAGGGGACACGAGCAAATTTATTTGTTTTGCTTTCGGGGGAGTCAACCTTTCTCTGCGCCCTTTCGTTTTCATACAAAGGAGCAAACAAGAAGGATTCTAGCTGAGCAAGCCTCGCTGTCTCGCCTGGCATTTGAGCTTGGTTTAGCCTTTGACGGACTCGTACATTGCGCACGCGCACAACGGACGCTCCGCATTCACACAGGCGCTTCTACTTGGCCGACCCTCGCTAGGCTCTTCTTTCCGAGAACGGCCAACTTTGTACGAAAAGCAAAGACACGACAGCAGGCGATCTCAGATCTCATTAGCAGCCGAAGCGCTCGATTTTTATTTAAACGAGCCCAGATTTCCTCTTGAAGCGAAAAAATTGGCACTCGTCATCTGTGTGCTGAATTGTGGATTCGCGCGTCGTGGACAGTGAGCCTCGTCATCGGCACCACCGCAGCCTTTGTCTCAGCCTGCTTCCATCTTGACACCAAGAAGAGAGGGAAAGGAAAGGAAGGGAAAGGAAAGGAAAAGAGGAAAATCACCACCAAAAGTACGGGAAACATAATCATCTCCTTGTCAATATCTTCCACCGCCGCCATGATGCACCACCGCCGCCTACCGTCCCACCACCGCAATCACAAGACATCTCTTCGTCGCCGCCTCGCCAAGAATCCCGAGCTCGCCCACAAGCTAAACCAGATGGCCCTGCCCCTGTCTCCTCTTGTCCAGCTCACTACCGGTGCCATCCACCCTCATTTCCCGCGCACTGTGCTTCAGTTCTGGCTCCTCACCGATGCTCAGCTCGAATCCCTTGCTCAGTTCTACCACCAGCGCACTCCATCACCTTGGTCTAGGCAGTACCCCTGCCCCGTCAACTGGCGTTCCGATGCACCACTTGAAGAGAAGCGCCGCAAGATGGGCAGGTTCATCGGCCTAAGGGGCTGCGAGAACCCAACGGCTGTTCTCAAGACCGAAGAGCAGATTGCAAGAGACGCCAGACTCGCCAGCAGGAATGCGGCTGATGAGGATGTGTGGAGACGGAAGATGAACCCCTTCTCTCAATTGTGATGGGCAGATCGGTTCATTTCCCTTTTCGTTTCATTGGCACAGCATTGTTTTATTATTATCAATTGTCATCACGGATCTAGAATCGGCATCCTCCTTGGTGAAGGATGACTTCTGGCTCTGGGGCTTAGAAAGGATTTATGGCGTTTTGTTTTGTTTTATTTTTGGGTTTCCAGCCATTGGATTGGGATGGTTCCTTTGAAACGGCTACTACTTGCATTTTAGATTGGCAACTTGACACTGCCATTCCCGCCAGGGACTTTCGTACATACTCTGTATACACTTGTGTTTAACTACAGGTCGTGAGAGTCGGGAGGGCTTATAAGAACATCATACACGGAGCATCGGCGGGAGAGGTGGATTAACGGAAGGCCTGTGTAGGGAACATTAACAGCAATGACTCGATACGATTTGAACATACTAGTTTGTCATTTATACCAAGAAAATAAAGACAAATTTAATTAACCTTTCGTCTTCCTCATTTTATGGGGAGCGTGACTTGGTAGAAACTACACAACCTACCTAGGCGTCATATGTGAGGCGAAGATTGGCAGCTGGCAATCAAGACAGAAGATATCAACTACCTATCTACCCACCTAGGCCTATGTATATCGAGTGTCTAGGTAGCTACACTGCCTTGTTAATTTATATACATGTATCTAGACAAGACTACAGAAAGAGTAGTGATAGCAGTACGCCACGAAGACAACAAAAAAGCAGCGACAAGCACAAAGGACGGAGATGTTGAATGGTCACGTAGTTCCACCTGTATTTATCGAGCTCATCCGTTTGCTTAAGCAGCTTGCTCCTTTTATACCGAATCCGTAAAGTTCACCAAGATACTGAAGACCTCTGATGGAAAGAGAAGAAGGCAAAGGGAAGAAACAAACATCTGATAACTCCCACTTCCGCAAACGCGTCGCCCAAAGTGTGACAATCAACAACCGCACGACACAAATTTACCAATGCAATTAAATGATATAGACATTCGAATAATCAAGCACCTCAGCATCAGAATTACAGGGGCTCCAACGAGGACGTTGGGAATAGTTCAAGTGGCGGCACCTGTCATGTGCACCAGACAGCGGCCACACAGATATACGGCCAGTAGCAGTAGCGGCTCTTGCTACAGATGAGGCATCACTATGGCCGTAGGGTAGAAGATTATTATATATTATATTTGGATAACACCTGGAGAAGCTCCCACAGTAGATAATAAGCTTAGACCAGCTTTAAAGGAAATAAGAGCTATATCAAGAGAAGACTATAAGAAGAAATCATCAACTGTTCTAGTTCAGGAAGCAGGAGAATTTTTTTTTATTAGATTATAAAAAGGAAAATCTAATAATTTAACTATAAGAGATTATAACTAATATAATAGTCTCTGTAAGCCATAGAGTTTCATACTGCAAATGACCCATTGTACCTGGCACGCCAGCTTTAAACAGCTAACAAGGAACTCCGCCTAGGTTGCCTTCAATTTTTCGACATCTGATTTGGTCTGCTTGATGTCCTTACGCATTGCATTGACCTCCGCGGCGTGACAGGTGTTGGTTGGTGCTGTTCCCGGCTTCGTTTTGCGCGACTTCAGGTATTGGGGCTCGTCCAGATCGTCGTCTTCGGATTCGTTGTTCCTGATGGGAGGTACGAGGCTGGCGAGTGGATCCTTGCTTGGGCGTGAGCCAAACTTCGGAGGAGTCAGTTTGGGCTTGGAGGGAAAGGGGTTCATGTTTGTCAGGAGCTTGTTGATGTCGAGACCTGACATCGGATATGTGGCATGTAGTCGGTCAGAGGACTGAAAAATTGCGCGAAATTTTTCAACATTGCGCAAGGCTACGTGGTGACGAGAGCGGGAAGATAAGGCCAATGTCACCTTGGCTGAGTTTGAATAATGAAGTTTCTGAATAGTTTAAAGACAAAATCTGAAGTCTGCGGACCTGGGAAAAGGAGAAACATCGCCGGTTGGCTGCGGTCAACACTACGACATTCGGGGATCACTGCGGTGAAACAGGTCCCATTGCTTATATCCCCGTCACCAAGTTATTAAAGATCAGAATGGACGAGTCGATGATCCAAAAGCTAGTATCGTAAGCCTCCGGTCTCGTAAAAGCTGCGTTGTGCTGTTTATGGCACTATCTTGGCTACGGCAAAAGAAGAATATGGTATGGCCCTAGATAATGCTAATCCTTGCCTTGGATTGCAGTGGCAGAAAATCAGTGACAGCAGGAAAGTCGCCGGGAGAATATTGATACCGACCTCACGACATTGGAGAGCGCAAGAGAGTTTCTATCGGCCGCTGCCAAAGCGGAGATTGTCACTTAGAGCAGACTGCTACTGCTGCTACTGCCGAGAAAGGGTAATTAATTGTATTTGGAAAATCACTAGGCTTATGAGAGAAGAGTATCTGAAGTTATATAAAGGATAAATTAATTAAGAAGGAAATAAAATATGTAGGAATGCAAGGGCCAGTAGTGTATGAAACTTAGGCCTACTATTGTGCTGCTTGGTTCTACCTCGAATATCACTCCATGAAGACTGAAACGGCTCCGGTCATTTCGGCGAGCTTCCTTTAAACTGGAGTCACTTCGTGCAAAGACCAGATTACTACCGAGGCGAATATAGCACGTTTAATAGTCTTTGCGAAACAATTTAACAATGAGCAAAGCCAAGCTAGCTTGACCCTTGGACTGGCTTCGTAATTCTTTCGGACAATCACAGCTAATAACGAGGGAAGGGGGATCCTATTTGCCATGTTATATTATTATCATAGAATAATTCTACAGCACTTCAATCATTTGATCCAACACCCCCGCGTTCGCTTTATAGAGCAGTGAAACTATACATAAAATAAAATGTTATATTCACTTAAACCTAGCAGCAGTAGCAGCGGTAGCACATTCTAAAGCACTGAATCCTGGTATTGGGGTGCTGGACAACTTTTTCCTTCATAGGTATATACTAGGAGGTGATAGTTGTCAATCCTTTGCTGAAGTATGCCGAACTTTTCTGGTCCCATTATGTATTTTTATTTTGTATTTTCTTTGATAATTTTTAAAAGCTTTCTGCAATGAGATTTCCCAGGACCTGATTTTGCATTCATGTAATTGGGCCTATGAAGAACCAAAGTGACCCTTTCCCTTCTCTCCCTCGAATGAATATATGTACATTGACACAGTAACTGTGTTGAAACCACCAGCCTCGCGTCTACATCTGCCTCTCCATCTCACTCTTCTATTATTTCTTGCCACCCTTCTTTGGTGAGTCAACTACCACGGCGTCATCCTCATTCCCGTCCTTTGTTGAGCCCTTCTCAGACTCTTCAAGTTCCTTCATGAAGTCTGCCTGGATCTGTCCCCTCTTCTTGTCCCACCAAGCCTTCTCGGCATCAGTCTGGGCTTGGATCTCGTCTAGGCGCTGGCGGAGCTTTGTGTTGGCGGCGATTTCGTGGGCGGACTGGAAGATGATGGTGCCCCAATTTGGTGCCAGGGCATTGGCCTAATGTAAAATTGAGTCAGCGGTCTCTTCATTTCTCTTTGTACCTAAACGAGGGTAAAGGGTCGACATACCTCTGTAACAACATCTCTAAGCTCCTCTTCCATTTCTTTCTCAGCGCGTAGGAAACGTTGCCAAAGGTCATCGCCTACGCTTCCTCTTTGCAGAAGCGAGCCACATGCTTGCTTGGCGGTCTTGATGTGGATCAGGCGCTCGATATCCTCAACTGCGCGTCGGAGAAGGGCTGCTCGCAGGACACCATCGGGGACCTTGGGGGACTTTTCGCCGCCCTCTTCGGGATCAAGGTGCAAGAGGGAAAGATAGATGTCTCGCTGGAGGTGAGGGCCGAACCAAGGTGCGAGGTTTGCGCTTTCAGCTGGTGATGATTTATAATGTCAGCGTCGGATACTAGACGAGGGAACGCCGAGAGGAAAGGGAAAAGAGAGCAGCGCCGTACCAGCCTTCCGTCTGCGATAGATGGTAGAAAAGGTCATGAGAGCACCGCCGAGAACAAGCAGGTAGGCGAATGGAAGGGCGAGGCCCTTCCAGTCAATGTCGAACATTTTGTCGACGTGGGCTGTGGACAATCAATCGCCTGCGGCTGTGTAGTGGTTTGCGAGATGGAAACGCCGAATTGTTTGCCTCTCTTTTCAAAGAACTGCGCCAGAAGACAAAAATGAGCGGATGGAGACAACTGTGTAGTTGAGTGAGTCGTGAGTCGAGGGTCGAGAGTCGAGGGACGGTTTTTTTCCCTATGGCCACTTATTATAAACGAACAGAGCGCACTGGCCGGCCTGCTGATGCTTATCGACACGTCGCACACATGCCCATCTTTTTCTGGCCAGATTGGCGGCTGCAAGGCTGTCGCGGGGTACGTACCGAACAACTGCCGCTCTCTTCCAAGCGGGTGTCCGGTATCTTAGTGCCTTAGTGGGTACTATGTAACTAGTACTATAGCCATAGGCCCTGAAATAATACAACTAATTGCAGTATTAGGTCCCGGAATAATATTAGGGAGAAATTATCCAGCACCCTAATTTTATTATTCACACCCTAACTGTAGTATAATAGGGCAGCTGGTTTATATATTAAATATACAGCTGCTAAATATTTATTAAAATAGCAGTAGTAGCAGTAGTAGCAGCCTAAGCTACAGCTGGAGTGCTAAATAACATAATCAGGGTGCTAGATAACTTCTCTCTTTATTTTTGGGGTGTTGGATAACAGAACTGGGGTGCTGGATAATAGCTCTGAAAAACCACAGCCAACCATAGGCAGTATCAGGTCCAAGAAAATACAACTAACTAGGTAAGTAGAGAAGTATTGGTCCTAGAGAAAATATGAAAGATATTGAAATGTAAGTAACTTTCAATCCTGGAATGCGTGAAAATTAAGTTTCAGTATCTAAACTCAAGGCGCTACCTGTAGCTAGCAAGGGAGCTTTGCAGCGCAGCGGGCCGATTAATCTTCCACAGCACAACTGCTTACTTCATCCAGATGTGGCGCCTGCTTCAGGCACACTGTGGATGACGCTCGACGTACAGTTACTGCTGGAGCTTCGCATGATTTCATCAAGCTTCAGCTTCTTCTCCTCCGCGCCTTTCCTCTTCGCTGCGCAGCTTGTCATGCTGCAGCGTCACCTCCCTGCCGATTTGTAAACCAGTGACTCGAATTTCTTCTTTTCTCTTCTCTTCTTTTCCCTCCGCATCGGCCTGTGCCTCGAGCTATAGCCGTTCTTCTATTATAGCCAAACTACCTTGAACTCCCCCCCCACTAACATACCGCGCACGACACTTTGGCTTTTACAACCATTATACGCCCACTCGCCCACCATGTTGATCAGACTTCGTGGGCCGGATGGCATGATCCGCATGACGTTAGACCCAACAACAACATTTGGCGACTTGGGACAGCAGGTGGGTATCTTGGCGGGAGACCCTTGACGTGCCTGTGAATACTAAATGGTGCTTTCAGCTGCTTGCTCAACTACCTTCGACCATTGACCCAAAAACAATCGTCCTGTCAAACTCCCCGACCGGTCGTGATGCGAAGAGGCTAGGTGATATTGTTCAGTTTCAGATCGGTCAGATCGGCCTCAAGTACGCCATCGTCACAGTTCGCGTATAAGACGGAGGCTTGGGAAGCACCACTAACAAGATGATTACAGGCATGGCGATCTGATATTCCTCAGCTACCAACACGAGACTGAAAATGATACCAACGGCGAGATTCCCGCCCCCGTGACTTCTGCCAGACTCAACGGCAAGCCTGTTCTGCCCACAGAGGACTTCCCCATCGACCCCAAGCCCGAAAGAATCTCGAAGCCCTGGGAGACCGTAAAGCAGTCGGCCTTGGACGACCGGTTGGATAAGCTGGATGGTAAGATTCCTCGAGGTCGAGATCGGATGTGTCGACACGGACCCAAAGGCATGTGCGATTATTGCCAGCCCTTGGACCCCTTCAACCCAGGCTATCTGGCAGACAATGGAATCAAATACCCTTCTTTCCACGCTCATCTACGCAAGATAAACTCCGCGACGAACAAACCAGAATCCGGAACGTCATATATACCTCCTCTCGTGGAGCCATATTTCCGAGTCAAGAGAGACTGCCCATCCGGCCATCCGGCTTGGCCAGAAGGCATTTGCACAAAGTGCCAACCGAGTGCAATTACTCTCAATCCTCAGACATTCCGCATGGTGGACCATGTCGAATTTTCTAGCCCTTCCATAATTGACGGATTCATTGATACCTGGCGGAAGACTGGCTCGCAACGACTTGGCTATCTTTATGGCCGATATGCAGAGTACACCAAAGTCCCACTTGGAGTGAAGGCTGTCGTGGAGGCTATTTATGAACCGCCGCAGGTCGATGAGATTGATGGAATCAGCATGAAAGCCTGGGAGAACCAGAAAGAAATTGATCATATTGCTAAGCTCTGTGGATTGGAACCTGTAGGTGCCATCTGGACAGACTTACTCGATTCAGGACATGGCGACGGATCCGTTGTTTGCAAACGCCACCTCGATTCATACTTTTTGTCATCTCTTGAGATCTGCTTTTCATCTAGGCTGCAGGCGCAATACCCCAAGCCCTCAAAGTGGAGTGATTCTGGCCAGTTCGGCTCCAATTTTGTCACTTGTGTCATCACAGGCGATGAAGAAGGAAACATTGCCATCTCAGCATATCAGATGTCCAATGACGCTGTCGAAATGGTGCGAGCTGATATAGTTGAGCCGTCAGCAGACCCCAACTCTATGCTTGTTCGCGAAGAAGAGGAAGATGACGGCTCGCTCAGTCGGACGAGATACATTCCCGAAGTGTTTTACAGCAAGGTGAACGAATACGGGGCAAAAGTACAGCAGAACGCCAAGCCAGCGTTCCCTGTTGAATATCTCTTTGTGACTCTAACACACGGCTTCCCGGACGAGTCCAAGCCCACATTTACGCAGACAGGATTCCCCATCGAGAACCGCGAATACATTGGCGAGAGTCAAGAGCATTCGGCCCTGGCACGAGCGTTGAACTTGCGATCTGGCCAGAAAGCCAGTGACAACGGCCAAGAAGTATCAAACTTTCACATTCTCTGCTTCATCCACACACTCGGAGTTCTTTCAAAGGTTTGTCTCTCGATTTCCTTTTCAATCTTACAACTAGGCTCTTTTACGCATGCATCTTACTAACCATTGATTCCTCTCCTCTCTCTCCAGGATGAGGAAGCTCTTCTCTGCCGCGTTGCCACCCAGCATGATCTTGCCGACTCATTCCAGCTCCGCTCTACGCAAGGTTGGCAGACACTACAGGCCATCCTGAAATCGACTGGTGAGCGAATCCCCAAGCGTTTACGGGAGCACGATGAAGTTCCGCTGGCGACCGCGTCTTCTTCGCTTTCTTCATCTTCTTCTTCATCTTCTTTGCACTCCAAGGCCCCTTCTGTTGTTAGTGAGCCGGGTGAGCCACTTGCTAAACGGTTTGCTGCCTTCAGGCTGAATGAACGTCGTGCCGCAACTCCAAGCAATCTTTCGCCACCACCGCCGCCGCCTCCTCCTTGAGCTTCTACTGTGGGTTTGAAAAGAACAGATTCAAGATTGCCATCATTTTCTTTTTAGGCGTGTGACACTAGCAGGGAGGTTCCGAGGGACAGGATATATACTTCTACTTCTATCATATAATCAGATGGCGTGGATTCATTACCAAAAAGGAACAAGCCGTCAGATATCGAACTAGGGTTGTTTAATGGCATTGGGATGGGCGGTAATATTGCTTAGGGATTAAATGCAGGCATATAGACTAGGGACAAAATAAAGCGAGTATATTTCTCTGGTAACAACATTTACGAGCTCCAAACATGCTCTAGCCTTGAAAACATTATCAAATCACAGAAGCAAAACGAAGGCTAAACGTAGCTGAGGTATCAATACGAAGTATAGGCAGCATTACGACTTGATATCTTTTCCTTCTGTCAACGAAAATGAGTACCATTGCCTGCAGTTGGTGAAGGGAAATAACAGCTGGTAGGCCTGAGGCGGCAACAGGTACCTCATCGTTTCTATCTATAATCTATGTTGCCTCTTTCAACTCCTCCATCACTTTTCATCTTCTCCTCTTCAATGCTCTCAAGATACCTGGCCGTTTTCATCTTGCAACGCGCGCGGTTTGTTTTATTTTTTAAAAGCGTTCATCAGCAACATGGACACGGAATACACAAGTGAGATCAAATCTGAAGATGAACGAGAAGTCCAACGCACAACTATTGAATGCGATATCCCCGCTGCGGCCATGCCCACAGAAGAAACAATTGCTGAGGAAACAGCCCCAAATCCCATCGAATTACCATTCTGGAAACCCGATGATCGCGATAACGTTATAACTCACGCTATCTATCGCCAACTAATTGAACTGTATATCCAAGAACATGAGACGTGGGATTCTCAAATGCGCAGCGACATGCTAGTAGAATCAAAAAGCCTAGATTATCGCATATTCAACAGCAGGGGGGCTATGTGCAGCCATATTTTGCATAAAAGAATGAAACAAAAAGTCACTTGGCCACGATTCTGGACGCTCCGAGTGATGTTTGGACCCGCGACTTGCGCCAGGCAGACTTGGTTCCCCGAGGTTTTGAAACGGTTTCCCGATTTTGCGTCGAAGTCAGCTTATACGGGCGTTGTGCCTCCTAACTTTGAAGAGGTGCTTGAGTTGAACGAATGGGTGCCGCCTGCTCCTACGCTTGAAGAATGCGGCAGACCCAGAGTGATGAAACGCCCAGCTGCCTCGATTGGAATACGCCGGTTCAGGAGACAGAAAGAGGGCACAAATGGTGTTTCAAATACATCAGCAATGACGGCGGCGGCGGCGACGGCTTCACCAACACCTATGTTTACTCTACTGCGAAGCCTCGAAACTAATAGCACGGGACAATCAGTCGAAGCGCCTGCTGCAATGAGCCGACAGTCCATGATTGCACCCGACTTTGGCACAAACGAGATGCCACCGCCGCGTGATAATGGTGGATTACGAAGCAAGTTTAGGCCACTTGAAGAAGTACAATCGTCTCAAATGAATCATCTCGACATGCAAAACCAGGTTAGAGAACTTGGCGACGAGAATATCTATTTGCGGCAGATAAACGCGATACAGCAGAGATTGATTGAACAATACCAGGAGAGAATTCTTAGGCTGGAAGCGGAAAGCAGAGTGATGCGAGGGAGAGGCTGAAGCGAGGCAGAATATGGGCGGATTCGGTTGCTAAGATTAGAAACGACGTGATGGATAGGTCCATCGTGTCTCGGGACGAACAGAATCAGCTCGTGGGCTCAACTATAGTCCTAAGTTTTTATTTAATTTTTGCTTACCAAAGAAGTTGCTCAGTATCATGAAAGCCACGACATTTCAGTTTTGCATTCTACATTGGCCTATTGGAATACACCAATCATACCTATTAACCTAATGAAATTCTTGAGGTGGTTTTACGTATAAATAGGTGACAAACATGACTCTTTACGTGACTGCTAAGAGGGAATGTGATTGCACGTGCCCTTCCTTCCCGAAAAAGCCGTCTCAGACTAATTTTCCATCTCTATGTCTTACTTTCCAGAATATTAGATCTAACATCTCGGACTAGGAATGCAACAAGGTTACTCGGCGCAAACGAAACAGGATACAGAAAAACAGAGAGAAAACATGCGCCTGGAACTCCAGGGAGAGGACGTGCATCGAGTTCTCGAAGTATCGGGCGTTCAACCGACAGAGGGTAAAGGGTCTGAAACAAACTGGCTGGAAGATCGTGGAATGCGGCAAATTGAACACCATGGATCACGAATGTTCTAGATCCCCGACGCTCGGTACTGGCCGGTCACATATTGGCGGCGTTTGTGCTGGAAGGCTACTCCGTTCTGAAATGGTATATAGACAAAGTTCTCGCATTTGGATCATTCAAAATTCCCAGCGCCAAGACCTTGGAGTTTCGATCCCATATCTCTTGAGTATCAGTCATTGTTGGCCGTCACTCATTGGTTCCTGACGCATCTCCATCCAGTCTACGTTCCATTAAGAGGCTCCCTCTTAGATTTCCGGAAGAAAATTGCCTCTGCAGCTGCGTTGCAGGCATGGAGGTCCAAATTGGCGGTGCTATAGGCCCGAAAGAAAGGGACCCAGCCTGATATACCATGGATTAGAGCAGTATAAGAATCATGATGCCCATGCTGTGTCACAGATCTGACCGAATCGCCGTCTAGCCCCTTATTCTGTCACGGCAGCAGACGCAGTCCCTTCCGTCTTGTCAGTCATTAAATCAGTTTGGCCGGATATTTGTTTGTCTCGAAGCTCAACATGAAGTCGAGCACAGCCATCATTCTTCTTGCTGCGCTTGCAGGGCACTCAGTGGCAGCACCAGCCGGAAATGCTGCTTTGCAAGCTCAGCAACAAGACACCGACGCTTTGAAACTACTAGCAACCCATTTATCGACGGGCGAGCTCACTCGATCAGACCGAGCACTGCTTAGCCACTTGTTAGTAGCGGCTTCTTCGCTGCAAAAACGAGGAGCAGATGCGGCAGATGCAACAGATGCAACAGACAGCATCTTCAGCGCCCTGGTCGGTGGAGGTGTAAGAGCTAGCATCGGTGGTCTTCTTGCTGGAGTTTCTGGTCTCGTCACTCAGCTCTTAGGAGGCCTGGGCAGCGGTGGTCTCAATGGCTCTGCCTCACTTAATCTTGGCAACAGCGGTGGTCTCAACTTAGGAGGCTCTTTGGGGCTTTCTGTGCCCTCCGGTGGCGTCAATGGACTCAATTTGAGCGGTCTCACCGGCGCCGTGTCGAGTCTTCCGCCGCAGAACATTTCCCTTCCAGGTGCCATCAGCTCGCCTTCCATCAATATCACTATTATTCCTGCAAACCTCTCTCTTCCTGGAAACACCTCTGCTGGAGCCACAATCTCTCTTCCCGGAAACGCAATCTCTCTTCCTGCCAACATTACCGGCACGGTAGGCAACGTTGGCGGTGCTCTCGATGGCTCTGGGCCGGATTTGACCAAGCTCAGTACTGCCGTAAATGCGATTTTCAGGAACCTTGTCAGGGGCCTGGACGATTCCGTACTTAGCAGCTTGACTACCATCATCACAAATGCAAATGGCAATGTGCAGAAAGCTACAGACGACATTAACCAATTTGCTGCTTCACATGGATTAGACCCCAGCCGTATCTTTGCAGCTCTGAAGAATGTCCTGTCCTTTGAAAGTATCGATTCTCACGCTACAGATCTTCTAAAAGGTTCAGGTGGTCTACTTGGAGGCCTTTTGATTGCTCTAAACAGTTTGCCTAAAACAGGCAATCTTGGTCCGATTAACCTATCTGCTGGAATCAACGTGGGCTCTGTAGCTCTGCCCACTGGAACTCTGAATGGCTTGAACACAACGATTGGGGGTCTTCCTGGCGGCACTTTGGGCGGTTTGAACATTACTCTTGGAAATATTCCCGGCGGAGGTGTTACTACAACAGTCGGAAACATCACAACCGGAGCAAATGTTGGAATCAGCCTGCCTGGCGGATTGACCCTCGCCGAAATTCAGCATCTGATTGACTTTATCCACGGCGCTACTAGCCAGCTCTCGGTGACGAGAGAAGTTCAGCGAATCGCCGCTCTGCACAATATTGATCCTGTTGCTCTTGCCCGCCCTCTGCAGAGCCTCCTAGATGGAAGTGTTACTCCTATCAACACTGGAATCGTGCCGCCTAACTTGCAGAATGGAACTATTGGAGGTTTGACTGGAAGTCTCCCTGCCATTAACGTGACTGTTGGAGGAGGGTTGGCTGCAGGTCTCCCTGCCATTAACGGAACTGTTGGAGGAGGTGTGGCTGTAGGTCTTCCTGCCATTAACGGAACTTTGGGAGGGCTATCTGGCGGTCTCTCTGGCCTTTTGAATGGAACCCTTGGAGGACTTACTGGAGGTCTTCCCGGTATTCTCAACGGAACTCTTGGGGGCTTGACTGGAGGTCTCCCTGGCATTAACGGATCTCTAGGAGGTCTGGGTGGTTTGGGCGTCGGTCTTGGCGGCGGCTCTAATCTGCTTGGTGCCCTCGTCAACGACGTTTCTGGGCTTCTTACGTTTTTGTTATATTTACTGGGCCTCGGTGAATCATTAGGAAGTCTTGGAGGTCTTGGACTAGGAAGTCTTGGAGGACTAGGAAGTCTTGGAGGACTAGGAAGTCTTGGAGGACTTGGGGGACTTAGAGGACTCACATCTAGGCTCCTCCCTGGTAACCCTGCAGTCAACTTGACAGGACCTCTGGGTTCACTCACTGGCAACGTGACGGGGACACTGGGTTCTATCACGGGTGGTTTGCCAGGTGTGATTGGGGGTGCTACCAACTCTACTGGATCTACTCTGGGGTCTATTGTCTCGGGCCTCAACTCGACACTCCCCGGATTGGTGCCGAATTTGACCTCTGGCTTAGGATCTACCGTTCCTGGTATTGGTGTTAACCTTAATGTAACCATCTCAACTCCATCTGGCTCACCCGTTGGTGGGTTAGCATCAGCTCTCTCGGGCATAGCTTCTACTGCCGCTGGTCTTGGCAGCGGCCTATTGAACGCAACTGGCTTGGGATCAATCATCCCTGGTCTATCCCTTTCTGCCGGCGGCAACCTCACTGCCGGCGGAAACCTCACTGCAGGCGGAAACCTTGCTGCAGCAGGCAGAGGCAACGGAGCTCTTGGGCTGGGTATCGGGCTGAAAAACATGCAGCTTCCCGATGAATCTGACGAAGACAACACCGCACTAGTGTTTGACCCCAGCGGCTCCGACGAAGACGATGAAGGTTCATTCGAATCAAATAGCAGGCGGTCTCATTCTGCCCGATTCCGAGCCTCGGTTCGTGCAGTCAATGCTGGAATCGTCGCGTAAAATGCGTTTCCAAATGAGGGTGCAATGCCACACATTTGAAGACTTGACCGTTTAGTTTGGAAGGTGACAGGAATATGGGCGTCATCAACAAGCTGTTTGCGGAATAAGGATTATAAGATGGAAATTAAGCAGTATTTATATGATTACATGTTTTTCGTTTTGAGATTTAAACAAAGTAGCAGACGAAGCGTCTGGATAAGTATACGATAGTTAGTTTTTAACCACAATTATAACACATAATTTATGGCAACGGTAGAGAATTCATTTCCCCCGTCATCTCTATCATTCCTATCCTAGTGGCGTTACATTATTTTCTTCACAGTCTAGTTCTAACCAATATCTGTTTTATCATTGCAAGCCATGTACACGTCTAGTTCGCCGTCTTGAAAGAAGATGTCCTGATAATCGTTCCTCGTCACCATGAAAGGCCTTAAGGGTCAGTTAGGTCGGCGGATCTAAATCGCGCGACATGGCGACAAGACGTGCAGTCGATGATTCTTTGTGACATTCGTAAAGTTGTTGGAAGAGATCCATGCTAGATGTAGTGATATGCGTTGTTGTGACAATATGTTGTAACAATATGTTGTTGCAAGATGCAAGATTTAGAGAAGACGAAATGTCAGATTTCTCTCCCAAGTACCAGGAATTCTGGTCCTCAGGCAAATTCGTCCACATCATTGCGTGACATTCAACACGGCCACCTGCATCACCAGACCGCCCCCTTTAGGAAATCTATCCGTATGCCTGATTAACTTGCGACTGCAAACAGCCCACAGCAGTGAATCACTCTGCAGAGTTTTGGGATGAAGTCTTTGATTCACCCTGACCTTCTTATCAAGCGCACTTTGTCAAGGCGATAGTATTCACAGAAGCATCTGGCGACATTTCATCGCTGTTGAAGAGACAGGTCTTCATTCACTGATGTAATCATATAAATAGCGTATACATGTTAGACAAGCACTTTGAGCTGCCTCCTAAGCTATTTTCTTTTCTGGAATCATGTACGCCTTTGGTTTTGAGCCATCTAGATACGCGGCAAGTATGTGCGAGCAGCTCTTCAAATACGACTGTGGCCACTTGTATCGCCGCATCCTTTGCTGCAACAGGCCACGAGAACAGCATCTTTCATCAACGTCCTTCTCCGGCCAGTCTCCATCCAGCGAAAGCCACTGTCATGGAACCCAAAGGCTAGAGTGCCGCGCTACTCTATGCCCAAAGTGCGAGATGCAGGAGAAAGATGGCGATGTGTACTTCAACAGCACGAAGCGGGCCAGCCTCCCTACAGCCCAGGCAAGGACAGATCCTACACGGCACCATGGACAGGAGAACTTGGCGGCTACCAGAGTGAGTACCAGTACCGCCGCCATCAGGCGCACGAAATCCAATCCTGCTCTGCTTCCTTCCCAGCATCTCCGGCGAGTTCAGGGCATGGACAATGGCTCGCTGCGCAACGAGTACACTCGTCTTGAATTGCGCCCAGACAATACTTTTCAAGCTCAAGATGATGGATTCACTGGAAATGGCTCACAATGTACCAAGGAAATCCGTCTTGAACTATCCCGGCATCGTGTTGATGAGGCTGATGTGGTCCAACATGCTGATAGTAGCCCACTTGATGGCGAATACATTTCTTCTAAACTGGCTCAAATTGGCAGTTTAAAAGCTTCAAGTCGCCATAATAAGCATAATCTCTCATCCAGTAGCAAGCAGGCTTGCCTAAAACCACTCCAAGGCGACGAATTCAAGCTCGAAGGCAACCATAATGCCGGCGATAGCGGGCAGCCCAACAAGAGTACTTCCCCCAAAGTGCAAGATACTGGCAATAATACAGTCTCCAACCGACATAATCCCACCAGGCCTTGTCAGGACAACAGTCTCGGGGCTCGTCGTGGCAAAAAGCTGCGTCTTAAGGACTTCATCATGCCAATACTTGAGCTAGATTGGTATACGTCTACATATGTTCCATATATGCTGTACTCGCCTTCAAGTGGAACCAGCTTCGCGGAGCTGCTAAACTATAGCCAAAGCGAAAGTGACGAGCCTCGTATTCCTGCACCTGAAATTGTCCGCCCAGAGATTGTCCGCCCAGAGAAAAAAGCGAGAAGGCGGCTTCAGAAAATGAGGAGCTTATATCATCATATAGATTCTTCGAACGAGTCGTTCGTCTGCGCACGAGCTCGGGAAGTTGAGAACAACGAACGGTGATGATATCTAGTAGTACGTCGAATGTATGTAGATTAATAAGATCCGCGCATTCACTGTTCCCTCTTAGTAGTCATTATATAATATTTTAGAAGCATGAAATATGTGGCATCACATAATTGAAAGTGACTTTTACATGTCATTTGGCACCCTCTTGTCCACAGGGCCCCTTGAAGAACGTATCCTTTAACCAGTTATGCTTGTTGTCAACATAGATTAACACAGATAGTTGGTCGTTTATAATTACGTATGCATGCAGCTGACTGATGATTAGCTCTAAATACCATGTATATAGATTCTCTCAGGCATGCGCGCTTGATCAGGCAACTAGCCTCGAGCAGGAGGGAAGCCCGTAATAGTAGAGCTCCCTTTCCTCGATGCTTGGCGAGGATGACGTTCGCTCAGTCGGCAGATGTTGACTGGGTGGCGTGCTCAGGGGATCGAGTGCTGCTATTGCAACTCGCTTACATTTGAAACGCTTCGACTATGAGGAAATCTTCGCTTCCACGGCGAAGTGTAATAGGCATTACTCAAATTATTTGCCTATCAATATTGAATCGCAGTCCGCTTCAGTCTAAAGTGCTTCAAGTCTTCTCGGCTCGCACTTCCATTTCCATCTTCGGCCATAGCCTCATCTGTGAATAGTTTGGCGATGGAAGGCTTTCGTGGCTGAGCAAGTTTGAATGAGTATGTTTGAGATTGACAGCAATCAAGTCAGTGTCATTGCTCAGATGCTTCTGAAGCTTCTTCACCCATCTGAATTGGCGGCGTTGCTTTCTTGTCACTGAAAGCTACTGGGAATATGCAAGTCCAGGAGAGGAAGCAATGTATGGATAAATATAGAGTTAATACCTAGTAAGTACCAGCTCATCTAGATTTATACCTGTCAATTATATGTTTGCAGTTGATGTTCCTCAATACTTAAGCAGACTACTAATATACACATGTAGAGAAACAGTTGCTTTCACGGCAGCAGTAGCAATAATAACAAACAGCAGTAGCACCAGTAAAAGATTCTATATACATGTAATGTATGCTGCGTAAAAGTATACTTGTAGGTGCCTCCTAACTTACTATACTAGTAGATAAACTTATATATCCACTACTAGCAGCCGCCAGATAACTACATGTAGTCGAGCAGAGTCTACGAGTCTAGGGTGAGGTAAATGCCACCTCTTTGCAATATAATGGACCTCCATGTGCTGTCCATGTGTTGATTATCTGGCTGACGACTAAATTACGTTTTTTCTGTGTCATAAAGTACAGAAGAAAACTTGAGTTAGATTAGCCAGGGGCCTCGGTTATGAATAATTGAAGCCAGTCCTAGTATACGGTAACCTGGATGGAGCCGAGAATGGATCAAATATTCACAAGGCTCCTCTCTTCGCACAGTTGAGGCTTTATGGCTGGCTTAAATTTTCTTATCACGCATATTTTTAACAGTTTATCTCTAGAAATACCTCTTGGAGGCGCAAAATAACAGTCATCTGACGCTTTTTTTTATACTTGATTTTCCACAGAAGTGGAACTTGCTAGCTTTATGCATCGAACAAATCCGTCACCGTACCGACTATCTGAGGATAGAGGCGAGAGGGTGACGTGGCGAGACAAGATGCTTGCGGTTATGAAGCAATAAGATGGGAGTTGCCTTTATAAAGCATTTTATGCTGGTTAATCTCTTTTGCATTCTAATTCATTGCTTCTTTAGCACCCGACCATTAAAACAATATCTGTGACACCATGCGCGGACCAAGCGACTTCATCTTCAATGGAAAGGAGGCATTTAAGAAGCGCCCGCCCAAAGAATCACCCACGCTCTCAGAAGATAGCTCGGGGCATCCTGGGACATACAAGGAGGCGCTGGGCCAGATAGAGAAGAAAATGGAGCTTCAGATCAACAAGATATTTGACCGCATATCCGAAGTGAGGAGAGACCTGGAGTACCGAATGAGAAACGTGAAGAAACATGTGGAGGCCACAGAGGCCCGGGTAGAAGAGCTCAGCATTCAATTGAATATGCTCAGAGCCAAGCAAGACGCTGCGTAAGTTGTCCAAATCTACCACAGACGGGCATTTATGTTCCACAGCTAACCTGTATCACCAATTTCCTCCCTGCACAGAGAGTATAATGCCCGCGCGCGTAATCAAAACACCACGGTCACAAGTAAAGAGATGTTTCTCTGTCCACTTCGAAATCCCGAGACCAACGAAGACGTCTACTGCCCGGCCACTTTGGAAGAGCTGGAGAGTTACAGGGGTACGTGTTTGGAATTCAAGTTACTGGTTTGAACCAAGGTAGAATATTGCAGCTAATAAATTCTAGGGTCCCAACTCGATGCCCTCTTGCGAGACCTGGGAGAGCCCATCCCAACTGCGTTGAAGCATAAGATGGAGGTTATAAAATGGGCCTTGGGAATTCGGAACGCCAACTATAAATGAGCGGATGGGTATGAAAATCTCATCGAATTGCTTCCAATTCGCTACTTGTAGGGAAATCTTCGTCTTCTCTGTCAGGCGAATGCTTTATAGGGAGGTGGCTAGTTATTGGACCTACATCTAGTTATCAGGGTAGATACTCAATCATTTACAAGCTATGAGTCATTATATAGACATGATCAATTTTTCGCTACTATTACTGCTGTTACTAAATTTTGAATACACATACTAGCAGCTATAGGAGTTGATATGTTTATTTTTATCTTCTTCAACCCTCTTTACCCGTATGAGGTAGGGATGAGCAAATATGCGCGCATTTCAAGACAATGCTGTTTTAATGCTGTTGGGGCGTTCTAGCGACTGGCGCGAGCCCATACATATGAATTCGTCCAATAGCCTTTAACCATTTTGCAAAGTCGACGGGGACCCTGAAGGCTATGTGGAATGCAGACAAGGATGCTCGATTGCGTAGAAGTTAACATCCCATCCATATAGTTCGTCAGGCTTCGGTAGCCAGCCTCCAACAACCATAGAGCGTATTTCTGATTGGAAGATCAAACACGACTAGGCCTTGATGACCTTGCAGATATGATCCACGGCCTAATGGTGGTTCGACGTTGAACTGACCCCTGAACTAGTGCAGTCCTCAAGAGAGAAAGTGAGAAGCTATCTGGTAAAGGCACCCACGGAAGCAATCATCGAAACTGTGAATGGATGTGGTAAGCCCAAATTACCGTTCCAAAGAGAGAGTTCTCAAGCCAGCAGTTGGTCCCAAACAGCCAATCTAGCAAAGTCCCTTGTTCAACGACTGTTACCTCTATAACATGCTGATGCCGTGACAGCATCTTGTATCAGAGAGCATCTCCAGCAGCCCGATAGTCGCATGACCAAGTCGCAAGGCTGTCCATATCTAAATGCGAATGGCTGCAGATCGCTAGCGAGTCGCGGCTATCGTGCTCAAATGCTCTCATGATCGCAATCTAGAACTCGCCCGCGTCTAAGTCACATACATCGTCTCTTTCGTCCGCGATCGCTGGAAAAGTCAACAGCTTAGCATTAGGCGATTTCTGGTTGTACAAGTAGCTCGATATGCCCTGCCCGTCGATTTCATCGATGAAGCCGTCCAAATTCTAGATTAGAAGTTGCCTGTGCCTGATATCAGCAGGATAATTTCATCATGAAGCTGGCATCCGCAGTTCTAGTAGTAACGAGTGCATACGCACCCGTCGCTGCGTTGCAGGGTTTTGGAGCTCAGTCCATCGGTTATTTCCCCTATTGTGCCACGGCGTGCAACCGGGCGTTGGGAAGCAACTTCTTGTCATGCTCCTTCGATGGCTACGTCCCCGGCGGCATGATGGACAGCGACTCGGCCTCGGCCACGCCCACATGTCGTGGGAGCAACATGCCCTTCCTCTCCTCTTTGGCGTACTGCATCAGCACCCACTGCAACTATGACATGGGCATCATCGAGACCTGGTGGGCGGCCAAGAGCACCGGGTCTGGCGGTGCCTTTGAGCCGCCCAAGTGGTCCTACCAGGAGGCTCTGATGAACGTCACGGCTACACCAACTCACATCCTAACGGCCAAGGATAACCTGACATCGACTATGCTTGCCAACGAGACCAGCTACCGGAACCAGTTCGGCACGTTGTTCATGGTGGACCGTGAGGAGTTTCTGCATGAGAAATACGGGTATGAGTTCATGTTTCATTTCTCTTTGATACTCGAGTCTTATAGGATGATGCTCACATACATGTCTCTATCCTGACAGACTTGTCCTTCTTATGGTGGGCGTTGGCATCCCGCTGCTCGCCACATGGCTGGGCTACTTGCCGTTTGTAAACCCTCTCATCCACAAGCTCAAGCCCTATATCATCTGGCCCAGCACCATCGGGTCGTATCAAGTCCGGCCGCTCCCCTGGCTCGGCGGAACTGCCCTGACAAGAGGCCAGGCGCTGTATGTGGCTGTCATGGTGATCCTCACCGTCGTGTTCATGGCAGTGCACTATGAGACGTATCAGCCAAACCTGTGGTACCCAGGCCAGAGCGTTGAGCTCATGGCATATGTTGTATGGCGCACCGGCTGTTACTCTCTCGCTCTGCTGCCCGTTGTTCTTCTCTTCGCCGCCAGAAACAACACGCTGCTGTGGCTGACCAACTGGTCACATGGAACGTACATTCTTCTCCATCGCTGGGTGGCCCGAATATTCGCCTTGCTTGTCATCATCCACTCGATCCTCGCTCTCGTCTACTATGTAAAAGACGGCAACTATGATTCCAGCCTGAGCGAGGCGTGGTGGATTTGGGGATGTGTGGCAACTGTCGCTATAAGTGCCATGTTGATCACCGCAACTCCGTGGGTGCGCCGTCATTCATACGAGTTCTTCTTGCTGTCACACATCGTGCTAGCCGTCTTCGTTCTTGCCGGCACGTGGTATCACCTCTTCTACCTCTATATGAATATGTCGGGCTATGAGCAGTGGCTGTACGTCGCCTTTGGTGTCTGGGGCCTCGACCGTCTCTTTCGTGTCCTTCGTGTTTTGAAAAATGGCATCCAGCGTGCACGCATTACCAATATTGGCGGCGATATCATGCGTGTAGACATCGAGGGCATCTACTGGGGATTCCAGCCGGGCAAAATCGTGTATGCTTTCTTCCCGACGCTGCAGCCGCTCCGCCCGTGGGAGAACCACCCCTTTTCGGTGCTTCCAACTGCCATGCTGGAACGTTGCAACGCCGCCGATCCGGCTCCGAGCAGAGAATCTAAGTCCTCGCTTGGTTCCTGTACCCGATATGACGCTGAGAAGAATGCAACTAGTCAGCAAACTCTTGCGAATCAAATTGCTACGGCGGCGGACAATCAGCCTACAGCGGGCGTCACGCTCTTCATCCGCAAATCAAGGGGCTTCACCAAGAAACTGACCGCCGGAACTGACATCTTGGCGCTCCTCGACGGGCCCTATCCAGGAAACCCGAGCACTGCAATCTTACAATGTGACCGCGTGTTGCTTATCTGCGGCGGAATTGGCATCACGGCCATCCTGCCTTGGATAGACAGCCATCCAAATGTAAAGCTAGCGTGGAGCGTAAATGAATACGCCTCGTATCTAGTCGAGTCAGTAAGCAAAGTTCTAGACCGTGTCGTCGAAAAGGAGGTGAGGATCGGCCGCCGTTTGGATATCACGGAGTTGCTCGCCGTGGACGCGCAAGCTGGGTGGCGGCGGATCGGAGTGGTGACGTGTGGACCGGAAGGAATGTGCAATGACACGAGGGCGTTGGTGACGGCAGCAGCGAAACGAGGAGATGCCCAGTTTGAGCTGGAGGTGCATGCATATAGTTGGTGATAGAAACGCCTGAAGAGATCCGAGCAGAGAGGATGTCATGATGGTGGCAATTTCAAATGACTAAATCTCCTTTTGGAGAGTTTCAAGTACAATCTCTCCTACTTTGTACTAGGAAATTTCAAAATGTACATAGATATCAAGTAAATGGCAGACAAAGGAAGTAAACTATTTCCTATTCCATATTCCCTTTTGCGCGTCAAGACAATCTAGTTCTCGTGACAATTCTAGATAGCTACTTTCCCTCCATGTTGAGCTTGAAGAGCTGTATAAACTGTTACATTTTAGGCATCAAAACTACCAGTACGAGGTATTTCTGCTCCCGCAAAAATTACAATTCTGAAATGAAAAAAAAAAACAGACAAGCTCTAGCCCCTTTTCTATATCTCCTTGAAGCTGTAAAATATCAATGCTGCCACGATGATAATCGTATAAAAAGGGGTAGCTTTATCAAGAACTTGAAATCATCAGATTTTAATACTCTCTCCTTGCTTGAAAATAAACTTCTAGCATGCCTTCTTCCAGTCTCTGTTTGACTTTGGATGAGAATACTTCACATCAGTGCAAACCCCTGAGGTAGCAGCGATGGTGTTGTTTCACCTATTAGCACACAGAAGCTCCGATATCGAGATTTTTTTTTCCCCAAATTTGATTTACTCAAATCTCCCTATGATCCATATGCGTTATTATGAAAATGTTGATCTTGTCCCACTATAGCTGGCAATTTTGAATCGGGATACTGTTCAGGCGGCTATTTTCAAGCGGCTATTCGCCATGCAGAAATCCTGCAATGCCCGTTAAGCCCGATCTCGGTTATACTTTTTTTTAATGTGGATAAACTCAAGTCGCCCAATGAGTACGAAACTTCGACAGGGAAATGAGCATCTTCGAGCATCTTCTCCCACTGCAGCTGGCCACTTTTGATCTGTCTACTTGTCAGGCGGCTATTCGGTACTCCGTAAAGCCGTCCCATGAGACCACAAAATTGAATCTAATGGCCAAGTTGTCCTATGAACGAGGCGTTTCTTATGTTTGTCGAAAGCACTCACGTCCTCTATCAAGCATCACAGTCCTTCTTGTGCACCGCCCGGAATTTCAATGGTACGCGTCCCAGAGAGTTGAAGTCGTAAGTCGAAGTCGTCAACATATCACCATGTGGTGGCTTCACCCGCACCAATCGCCGACCAACGAAGCTGGGATGGCGAGAAGGAGCGTATTGGTCATTCTTCTCCACATATGTATTCCGCGTCACAAAGCTCGGGTACCGTTCCCCAAGGTGATAGTAGGTAGTATCTCGACAGCTGGAGTTAGCGAGCGCCAAGAAACGCATGTTGTCATGGTTTTTATGGAGCGATTCATGCTTGTCATGATGCGTCTAAGTATAGTGCCGGTATATGCTTGTATCAGCTCAACTGAAGCGTGTGCAAGTTAAAAGTACAGTTCGCAACAGTGACATGTAGTGAACTTGGCAATCAGAATCAGACCAGTTTTAATAAGATGACCTCATAATAAAAAAAAAATTAGACATTTTATCTATCATGTCTGGGTAAAGTTCTTGCCAAGAACTCACACGAATCTACCGCGCGTATTTCCTTCTTGTCCCCACTTATAATGCCGAATGCCCAACGCGGAAATATACCAGGGACGAGGATCCTTCAAGTTGCTTGATAGAGACTTGGCGAGTAAGAAATTGCTCAGTGTGATATCTCCGGATTCATCGGATGTAACGCTCATCATTCGACATGTTCATGCAGTATATATTGTGGTGTGACGCTCGCAAATCTTCCTGGGCTTTGAAGAATCCTCAGATTGTGTCCCATGACTGTTTATATGCCATGAGATGACAAATTCCCATACAACGAGTGTTCATGTTTGATGATCTTCGTTTGTCTTATATAAATAATCTCTGGCAAATCTTTTCTCTTACAAGTTATACAGTTTGATCGAGGCGAGCTCGTCATCCTTGACCCACTATTTACGATGCTCTTCTCGCTCTTCTCCCGGCTTCCCTTGTCCGTCAAGGTCTGGGCAATCCAACAGATTGCGTTCCACGTGATCGGGCTGGGTTTCGAGTGGTTAGACAATGCAAATGCTCTCAGGAAGGTTAGAGCCCGAGAGACAGACACCAAGCCGTATAAACGATTGCTTCCCAAAGTCCTCTTGAACCAATGCCTCGTCCTCCTACCCTGCATGGTGTTTTGCGAGGCGACTGGGCTTTGCTTCACGCACAAGGGCTATATTTCGACAGGGCGTGCGCTGCTGTCACTTCCCGTTCTCGCCATTGGACACGACGTTGTCCAGTATCTCACGCATAGATATCTGTTGCACCAGCCAAACTTGAAGCTGATGCGTATGCTGCGCCACTCGGTCCACCATTCGACGACAGCCGCCAAAGGAATCAGCGCGTGTTACATGTCGGCTCCTGATTTCTTCCTCGAAATTGTTCTGCCCTACTTGGTACCGCTGGCGCTCGTCGGTGGCGGTGGTGCTGACCTGCGCTTCCACTCGCTGGTGGTTGCTTCGGGCGCTTTTGGCGGCATCTACGAGCACTCGGGCTACGATCTTGCTTTGGCATTTCAGGCAGTTCCACAGGAAAAGGGAGATGCGTGGTATTGGAAGCTCCTCGCATCTCTGGTGGCCGATATAGTCAGCACTCGTGCCCACCACGAGCACCACTCGAGGGGCCAGGTGTCGTTCTCCGATGGCTTTGGCAGCCCGGGGCTTTGCGATACCATCTTTGGAACGCGCTGGGACATGGTCCCCAAACATCGCGAGGATGTCGAGCGCGAGTGGCGATCGCAAAGCGAGCAGCAGACGGCAAATCTGAAGTACATGTAGATGGCAAACCGGATGCCGCATGTGCCTAGCCTGGGCTTGATGCCGAACTCTGAGACTGGTGTACGGTAACGCAATGCTTACCGCTGGCTTCAAGCCCCCTTTTCCACAATTTTGTTTACAGATACCCTCAGTTCAAACGATTTCCTTTGTCATCTCATGGGTGTTAATGGCGGAGCTCAGCAGTCAACAATTCACCAGAGGGAAAGCAGCGAGCGCGAAAATCTCTAGCCATCCGCATCAGGTGTATATCACAGAAGGAGAGATGGAATCAACAGACACTCGGCATGTTATATAAGTGTTGGCATGGTGCGGTGATGACACAGCTGATCATCAGCCGAGAGCAGTTGAAAAGCAGTCGTGAATAATAATCAGTACGAATATAATGTTGGGAAAATAAATTACCAATAGCTCGATATAATAATGTTGGATGCAAATAGAGTGAGCTCTTGACAGATCCTGAAAATAAACAATTTACCAATCAGATTGGAATTTGTGCTGCATTTATTTAGTTTGACAGGTTGGTTGAGCACATATGAGCAAGTTTTGTGCCTGCACGGCAGCACAAGTGCCATTTATGGACTAACAGCAGTTGAGCAAGTTTATGTGCCTATTGAAACGATCACTACAATAATACACCTTATACCAACTGACAAACATCAAAATAAGTGTTTAAATGGTAAAAATAATAATAAATACAGGTCCAACAGTCCGTGTCACTCTGCATTTTCTGTTTTCCCCAGCAAACTCTCGGTCCAGTGTTTGGGCAGTATGCACTGCCTCTGACGTCTCCCGTCGTGCCTTCCCTCGCCATCGTGATTCCGTTTGCAGCTCTATAAATTTATTTATACTATATTCGCTTTCTCCCATCTCCATCTTCCTTCAGTCTACAACGTCCACCAAACAAACAACAAGATGGCCGCCGCACCTCCCGTCGATTCGCCTATGGAGGCAGAGGCAAAATACAACACCGAAGCCGAAAACGTTGTTCGCGAGGTGAAGAGCTCCGACGATGACCAAGAGTCAAACACTATAAACACCACATTTCAACCTGGTGTCCAGGACATTGAAGCAGTTACCATTACCTGGTCGAGAACCTGGCTCATCGTCGCCTATGTCCTGATCTGGATCACCTACTTCATCCAGGGACTGGTGACGGGCGTCACTGGTGCTCTTCTTCCCTACGTTACATCTGCGTTTGCTGAGCACTCGCTCACGCCAACCACTGGTATTCTGAGCGCCGTCATCGGAGGCGTCACCAATCTCAGCATTGCAAAGGTCCTCGATATCTTTGGTCGCTCCCAAGGATATCTCCTCTGTATCGTGCTCTGCACCGTTGGTCTGATCATGTCGGCTGCCTGCAACAACGTCGAGGCCTACGCTGCCTCTCAAGTCTTTTACACTGTCGGCATCAACGGCATAGGATACAGCTTGAGCGTGTTCGTCGCCGATACATCGTCGCTGCGCCACCGAGGCCTGATGCAGGCGTTTGTCAGTTCACCAAATCTGATAACCTGTTGGCTTAGTGGACCAATTTCCACGGCCTTCCTGAATGGAGCCGGCTGGCGCTGGGCATTTGGAATGTTTACGATTCTCGTCCCAGCCGTCACCCTTCCTCTCTCTGGACTGTTCATGTGGCAGTTCTCCAAAGCCAAAAAGCTCGGCCTCATTGCGAGTCGTCAAAGTGGACGCACACCCTGGCAGTCCATTGCTTACTACTGCCGCGAGTTCGATGCTGTTGGCCTCTTTCTGCTCTCTGCTGGTGTTGCTTTCTTCCTGCTCCCATTCAACCTTTACACCAATGAAGCAAAGGGATGGAGGTCTGCTCTGATTCTCAGCTTTTTGATCGTCGGCATCGTCCTCATTATTCTTTTCGTTGTATGGGAGAAGTTCTTCGTGCCGGTTTCATTTCTGCCGTGGTCTATTCTCCAAGACCGTACCGTCCTCGGCGCCTGCATTCTCTCTTTTGTGCTATTCCTCAGCTACTTTTGCTGGTCTAGTTATTTCGGCTCATTCCTGCAAGTGGTCAATAACTTGAGCATTACTCATGCCAGCTACGTCATGCAAACATATACAGTGGGCGGCGTCGTGTTTGCTATCGGCACTGGCGCCTTCATCAGCTATACAGGCCGCTTCAAGCCTGTAACGCTCTACTTTGGTATTCCTCTGACAATCCTCGGCATGGGTCTATTGATCTACTTCCGCCAGGCTGACCAAAACGTTGGCTTCATTGTCATGTGCATGATCTTCATCTCCTTTGCGGAAGGAGTTTTAGTCATCTGTGACGAGATTGCCATTATGGCTGCCGTTTCAGAGCAGCAATACTTCGCCATCAGTCTGGCTGTGCTGGGATTGTTTTCGAATATCGGATCTGCCATTGGTTTAACCATCTCCGCTGCCATCTGGCAGGGCACCATGCCGGGGAAACTCGCAGAGTACCTTCCTACTGTCGACCAAGAGAATTTACTCCTCATCTATGAGTCTCTCCCGACGCAATTGTCGTTTCCAGTCGGATCACCGGAGCGTACTGCAATTCAGCATGCCTATGGCGATGTCCAACAACGTTTAATGATTGCGGGAACTGCGGTGTGGGTTATCGGCGTGGTGTCCGTCTTGATGTGGCGAGACATCAAGGTCATTAACATTAAGCAGACGAAAGGGCAGGTGGTTTGAGGCACGTTGGTATTTTGAGTGGGCGTATAATAGAGGCAGATTTGTTTTTGCTAATGAAGGGAAATTCCATCAAATGGCTTCCATATTATAGAGAGGTAAATTATCCTCAGATGTATTTCGGCAGTCCGATACATTCTAGTCGCGTTTCTTACTATTGAGAAAGACAGTTAAAGCTCCCTAATCGATGATTCTTTCATACTTCTGAGGTTCTTGTTATACTTATCTGGATAATTTTTTGCGCGAGCCCCTTTATAGAGTGATACTGATCCGGTGACAGCCATATATTTGTTCATCCATGATTTACGTCTAATTTTATATCATAAATGTAAATGCCCTGCGTGATACTCTGGACGAGTCGTTGATTGGTGCTGGGCACGTTCGAGGTGTTGTCATAGGGCCAGCCAATCGCGACAAAGATGGTGGGGATGTGGCTTCTGAGCCGTTGCTTTCTTGCCCAGCTGATGCTAGTCCAGGCCTCGGTGCCTGTCCGGCCATATCCAGCTGTTTCTTGCAAGCAAATGCCTGATTTTGTGCTACCTCGAGAATATCCAGTGTTGCTGTACCGCTATAAAACGGCTAATCTCGAGCTGAGATTCCTCCTGCACTTGTATTTCAGGTCACGATATCATTGGAAGCCTCGTTACTGCAAGTAGCTCGTGCATCGGAGCCTTTAGCTCTACAACCTGTGATTGGGTACCATTGAGCCAGTGCGGATTGAGTCAACCTCCCCTGCTTTCAAGCCGCACCACCCTCAGAACACCACCGGCACCTTTTATACAGCCGCAATCATGGCTGCTCCCTCTGCATCAACAAACTCTGGCATCACCACAGACGAGGCCAGCGGAGAGCGTCACATTCCCGAGTCCGTTCGAGCTGACGGGAGCACGCGAAAGGCCATCAAGATCCGGCCTGGCTACCAACCACCCGAAGATGTCCAGGTCTACAAAAACCGAACGGCAGAGGCCTTTCGTGAGCGAGGAAAGCGAGTCGGCATACCCGGCGCCGCTGGATTGCAAGATGAGAAGCCAGAGCAGAGCTCCGCTGCAAGCAACAAGAACGCGAAACGGCGAGAGGCTCGGAAGAAGGCCAAGGCCGACGGCGACGCCAAGGCTGATACTACAGCTGCGACTACGAAAGATGCTGCCGAATCAAAGACGGAAGAGGCTGATCCTGAAGTCGAGCGCGAAAAGAAAGCTAGGAGTATCAAGAAGAAACTGAAGCAGGCCAAGGAGCTCAAGCAGAAGAAGGATGGCGGCGAGGGTCTGTTGCCTGAGCAGATTGCAAAGGTCATCAAGATTAACGAGCTCATTCGGGAATTGGATGCCCTTGGATTCGACGCAGAGGGCGAGCCAAAGACCGAGGCGCAAGATGATGCGGCTGAAAATAGCGAGAAGAACTGAAGACTGCCCTGCGGCAGAACCCGAATCGGAGACTGTCTCTTCTCCCAGCCGATATGTGTATACGGTTGATCATACCATCTTGTGCCACGCCAATGGCGCTACTAGGAAATCATCCAATCCTATCCTATCCATCTCGCCAACCCACCAGAATTCTACTTACCGACTCAAGGCACTTATTGAAGGCAAGCCAGAACAGCAATGGGTTTGATGGCCTTTGTCGGTTTCAAGAAATCCTGGCGTAGCGGGGCAACAAAGGATCCCTGTACATCTATCCCAAGAACAGGTTTGGAAGCATGGGACGTATCTATAAGGATCTGAGGCACGGGATATGTATATAAAGGAATTCTTGCGTCTGCAACTGACGTGTTTGTAAATATTACCTCGGATGGACGATCAATTGGAACAGTAACGCAATATATGAGCTCTTCTGCTTCTACGGCACGGATTCGCGGGGTACAAAATGCATGTACTAAGGCACTATGCGCTATGAGGTACCCAACAGCTTAGGTAGATGCCAATCGCATATAGAAGCTTACTTGAGCAAACAACTCAGAATAGGAAATATGAATCATGAGATACAAAAGCACAAACCATCCAGAAATTCACACATGATGCCAATAAGCTGAATCTGTAGCTATTTTTTTGTGTATGCACATCGCCAAAGGTGCGTCGACCCAAGCTGAAGAGTATCGCCGATCTTCTGCCGACAAGCGGCGGCAGGGATTAGCTCAAGGCTCCAATGAGTGAGGTAAGCCTACGATTTCAAAGAGCAGCCACTGTTAGGTCCCCATCCCGCGCATGCAACTCCAACCAAGCTCCCAAACAAACCGACACCACGAAACCCAGAATTGAAACTGCAAATTCCGGAATAGAAGACTCCTGAATCAAGACATTTCCAGCTTCTGATTTCCGCCAACAATCATGTCCGCGGAAGACGAGCGCCAGGTCGCCCTCAACGCCTACCGGGCGAAGCTCATCGAATCCCGCGAATGGGAAGCAAAGCTCAAGAACCTCCGATTAGAGATCAAGGACCTGCAGAAGGAGTATGACCGGACAGAGGAGAACATCAAGGCGCTGCAGAGCGTAGGACAGATCATCGGTGAAGTCCTGAAGCAGCTGGACGATGAGAGATGTATGGCGCCTGTCTGCCCACCTATGACGCTCGGCCATGGGGAAGCTATTCTGCCATCTCTGGGAGGGTGATGCTAACTTTGAGCGCTTATAGTTATCGTCAAGGCATCTTCGGGCCCCCGTTATGTTGTCGGCTGCAGATCCAAGGTTGATAAGACGAAGCTGAAGCAAGGCACGCGTGTCGCTCTTGATATGACGACATTAACCATTATGCGTATGCTCCCGCGAGAGGTCGACCCGCTAGTTTACAACATGTCACTGGAGGACCCTGGCCAGGTCAGCTTTGCTGGAATCGGTGGATTAAACGACCAGATCCGAGAGCTGAGAGAGGTGATTGAGCTTCCCCTGAAGAATCCGGAGCTCTTCCTCAGAGTCGGCATCAAGCCGCCCAAAGGTGTCCTGCTCTACGGTCCTCCCGGAACAGGCAAAACTCTCCTAGCCAGAGCAGTTGCAAGCAGTTTGGAGACGAATTTCCTAAAGGGTGAGTGACGTGCAATTGAAAAAACCAAGCTGTGGGGTTAGCTGAGCTATGCTAATAACGTATTGCAGTTGTCTCGTCCGCCATTGTCGACAAATATATCGGAGAATCTGCAAGGTTGATTCGAGAAATGTTTGGCTACGCCAAGGAGCACGAGCCTTGTATCATCTTCATGGACGAAATCGATGCCATTGGAGGACGACGATTTTCTGAGGGTACCAGTGCCGACCGTGAAATTCAGAGAACACTTATGGAGCTGCTCAACCAGCTAGACGGTTTCGACTACTTGGGCAAGACAAAGATCATCATGGCTACAAACAGACCGGATACTCTGGACCCTGCGCTGCTACGTGCTGGTCGTCTAGACCGAAAGATTGAGATTCCTCTGCCTAATGAGGTCGGACGACTGGAGATTCTCAAGATCCATGCCTCGTCTGTCGTCATCGATGGCGATATTGACTATGAGAGCGTAGTCAAGATGAGTGACGGTCTGAACGGAGCCGATTTGCGAAACGTTGTCACTGAAGCGTGAGTTGCTAAGCCCCCCCCCCCCCCCCTTCTCCCCTAAAGATGACTGTTGCAAAGGCTGTTTTTTTTACATTGCTAACAATTTGAAATACAGTGGTCTATTTGCGATCAAAGACTACCGGGATTCGGTCAATCAAGACGACTTCAACAAGGCGGTGCGCAAGGTGATGGAGTCGAAGAAGTTGGAAGGCAAGCTGGAGTACCAGAAGCTGTAAATAGCTCTTGATACAGATGGCTTTTGGGAAATGTTTCTGGCGTCAGCGAAAAGGAAACTGATGATGGGTACTATTTTTTTGAAGCTGTATAATTAAAGAAAGGCAGTGTAGATGCCAAATGCTGAGTGAGCTTTTGGCATAGAAATGATGACGCATCCGCGATAGGGGAACAGACATCAGCATCAAAGCTCAGCCTCTTAAAAGGGGGACATTGCTTTCTTTCTTTTGCGGCGATGGTTGTGATTCCATTATTCCAGTGATACGAGATGGTGTTGCTATGTAAGACTGACATACTTGTGGATACTACCAAGTTATTTCCAGCATTTACAAGGGTATCGCATTGCTACAAGGAATGGCATTTTGCCTTGGGCCTTGTCGTCTCTCCCAAGGCAATTAAAGTGCTCTCCCGCTGTGGGTAGCTGCATGGCTAGCAGAGCACATGTCAGGTGAGACGCCATCACGGCTCTCTTAGTGGACGAAGGAGCAAGGCTGACTGGCAGGTTTGGATGCCGATTGTCAGATGGCATGACAGCTACGTCCGCAAGCTGCTATTATTGAGTAAGGAAGCGGGAGGATGCGGCCCAAGGATAAGCTATCAATGAGGGGCAGGCCACAGAGCATGTTTCTCACTCGTCGTGTCTTTTTGTCACTATCCTTTTTTTCTTTCTCTCTTTTCTCTCCTTTATTGACATGGTTCTGGCTCGGGCCGCAGGTGTTGATGAGTTTGATCAGCAGGGTGCTCTCAAGCGGAGACAGCTGAGCTAATGTAGACAGAGATGGGGGGAAAAAAAACGAGTAGTGTGTGTGGCTTTGCTGAGATGACATGATTCTAGAAAAAAAAAATAGACACAAGACGTAATTTCATTTAATTTTACATTTCATATTTTCTTATCTCTTTTTTGTTGAATCGTCATTGAAGAAAACGTTCTATAGTAAGAGGCATGACTCCATATCTCAGCGCAGCGCACAGCGGCTGATGCTATTCTTGGAAACAAAAGCCATCTTAAAAGCCACCGTTCGACTAAAGCGCTACTAGGGGCAAAAAGCGGATGAGGCTGTGAAAAGGGTAAGTAAAAAAAAAAAAGGGAGCTTTCCTTCTCTAAGGCCCAAGGCGCGAAATCTAGATCTCTCTCGGAGGAGGCGAACGCCAAGCCAGGATGTACCATTGATTATTCTTTTTTATTTTTTGCATGAACTGGGCATGGGGGTGCGCGCATGGAGCTAATTCCCTACCCATCTATTGTGTCTTTTTTTTGGTGTTGTTGTTGTCCTTATCTTAGGTTCTTATTCTTGGCTTGAAGCGAGGGGCGGCCATCATGGCAAAAAACGGAATATACCTGTAAAGTACATGCACACATACGAGGCTGTAATTTCACCAACGAGCCGGGATGGGGCTATTTTCAGCACACACAGGCTTTCCAGAAAAAAAACTAAGATGCCGGAGGTTCTAGGCACTTGGCACAGTACCGGCAGGAAAAGGCGACAGGGGGGCAGGGCTCTAGTCGAAGGGGGGGGGGGTCGCCAAACGAAAAAAATAGTTCCAACTTCCAATGGATAGGATATACGGAAGTGCGTTACCGGGGGCCGGAATACGAACTTATGACGTCTCTGGAGGGTGACACTGAAGCTGTTGGTGCGGCAGCGGCGATTTTCCTTTTCTCTTCTTGTGCCGTCCATCTTTTTCAGAGTTTTTCATGGTGAAACTTGTGTCAGGGATGGGGCCTGCGGCTGTTGTGCTAGTTGGGCAGCTTACATGTGCCACTACACAGAAAGACAAAAAAAAAAAAACCCCGGCCGGAGTACATAGTAGGTACTGTGTAAGAGTGTCTTTGTAGGTTGTAGAACGGACTTTGGATGGAGCTGGTTACGGATCCTTTTTTTTTTGTTGTGTAAGACGTTTTTAGCACCAGGCGGCACGACTCGGGCGCGGCCATTGGCTGGGTTGAGGGTCGGGCTGGAGCGGACGGTGAGATGGTGGTGAGTCGCTGGTGGACGCCGCGCGAGGCTCCTTTTTTCCCCTTGATCTAAACGCATTCGGAGAGGGACGTGATACGCCCTACAAGGGACGGCGAGCGATGCTAGCGGCGAGTGCTAGGCCTGGGCTGTGTGCGAGCCGGCATTCACGTATTGATTCCCTCAATTGATTCGCGTTGCGGCATCTCGTCGGGCTGAAGCTTTGCGTCAGGCTGGTCCCTCGGCACGATGACGAGAGGGTTGGTTGGCAGGCAGTTGCAGAGTCGCAGCCGAGATGGGGTCGAGGAATCTCTACCGTTCCGGCCCCTGAGATAGGCTAGCGAGAGAGCCCCGCCATCGACGCCTCCGTTACTGTCGATGTACATGCAGGCTCAGCACCTCCCGTAGAGGGGCCGTCGTCTGGGCCCTCGCGGTGCTTGTTTGTACCCATCGCCGGCATCCTTTCAGATCGGGATGATGCCCTTCAACAAGAAGCATGTGTGCCCAATGCCCACGGCCATCGAGAGAGTCGACCGTCACGAGGCAGCCTTGTTGAGCTGCAGTCATTGAACAGGGCCCGGCACCGTAACCCCGCCATGAGCCAAAGCGTCCAGTCAAACTGCTGGGCCGCACACAAGCAACGCGCAGCTTGCCGGCCTAGGCGAGAGAGATGCCCGCGAGTGGCATCTGGATGAGCTGCTGTTCAATGCCAGCTTGTTCTTTCCTGGCCTGGATTACTCAATCATCCGCATCCATCCATCTCACGCCCTCTGGGCAGCAACCAGGATGGACACGGGGTGGGACGAGCTCGAGTCTTTGGGCCGCTTCTGGCAATCGAGTGTGACAAGGCCTCACATACTATAGTAGTGCCTAGACTAACACGATGCACTTGGGTGAATGGCTGAGCGGCCCTGCTGTAAATCCATTGTACACAAGGCAAGCGTCTTTCACAGGTATGGATTTACACGTATGCTTGTTTTTTGTCTTCGAGGGCCGTGCCACCTATGTACCAAACGGACAGGCTCGTGGCGATGCCGGGGTCGAAACAGCAGCTAGTCGAGTTGTACGAGGAGCACAGATCAGATCTGCAACGAGAGTGAATGACATCGCCACGCAAAGGGAAAGCAAGCCGACGCCACCACGGCCATGGCCATCAATTCGCCCTGCCAAGGTGCTATGCAGGTACGAGCACATTGATTGTCGATGCTCGTACAGAGACAGGCCCGTGTAGTGTAAACAGGGACAGGCAATCCGGGTCAGCTTCAGTCCAGCATGGAGGGTTGGAGGGCTGGAGGGGCAGCAAGCAGCCACCCCGAGCGCCCATCATCTCCGTCATCCATCCCCCCCTCCGGCCGCCCATCTGATCAGATGCGCGCCTGGGTAGCCGGTACCTGGGCTGTACGCCGCTCCCCATCCTGCGTCTCGCAGCGTGTGCGGTACACGCCGCTCCCTCGTACTCGGTGCTCCATCCGCCGTGCTAATGCTGGCTGTCCAACCCAGCCCACCGCGGACCCTCCTCCTCTCCACATTAAGCTGAGCCCCAAGCCTCGCTCCGCTGCGCTTCTGGCCAGCGCTCCTTTTCCTGCCAAGGGAGCACGTTTGTTATGCTCAAGGCCTCTAGGTCTAGCTCGCAAGTCACTGATGACAAAGTACATATAGACGAATACTTCCCTCCTTCTGCTGCTCTGCATTCACCTGTCCGCGCCTCCCCTCCTTTTACTCGAAACCTTCCCCCCCCTTAACTCCCCTTGACGCATTCCTACCTTATCTATAAACCGCCGTTTATCGCGTACTTTATATTCTGACGAGCCCTCTCTACTCTGTCCTTTTCCCTTTCCATCTCTCGCCTCACACCACTCTCGTTTTCTCTCTCGACCTTTTTCTTGTTCCTTCTTGATTCCATCCGATACATAGCTATCAGCAGCAAACATGTGGTAAGCTTCTTCATCCCACCATTCACCGCCCCGCCCCGCACTCGCACTCTCGCCATCAGTGCCACCATGGCCACCATGGCCCCCTGATGACGAGAAAAGGGAGCCCAATTGGCAATTGAATTGCGACTGACGCTGGTTTGCTTGTTTTTTTCTCTCGATATAGTGGTATTTTCGGATACGTCAACTACCTGGTGGAGAAGGACCGCAAGTTCATTCTCGACACCCTGCTCAATGGCCTTTCTCGTCTCGAGTACAGAGGATACGACTCCGCCGGTCTGGCCATTGATGGCGACAAGAAGAAGGAGGTTTTGGCCTTCAAGGAGGTCGGCAAGGTCGCCAAGCTGAGGAAGCTCATAGATGAGTCTCCTTTGGACCTGACCAAGGTTTTCGACTCACACGAGGGTATTGCCCACACCCGATGGGCTACCCACGGCCCCCCCTCCACCCTCAACTGCCACCCTCACCGGTTCGTCCCCCCCTCATCCTGTACAACGGAAAGTCTAGGCCGTGTAAACTGACTCCCAACAGCTCCGACCCCAACTCCGAGTTCGTTGTTGTCCACAACGGCATCATCACCAACTACAAGGAGCTCAAGACCCTGCTCTCCAGCAAGGGCTTCAAGTTTGAGACCGAGACGGACACCGAGTGCATTGCCAAGCTTGCCAAGTACATCTACGACCAGCACCCCCAGATTGGTTTCACCGATCTCATCAAGGCTGTTATCCAGGAGCTCGAGGGTGCCTATGGACTGCTTATCAAGTCTGTCCACTACCCCCATGAGGTCATTGCTGCCCGAAAGGGTTCTCCCCTTGTCATTGGTGTCAAGACCCAGCGCCGCATGAAGGTCGATTTCGTCGACGTTGAGTACGGCGAGGACAACGGTGCTCTTTCTGCAGAGGCTGCTTCTCAGACTGTTGCCCTCAAGAAGGATGGCGATTTCCTTGCTCCTTCCAGCGCCCTGGGTGCTCCCGACAAGTCCCTGCTTCACCGCAGCCAGTCCCGTGCTTTCATGACCGATGACGGCATGCCCATGCCCACCGAGTTCTTCCTGTCTTCTGACCCCTCTGCCATCGTTGAGCACACCAAGAAGGTCTTGTACCTCGAGGATGACGACATTGCTCACATCCACGAGGGCTCCCTCAACATCCACCGCCTGAAGAAGGCTGATGGCAGCTCCAACGTCCGAGCTATCCACACTCTGGAGCTCGAGCTTCAGGAGATCATGAAGGGCAAGTTTGACCACTTCATGCAGAAGGAGATCTTCGAGCAGCCCGAGTCTGTCGTCAACACCATGCGAGGCCGTCTCGACATTGCTAACAAAAGTGTCACCCTCGGTGGTCTGCGCTCATACATCTCCACCATTCGACGATGCCGCAGAATCATCTTCATTGCCTGCGGTACCAGCTACCACTCTTGCATGGCCGTCCGTGGTATCTTTGAGGAGCTTACGGAGATTCCCATCTCCGTCGAGCTGGCCTCTGATTTCCTCGATCGTGAGGCCCCCGTCTTCCGGGACGACACTTGCGTCTTCGTTTCTCAATCCGGTGAGACTGCTGATTCCCTGATGGCTCTCCGCTACTGCTTGGAGCGCGGTGCTCTCACCGTCGGTATCGTCAACGTTGTCGGTTCCTCCATCTCCCTCCTCACCCACTGCGGTGTCCACGTCAACGCTGGTCCTGAAATCGGTGTTGCTTCCACCAAGGCCTACACCTCCCAGTTCATTGCCATGGTCATGTTTGCCCTCTCCCTTAGTGAGGACCGGGCTTCCAAGAAGATTCGCCGAGAGGAGATCATCGAGGGTCTTGGCAACGTCTCTGCCCAGATTAAGCACATTCTCGAGCTTGACCAGCCCATCAAGGACCTGTGCCAGAAGGTTTTCAAGGATCAAAAGTCCCTGTTGCTGCTTGGCCGTGGTAGCCAGTTCTCCACCGCCCTTGAGGGTGCGCTGAAGATCAAGGAAATTTCATACCTCCACTGCGAGGCCGTCATGTCCGGTGAGCTGAAGCACGGTGTTTTGGCCCTGGTTGACGAGAACCTTCCCATCATTATGATCCTCACCCGTGACGAGATCTTCAAGAAGTCTCTCAACGCCTACCAGCAAGGTAAGTTTAATATGGCACCCAGCCCCGTACTTGTTTCATTCCGAAGCTAACATTAATCACTACAGTCATTGCCCGAGGTGGCAAGCCCATTGTCATCTGCAACCCTGGTGACGAGGAGTTTAAGAACTCTGATGCTCTCAAGATTGAGATCCCCAAGACCGTTGACTGCCTGCAGGGCATTCTCAACGTCATTCCCCTGCAGCTGATTTCCTACTGGCTGGCCGTTCTCGAGGGTCTCAACGTGGACTTCCCTCGAAACTTGGCCAAGTCTGTCACTGTCGAGTAAAGAGGCGCCGGTCGGCTCTACGTACTGGGCGTTGGCATAGCAGAGCTTTTCACCGCCCCAAAATTAAAAAAAGATAATGAGGAATCGGCAGTCAGGAAGTTTTTTTTAACGGCTTAGCAATTTGTTTTTTATGGGAAGATGCCCCCTTTTTTTGTATTTAATGAGATCCTGATAGGGATTCAAATGTCAGCGAGGACGACAGAGTGCTATATCATATAGAGCACTGGAGCTGCTAGAGCGTATTGGTCTATTTGTTTTTGAAGCAAAACCAGTATTCTTAGCGTTTTGTACGTAGACTTTTGCGTTATCTGCCACCTGAAAAAGTACAAGGCAGAGAGAATTGATTAAGAGTAAAAGAGGAAAAGACAAAAGACCCGGTGATTTCTCTTGCAATTTGGGTACCTAGGTAGTTACCTAAGGCGAACTACAAGCGAGCGTTACATAAGAACCAGAACAGCAGAAATCCTAGCTTCGTGTTCTTTTTGCACGCTGCCTAAGATGAATCGCTCTGGTGTGAGCTTAAGTAGTTTTTTTTTTTATTCTTCTTTTCTTTGTTTTGTAATGCTAGCTGAAAATTAGAACAAGGCCCAAGCAATTATATCTTCATGACTCTAGTTTCCATCTCTAGACTGTCTGAGTGCCGTAACCCTTGATCCTGTCTGCAAATGCCCAGCTTTGGTTCTCCAGCTTTTCATCCTCCTTCAGTTCGACGCCGTCCTTGGTTACAACGGCTAATGAGTAGGTACTCATACTTCGGGCGTCACGGTAGAAGAGCACCTTCATGGCCTCCTTGACGATATCGACAGCCTCCTCGCGAGAGAGCTTCTTGGCCGACTCCTCGTCGGGGACGTAGCGTCTCATGATGGGCTGGGCCAGCATGGCGCCGAAGCCCGTGGCGAGGGAAGGGGCGGAGTAGGTGCTGCCGAGGAGGTCGGCGGCGGCGAGGAAGGGCTCGCCGTTGTCGTCGAGGCCGCCGACGAGGAGGTGGTTCCAGAGGGGGTCGAACTTGGAGCGGCGGTTGTAGAGGAGCTTGGAGAGGTATCGGTGGAGGTTGGCGGCGTTGAGGCGCGGCTTGTCGGGGGACTCGTAGGCCTCGGAGAGGGACAGCTCGGTGAGGTGGCGGTCGAGGTACTGCATGTCGGAGATGTCGCCGCTGAAGCCGAGGATGGATGAGCCGGCGAAGGGGCGGAGACGCTTGACGTCGGTGAAGCGGGCGAGGGAGCCGTATGAAGCTGTGGTGGTGGAAGATGGGGTTAGTCAATGGTTTTCCTGTCCCTATATTGGGAGGACAAGCTGAGGCAGGCTTGGTGTAGATTGGGCAGTGGCACTAACCCAGGTTATCGGCGGCGATGACGACGCCGTCCTTGAACTTGATTCCTATTACTGAGGTACCGGTGACGATGGGCTGCTGGGTGTTTTGCTTTGGCCCGTTCTCCTGCATGTAGGAGTGGTCGTAGGCGCCGTAGACATCGTCTCTAGGCTGTGCAAAGGAGTCAGCGACATAGTTCCAAGGTGTCATTTATGTGGCAAGTTTGAGATATCGGTAGTTGCACTCACCCGACCCCATGCTTGCGGACGGTGATCCATTGTGAATTATATCTGGTGTTCGAAGAAGAAGCGGCGGCAACGTGGGGTAAGAACAGCGAGATGGAGAGGACCGATTGCGCTTGTACCCGCTGATCGAAGGGACAAGCTAGATGTTATCTTTGTCTGGTGCTGAAAGCTGTTATAAAGATCCCCCAGATGCGTTTGCGGGACGTAATTGGGGAAGAGGCCGTTGGCGAAACAGATCTGTTGTATGCGAGCTGAGCTGGTTGATGCAAGCTCGCTGGTCGCGCGTCCCAACGGGAGCCTGCAAAGCGACCAAGAGGTGGTTACATAAGCCGGATATTGACATCACTGACAGTGATTGGCTTAAACGGGAGGGGGGGAGAAGCTTGGACCAAGGCCGCTTCTCAGGGACTGCATACACTGACGATGGCGGGGCCAAGACCATGTAAAGCAAAGTCGTTTGCTTATTGTACTTTTGATTGAAGATATAAAGGAAACGGAAGAAGCTATAGCAGCTACTATATGAATTAGTAACTTGAAGATTATTTGGTAAATGTTTGGATGGCTCTGAAAAATGGAGCTAGGTGTTATGTTACCTAGGTAAGTAAGGTAGGCGTGGAGTAATCCTGTCAGTTGCAAGCCGGTACACACAAACTCCAAGCACCTCGATATGTATCATCTTCGTTTTTTATAACGTTTATTGAATATTGCGCCAAACTATTTCCACATTTTCTTTACTGCGTCTTTACGAACTTTGTGATGGTCTTCTTGGCGCAAGCTCTGATGAGAGACACTGGGTTAGAAGCTGTGATACTATGGACTTGAACCCATGCCTGTAAGAAGTACAGCGCACCTATACATGACAATTGCTAGACTTATACCAATTATAATACGCTAAAACAGGCCATAGTAGTAGAGACATACTGATACTCCAAGCAACAGAGGCAATAGGGACAAGAACTTTGTAGGAAACAATCACACGGCAATGGAGGTTCTAAATGTAGTCTTTCTTCTATGGCTGGACAAGCGATAACAAAGCGAACACCCAGTGAGACTTACCAAATAATATACACAGGGATTTGATTTTGACCATTGGTTTTTATATGTTGTGGCTCGCGAACTTGCCGGTCGAGAGATTAACGGCAGAGTTAACATGGCTAGTCGCTTTTGTCAACGACACTGACTTCACTTCAGAAGATCTTGTGCCCCAGGCCCCAATCACTAGACTATCGTCCCTTGGTTTGGGTGATATTGGTCTTTCTCGGCAGATTGTCAATCAATTCTAATGCGCCTTAAAGGAGTGCGCATCAACACTTAAGCACCTCTCGACCGTACTCACGAGCCTGATGATGATGCCCATATCAATCAACCAGAGCATCATTGGGACCCTCCACAGAAAAGCCATTGGGGTCGAGCCAGAGATGTAAATATCTATATGCCTTTATTCTATCGATCAACGCTGAGAATACTCTCCAGTACCGGATGGCTCGCGCGCAGCTCCTCCAGGCTGCAATCCACTAGTTTCACGCTGTTTCGCCAGTTCTTTCTACGAGGCATGTCCCCCAGCAGCAAACTTCAAGACCTTTTGTGAGCCTGACGATGATGAAGGCTAGGGACTAGGGCTATTGAAGTGGGATATCGGGGAGATTCAAATTGAAAGAAGGAAGGAAGGAAGGAAATCTCTAATGTGCTCATAAGACATAGTTCTCTAAGTAAGGAGAAGTTCCTAAGTATATAATACTAGATTTTTTTAATTTATTCGTCTTCTTTATTATACCAACACATCGTGCTCTCCTCCAAGAGTTTTGGCGGGAGACGCCGGGTTGAGAATTGTGGGGCCGAGATTGAGTTGCTATTGACCAATCAGCGCTGCTTACTTCCTGCTTTGCATCTTCGCGAATTTCCTTAGCAGAACTTCTTCCGAGGCCATTCCTATCCTCTGTAAAAACCCGCCAACGACAGTACCTCGGTCTCTACCCACCCGCGACTGTATCAGAAGCATTCAATTGCTCGCCAAAGCCAAGATGGTAAGAACTCCAGCGACCCAGCCCGTCCGATTCTCGTGCCGAAAGCTAATCGCGCATGTGCGCAGTCTCTCGCCAACTCTATCTACAGGCAAGTTACCACGACGACAAACCAACGACGTTGACTCGCATCCTAACACACGACTCTACAGCACCCTGTTCCGCAAGAACTACACCATGCTTGCGACAGTTTTCGCCGCCGGCTTTGCTTGGGAGATGTACGAGGATCCTACAATACCGACCGAACATTGAAGCGGAAACAATGGACTAATCAGTGATGCAATAGCGGTTTCAACTCTACCATGGACAAGATCTGGGATAGCAACAACCGAGGCGTAAGTTTGCACATTACGACAAGCAAGGGACCAGACAATGGCTAACGAGCGAACCAGCGCCAATGGAAGGACATCCGAAACAAGTACGTTGAGGGTGGCGAGGATGAGGAGTAAAGAAACTCCGCATTGCTCGGATTAGAATGGGTGTCGGATGGGACTGCTTTGGGGGAAAATGTATAAATAAAACGAGAAATAGAACGGTTCACAGCTATTTAATTTTCCTTTCTTTTTGGACTCTATAGCTGTGGTATGATTGTGCTACGGTCGTACGATGCTGGTATTCAACGCCCAACCCAACGCTGAGCTCCGGGGACGCTGTTGCGGCCTTTGATTCTGGCACGAGATAGTTGTGTGTTGAATATATACACTTGCTATATTTGGTGCATGTAGATAAAAAGCACAGGCGATGAATCACAGACTTTTGGTGAGGCCACTGTGCGCCGCAGCGGATTCTGACGTCGGTTCGACTTGAGCCTTCCAAAAGATGCAGTAGCCAAAGCTTCTGAAGGCATCAAGTGTGGGGCGGAGACTGGCAGCTGGCAACTAAGACAGCAGGTAGTAGCAATAGCAGGCTACAGTTGGAGTGCTAAATAATATAATCGGGGTGCTAGATAACTTCTCTCTCTATTTTTGAGGTATTAGATAACAGAACCGGGGTGCTGGACAATGGCTCCCTTTAGAGTCCTATCTAAGTTTCAAGAACGAGCATCAAAAGGTCCCTAGAGTTCCGTTAGCTGGATGTCTTATCTACTGGCAACATTGGATCAAATGGGTTGCTACTATGGGACTGGCGGAATTTGTCCACGCTTTTCGATTTATCCAAAAAGCAATAGAGACAGATCTACAATATGAGGGTTTCGGAGTTAATCCTGACGATATCGATGAATGCGCAGTCTTTGCTTTAATGGACCGGATTACTGGGAAGGGCCCCTCGATTTATCCACACAGTCGCGTTTACATGATGCCTTGCATGCTGCCCGCAAGCGAGATGCCTCCTAGGTATGTATGATATATACGAGGAAGTACTTTACCCACATGAAGTCGAACTAGCTCTTACAGGCCTTGAGAGTGTCCATTTATATGGATTATCAAACTACACAATCCCCGACAGGTCCCGAGATACTGTTGTCGCGCTGGACCAGCCTTTGGCTGACCGTCTCTCCAGATATTCTTGGATAGGAGGCCAAAGATGGCCCATTCACAAGAGTTGCAGCCAGTTTATATGTCTCTTGAAGACTCTACAGCATCAGAGGATGAGTTGGATCTATGGATGGATCGAGGAATTCTTCACTGGAAGCTGAAATACTCCGTATACGGCGCTCTCCCCTCTGTCGATCTTGCTATATCGCAGGCCCCAAAATTAAGCAACTATTTGCCTAAAGCTATGCACAATCATCTCTTGCTACAGATGAGGCATCACTATGGTCATATAGTGGAAGATTATTATATTCAGATCCTGCCTAAAGAATCTTTTACAGTAGATAATAAGCTTTAATTAGTCCTAAAGGAAATAAGAGCTATATTGAGAGAAGACTATAAGAATAAGCTACTAGCTGTCCTAGTTGAGGAAGCAGGGATATTTAATGCTTTTACTAGACTATAAGAAGGAATATTTAATAGTATAACTATAATAGATCTAAATCCAAGCGGTCCTGATCAATCTGAGCGGTCCTGATCAATCCTGATCACTAAGCGCCTTTAGGTGCCACCGTAGCTTTAGGTAGTACCTTAACAGCGCTATCTTAGTAACGATGCGTACCTAGCCGATCTTTGCTCACCTCAGATCAAACTCCAACCAGAGCACATTATTCTCCAACAACAGTGCCACCGACATCACAAATACCTTGCGCCCTCCTTCTGGCACCTGAGCTGCACGCCCGCCCGTCTATCCCGAGCCCCGACCACGACCGGACGTGCATTTCGGAGCAAGCATTTCTTCTGCTCGAGCTGAAACTGCCAAAAGCATTCCCCCACCTCGCATGACGCCACTCGTCGCCAGCCAGCCGTTGCTACTCTTCATCATACTACGAGCTGCATCATGAGCTCATGATCATGGAGAGCCCCCTGTCAACTCAAGAGCAGCAGCTCTGTCAGCTACTGGGAGGTCTGCCTGCACGATACAACAATCGATATACAGAGGAAGCTGCCCGGGAGCTCCTGTCCAGCCTCTTCTGGTCCCTCGCTGGTGGCAACCATGAGTACATGCGGCTTCTGTTCCCCGAGGGCAGGCCGTCCGAAAGCCTCAAGCTTAGCGATGCCCAAGGCGCTGTAGAGGGCGCTGAATATACAGAAGCAGCCCGTGGGAAACGATGCGGCCACATTTTCAAACCTGGCGAGGCCTCTTACATGTGCAGGACCTGCGGGACGGACGAGACGTGCTGCCTGTGTAGCCGATGTTTTGATGCGACAGATCATACCGGTCATATGGTGAGGATTCAGATCTCAGTGGGAAATAGCGGCTGCTGCGACTGCGGAGACGATGAAGCCTGGAAGACGCCGCTATACTGTACTATCCATTCCGACATGGCATCTGGACCTCATGCGAAGGACCCAAAGGCGCCCCCTTCGCTTCCAGAGGACCTCGTCAATAGTGTTCAAATGACAATTGGGAGAGCATTTGATTATATCTGCGACGTTATATCGTGTTCGCCGGAGCAGCTTCGCCAGTCAAAAACAAAGGAATCGATTCTGAAGGATGAAGAAACGTCACGCCTACAGTCAACATACTACGGTTCGGATGTTTCAGATACCGAAGATCCAACCGAGTTTGCACTGGTGCTATGGAATGATGAAAAACACACCGTTGACGAAGTCAGAGACCAGGTTGCTCGTGCTTGCAGGAAGTCCCGTCGACAGGCAAGCAAGGATGCCTGGGACACTGATGCAGTGGGTCGAAGCCTTTTGATATTTTCAGACGACGTCGATCGGCTGTTACAAATGGCAAAGATTCTCGAAGCCATCAGAGTTACGATAACCATTCGGTCAGCAAGAGACACCTTCCGGGAACAGATGTGTGGCACTTTGGTCGAGTGGCTAAGCGACATATCTGGTTGCTCAATCGGTCACGACAACCTCATTCTTCGCCGCACCATATGCGAAGAGGCTATGAAGCCTTGGAGGAAAGGAAGTGCGGCGACTCATACCATGGGCCTCATTGATGATGAGGAAGAGGAGGATCAGCGAATGGAATCAAGAGATATGCTGCACAATGTGAACGCGCGATTCATCCTGGCTTTACAAGCTGCTGCTAGAGCCAGAGGCGGCTTGGATGTGGAAATCGACGTTGATGTTGGAGACGTCGATGATGATGACGATGGCGACGACGACGACGATGAAGACGATGAAGACGATGACGGCAATCGCTCCTTTTCAGATGACGGGGACGACGATGTCATCATGGTCGATGCCCGAGACACTATTTCGGAGCTAGATATGACATTCAGACCGGATGACATATCTTTGGAAGATCACGAAGCAACTCTGGCCGGATATCCGCCTCCGCCGCCACCGCCGCCTGTTCCTGGCACTGCCGCTGGCCCGGCCCCTGGAGAGACAAATCAAAATACCCAGCAGCGTGAGGGCACACCGTCCGATGCCGATATGCGAGAGCCTCTCATTGCGCAGAGCATGCACTCAAAGGCGAACGTCGAAATCCCCAAAACGCCTGGCAAGTCAGAAAAGGCTATGCCCAATCCTGGACTGTATTGGCTCGAAACCCCGGCCGCATACACACGATCAGAGATTGTCCCGCCAGCAGAAGATGTCTTTCAACGAGTTCGTCTAGACTGGCTACTTCTCTTTGATCTACGAATGTGGAAAAGAGTTCGAAACGACCTCCGTGCTCTATACATCTCCACCGTAGTCCAGATTCCTGAATTCAAACGGGTTCTGGCTCTTCGATTTGCCAGCCTTTACACCATCCTGGCTCAATTATATCTCGTTGGAGATCGAGAGCCAGATCACTCCATCATCAACCTCTCTCTTCAGATGCTGACGACGGCATCCATCACCGCTGAAGTAATAGAGCGGGGAAACTTTTTGACCAGCTTATTGGCAATCCTATACACATTCTTGACGACCAGACAAGTCGGTCATCCTTGGGACATCTCACCCACTGCTGTCCTTGCTTTTGATAGTGGTTCGGTCACTAATAGGCGAATGTATCACTTCTACCAAGACCTAAAATACCTATTCAGCTCTCAGCATGTTCAAGAGCGGCTCAGAAGCGAACCCAGGTATCTGATGCAGTTTCTAGATTTAGTGAAGCTTCATCAAGGGATAGGGCCAAACGTTCGTGCGGTCATTGAGCACGTTGAGTATGAAGCAGACTCCTGGATTACCGCATCTCTTGTTACTCGCCAAATCAATTTGCAAGCCAGAAATTTGGCCGAAGCATTCCGCGAGTGCCCGCCCGACGAGATGCGTCATCTCATGCGAGCCATCCGAATAGCTGCCAAGGCTGCCATCTTCAATTCCGTTGGCGGGGATCGCCTCAGACTCAAACAAGGGGAGATCAAAGATGAAGTGAAATTCAAGACGATGAGCGACTTGGAGTTCGATATTGAGGGCAAATCGTATGATGTCGTTCAATTCGTTGTCGAAAAAGATTCCATCAGTTTCCACCACGGGCTACATTATACGCTATCCTGGTTGATTGAATGCGGAAGATCTCTCCCAGCCTCTAAGATGCGAGCTCTGCTGAGCTTCACTCGTCAAGAACTCAAGTCGAAACCACGGCTCATGGCGGTTGGACCTATACAAATCCCCAAGAAAGACTATAGTCATGAGGACTATCTGATGGCTCTCTTCGATTATCCTCTCCGTGTCTGCGCTTGGCTAGCCCAGATTAAAGCCAACATGTGGGTTCGGAATGGTATTAGCCTCCGCCATCAAGCCAGTACCTACCGCGGAGTTGGGCAGCGAGACGTCTCTCATCATCGAGACATATTCCTCTTGCAAACAGCAATGGTAGTCTGCGACCCCTCTCGGGCCTTAGCGTCCATTATTGACCGATTTGGAATGGAAAATTGGGTAAAGGGCATTTTTGAAGTATTTTCAGAAGCCCAAGATGATGCCCAGCATCTCGATGTTGTCGAAGATATGATTCACCTCCTTATTGTTCTCCTGAGCGATCGTACCAGTTTAATCGCTCCAGAGGATCAGCCTAATTCTCGACTACTGGCTATGCGCCGAGATATTATCCATGTATTATGCCTCAAGCCCCTTTCATTCAACGAGATTTGCTTGAAGCTCCCTGAAAAATACCAAGAGTCAGAGGAATTCCACCAGGTCTTAGATGAGATGGCTACGTTCAAACCGCCTGAGGGCGTGTCCGATGTGGGAACCTTTGAGCTTCGTCAAGAGTTTATCGAAGAGATCGACCCTTACATTGCACACTACAATAAAAATCAGCGCGAGGAGTCTGAGCTTGCTTACCGCAAAAAGATGGCCAAAAAGACAGGCCAAGCCATAGACGATATCGTCTTCGAGCCCAAGCTCCGTCCGATACCGTCCGGATTATTCCAGCATCTGGCTGATTTTACCAGCACGGGTGTCTTTGCACAGGTCATCTACTACTCGTTGTTATATGTATTAACGTCTCACAAAATTACGCCCTCGGTGCCCAATACGAGGCTCGAAACGTTCCTCCAAGTTGTTCTTCACCTTATCCTGCTGGCTATCATGGAAGATCAAAGCATTGATACAGACATTTCCGGAAAACCTCCAAAATCCTTTGTCCACGCCGCACTTACACGAATCGCGCGAAGCAACTTTATGCGTGAAGCAAAGGATGCCAGGACTATTGTTTCGCTCTTAGATATGTTGTCTACCAATGAGGACTTCAAAGCGGTTCATCCCAGAATTTCCCTCGTTCTCAAGCGCCTCAAGCAGAAACGACCGACGACATTCAACGCGGAATTCCTGAAACTTGGGCTGCCCTTGGATCGCGTCAATACCGCGTCCCCAGCGAACATTTCTGTTGACGGCGAGCGCGAGAGAAGAAAGCAAGCAGCCATTGATCGCCAGGCCAGAGTTATGGCACAATTCCAGCAGCAGCAAAAGAGCTTCCTGGAGAATCAAGGCACTATTGACTGGGGATCTGACCTCGACGAGGAAGAGGAGGAGACAGAGCAAGCCGAAGACCGCAAACACAACTGGAAATACCCAACCGGAACCTGTATCCTATGCCAAGAGGAAGCTGATGACCGGCGTCTGTATGGTGCTTTTGCCCAAATTAATGAAAGCCTTTTGTTTCGTCAGACAGACTTTCAGGACCCTGACCTCGTCCGAGAAGCTTCTCAAACTCCGTGCAACCTCGACCGGTCAGCAGAGGATATTCGCCCCTTTGGCATCGCTCAAGAAAACAGAAAGATGGTTGAGAAACTGAATGCTCAGGGGGATACATTCCTTGCCGAGCGACAGACTATTGGCAGGGGATTCAAAGCCTCCCTTTCACGACCGGGACCAGTGGCTAGCAGTTGTGGGCATATGATGCATTACAGCTGTTTTGAGCAGTACGTCGAGGCCGCAAATCGTCGTCACACCCATCAGATTGCCCGACACCATCCTGAGAACATTAACCGGCACGAGTTCGTATGTCCCCTCTGCAAAGCTCTTGGGAACGTTTTTGTGCCAATCGTTTGGAAGGGCTTGGAGGAATCCTATCCGGGAAATCTCCAAGCAGAAGAAAGCTTTGAAGATTTTCTGGACAAGCAAATGTCATCGTACCCATTCGGCGGTAGCAAGGCCCGTGAGGTGGATGATTCAAGATTGCCTGCTATTCACACCCCGAGCCTTCCTGGCAGTCTACTACAAACCATCACTCAGGTAAAGCCTCCTCAAAATACTCACTGGGTTGGCAAGGAAGACCTAGAGGTACGGTCGTCGACAACAGCGGGGGCAGCGGGCAGCTCTTCGAGATCTGCCGCCGCCGCAGAGACCTCAGAAGCAGGGGCCAATCAACAAACCGTTACTACCAACGAGCTTCTGCTCATGGAGCTGTTAACAGCCTACCATCGTATCAAGGAGACTCTTGTGGTGAATAAGCTTGATACTCGTTACCCTGTGGATAAGATCCAAGCAGGGGAAGATTTGCACTCGAGCGATACATTGGTTCAAGTGGTTGGGTGCACCATATCCTCTGTGGAGATTGAGCAACGTGGAGTCGAAGCTCAGCCAGGGATGACGTTGATTGAAAAGATCCCAGAGCAAGTGATTTCCCATCTGCGAATTCTAGCGGAAACTACCTCGGCATATATAGCTATGGGCGGTCGACATTCTCTTCCAGGAGGCCGAATAGAAAGCGAATTCATCGCAGATGCAGAACAGCAGCATGGTCAGCTCTTTATGGCGCAGTATTTTGGAGCGGAAGCTGGCGATGCGCGACGACGGTTGTATAGCTACCCACCGTTGTTAAGCATGGACCCCTTCCTCTTTCTAGTTGAATGCAGCTACGGCCTAGTGGTGGCCCAAAACGTCGACATCATGCATGTGGTCAGGCTGTGCTACTTGGCGGAGATTGTCAAGGTTGTGTTTCATATGGGCCGCAATATGCCGGTAGGCTTGTGGTTCGGCACATTGGCCAATCGACAGACTCCAGACCCTGTCATGAACAACTTTGCGGATTTCGCTCTGGCTTTGACCAAGTCGAGCGTGGAGTACCAAGCGAGGTCTGGCAACGACATTCCAGACATGGGAGAAAACCGAGGTTTCCAGCAACCAGGTGTAGACACTCTAGAAGGATGGTATCCATTTGTGAAGAAATATGCGCTGGCCTTTTTGCGGAAAGCCACAATATTCCTCCACGTCAAATACGGTGTGGACTTTAACAATCACGTCTCGTCAAACCCGGACGCGGATGAGCTTGATCGCCTCACCGAGGCCCTGCAGCTGCCGACATTTGATGAAATGTGTGCAGCCATGACAATGGATTCCCTGACTTGCGGATGGCCTAATACTACGCCCGCATTAGTGACGGGCTGGGTGAAGCACCAAGTGCTCTGGACTAAGGGTTTCCCCGACTTGGTCCCTTCCGCGATGGTCAGCCATCCCGGCATATTCGAACTGATTGGTCTCCCTAGAACGTTTGATACCTTGATCGAAGAAGCTGCGAGGAGGAGATGTCCCACGACGGGTAAGGATCTCACGGATCCCGTAATTTGTCTTTTCTGTGGAGATTTGTTCTGCAGCCAGGGCACATGTTGCCAGAAACTTGATACGGATGGCACCAAACTTGGCGGCGCCCAACAACATATGAAAAAGTACGGCCACCTAATCTTTTTTTTTTCTGTTTCTGTTTCTGTTTCTGTTTCTGTTTCTGTTTCTGTTTCCTTTTACTTTTACTTTTACTTTTAAATATTGAATTGCAAATGACTAACTTTGTTATAGGTGCCAAAGGAATATTGGCGTATTCCTTAATGTGCGGAAGTGTGCTATCGTTTACCTGTTCTACCGCTCCGGGTCATTCACTCCCGCACCGTACATTGATAAATACGGTGAGACAGACCCACAGCTGCGACATGGCCGGCAGCTATATTTGAATCAGAAACGATATGACTCCATGATCAGAAGCACGATACTCAAGCATGGAGTTCCCAGCCTAATCAGCCGAAAGCTAGAGGCGGATATTAACAACGGGGGCTGGGACACCTTGTAAGATGGAGAGAATACGATGCGAGTGGCTACTACGATGGACCCCTTGATGAAGAATGATGCTCCAATGGAAGGTTTTGTGGCAGAGCTTGAGCATATTGTGTTTTTGGCGTATTAAGATGGATTACTGCTGTTGCTTACCGCTTGTATGGATTGATAGACGGGAACCTTTTTGTTTTACAAGTTAGTCTATAGGGGAAACGCTTCTTTATTTTTTTTGTTCCACTCGCTAAGTTTATATGAATGTCCTTTGGGCAGAGCAGTTGGGTTAGTCGATGGTGAAAATCACAATGTTATCGTACAAGCAGATAGTTTCTAGTGAAAATAGACGATATTTAAAGGAATGATGGTAATGTCGGAGAGTTACAGCTAGTTTAGTTTACTCGTTCTACCGTTTTTATTGATACTGCTCATTCCTCAGAGCACATGCCATTGTCTACGTACTGTATGAATTACAGTAATATGGTATATAAACACTGTGTTATCCAACGAAATCGCCAGCCAATCGGGTCCATCGCCACTAAAGCAACGCGCCGCGAAAAGGCTCTACAAGGGAAAAAGGCCAGCCGCTGGTTGGTTCGCCCGCGAGGCTTCGCACCTCGATTGCGTTTCTGACAGCTTCAACTCTCTGTCTTGCTCTGTCTTGGCGTTTGAACGGCGACAACGCGCATTTTCCAGCTTCTTTTTTTACTGCCAGTCCACAAAAGACCGCGGCGATCTTCCTAGAGAGCTCCAGAGAGGCGAGAGGCGAAGATGCCTAGCCGGAGATCAGGTCGCGCGGCGGCCAAAAAGGCTGCTGCTGCTCTTGGTACGTTTTTTTTAGAGCCCTCTTGCGAGTCAGGTCCTGTTTGACGACTGCTCCTACCATGTCTTTTTTTTCTACGTGCAATGAAGTGAATTGCGACTGAAGCATTTCTCTTGTCTAATTCACTTTCTTCTTTCTCTTGTCTGATTCACTGTTCTCTTTCCCTTCTTCTTCTCTTTTGCTGCAGCGCAGCTAGACTTTTTTCTTGCATTCATGGATTCAAGGAGGAAAAACATGGGAGAACAACCGCCCATTCGACTGAAGCTAATTCGCAATTCTGCGCGTAAAGGGAGCACGCCCAAGGGCTATGCCGATCTCGAAGACGAGCCTATGCCAGATGTCCGCGCCAATGCTTCTGCAGACGAAAAGGACGAGGATGTCGAAGAGAACGAGGCGGCGGAGGAAGAGTCGGGCGACGATGACGCAGAGGTTGCAGACAAGGACGACGAGGGCGACGATGACGATGAATCAGAAGCTTCTGCAAAGGAGCCAACGCCGCCTCCAGAGCCTGTGATTCGCCGGAAACGATTGGGACGCCCTCCCAAGAATCGACCACCCGACTGGGATAACATGGTGACTGTCACAAAGGAAGAGGCCGACACACCACGTCGCAGAGGTCGCGGAGGATGGAGAGGACGAGGCGGGCGCAAGGGAGGCCCTGCGGCGCCAAAGGCCGAGCAAGTGATTGATGCTGAGGGCACGGTGGCCGACATTGTCGACGACGAATGCGTCCTCCCCGAGGATCCAGTGGGCGAGACCAAGGTTGATAAGCTGGGCAATCTGCTGGATGGACGAGACTACCGTTGCCGAACATTCAAGGTGCTCGGTCGAGGCAACCGGCTCTACATGTTGTCTACAGAGCCCGCGCGATGCGTCGGTTTCAGGGACAGCTACCTCTTCTTCACCAAGCACCGCAAGCTGTACAAGATCATCGTGGACGACGACGAGAAGCGCGACATGATTGAGCGAGAGATTATCCCCCACTCGTACAAGGGCCGGTCAATAGGAATTGTCACGGCCCGGTCGGTATTCAGGGAATTCGGCGCCCGCATCGTCGTGGGTGGAAAGCGCATCGTCGACGACTATGCCGTCACCCTAGCTCGCGAGGAGGGTGCCGTCGAGGGCCAGCTCGCCGACCCAGAAGATCACTTTATACCGGGAGAGCCATACAACAAAAACCAATATGTTGCATGGCACGGAGCCAGTGCGGTGTATCACACCAATACGCCTTCTATACCGGTGCCTAGTGGCAAGGTTGAGTCGAAGAAGCGCAAGGTAAACGTCAATGACACAAACTGGATGCTGGAGCATGCACGAGAAGCAAGGTATGTGTGAACTGGTAAAATGACAGTTTTATTGGACAAGATTTTTTTTATCTGACAATGCTTCCAGTGCATTTAACGCGGGTATCAACGCTATCAGAAAGCTGAATAACACCGGCGTTTATGACATTCACACAAACACCATGCAGTATCCAGCCTCCATGCAGCCAACAGTTGCGCGTATCGAGCAAATTTCGCCCCAAGACCAAGCAGCCGCCAAAGCCGATCCCGCGTTCCCCCCTGTGCCCCTGAAGATGGCCAGAAACTTTGCAGTCATCGACACTTACTTTGAGACGCCGGCGGCAGGCGGAGCTCTGGCTGCAGTCGAGAAGTCTGACCCAGCAGATTTCGTTGCGCAGTTTAACGGGCTGGACGCTGTGTCAGACGACATCAAAGATTTACTGCCAGCGGAATGTCGAGAGGCATTTGACAAGGCGGTACAAAAGGAGACGGACTGGAGATCACGATGGGGACTGGAAGCTACGCACATGTCGCGGAAGGACCCGATTATCGACAAGGCTATCGTTCCGTATAATATGACGGGATGAGGTTGAGGTGGACTAGTGGAGGGTTATGAAATCTGCGATTGAAATTTTAGCAACGGCCCTTTTTGCCTTCTTTTTCTTTTCTTTATTTTACCCCTGACTTTTTTCTCTTATTTTTCTGTTCTGTAACTATTCATGAAGAGGGAAAGACGGCCGGATGCAAAGATGGCGTTGGGAGTATGAAGAAAGCAGGCGACGATTTTTCGCTCGCCGTAGGATATCTCGTCTGAGCTATGGGTTCAGTGATGAAGCAGATTTAGGGACTAGGTATGTAGTCTTAATACAGACGATGATGATAAAACTTGTGCTTTGCCATTTCTTTTTTCTCTTCATTACAAATAGAGACTACGATTCACCTTTGCAAGGGATCTTAGTAGGCAGCCCTACTTGCCTTGAGATGGGCATGCGTGTATCTGTCTACCCTACTGGAGTCAAATTATGGCCTGGGTTTAAGTAGATACGCATATTAGTTTAGATGGGTGTTCCTGATTTGTCTACCTAGAGTGCTAAATAACTTGAGGCATTCCCGATTTGTAGGGATTCCGTAACCTTTGTGATTGCCAAATGAAAAGGCCTCCTTGATTCAATATGTCGATGAATCCAGCAATACATTAAGCTACATCAGACCGGACCAGACCGGACAAGGGAGCTTGTCAGAGGGGGAGGATCCCGGGTTTTTACCAGAAGAGAAAAGGCATCCAGCACTCCGCCAACGGTTCATCTCTGGATCATGATAAGGTCTTCTTTTTTCTTCATCCCCTCTTCTTTCGTCTCCTCTCTTTTTTTTTTTTTTTTTTTTCTCAATCTTTGCTCCCCCTCCCCCGCAACGGCAACTCTCAACATGAGCTGTCTTCTTTCTTCCTGCGGGATTAATTAGTCTCCTGAATGCATAAGCTTCATATGCAAGCGTTTTCGGCCTGCACGTCAATAGTGGTGCTGCTACTGTAGCAATACTAGGCGCTAGCACTTGGTAGCAGTTGGTATTACTCCGTAAAAAAGAAAAAAAAAAATTCAATATCCCTTACATATACTCCATGTGCGTTAGTTTTGCATGCAGCGGGCATGTTGGACCCGGGGGTGTGTTCACAACACGCGTTAGCTTTTTTCGATTCTGCAGTAGGTGACTTGTTGCTAAAAGGTAAAATGAAATGCAAGGGTTTTTCCACAACAAACGGGTTCCGTAGAAAGCCCGCCCGCCGCACGAGTTGATGCAGAGAGACGTCATAAAGAAGAGTCTAGATTTTTTTCAGACAAAGAGAGAACCCCCCCCCCTCCTTCGGTCGTTGCTCGCATGAAGGCCGAATTTTGGGGACGGAGCCAATGAAGCCATCCGTTCTGGGTAGGTGGGAGATGCTGGTGACTGTTTGGGTACGACATGGAAGGAAAGCGGCAAAAGTCGGCTTCGGCGTGTGTGTTGTAGATTTTATGTATGCTAGAATAGCAATTAAAAAGACAAATGATGAAAGAAGAAGAAACTTATGCAGCAGGTGTTGAGAATGAATGTCAAGCACAAGAAAAATACGGGACATGAGGTGACCAAAGGCAAAAACCATGAGGTGCAAGAACCAGCGTATACCTTTTCAAAGAACGAAATACCCAAGTACAGATGATACGATACAAACATTTTAGAATCCAGCGCATGAATTAACATATGCATAGCCCTTGTGTTGTAGAGAGAGACTATTAAAAGTAGCTATTGGCAACATTTGCCTAGAGCCTCTCAACTTCTAGAAGCCGTCCACATCCGTACCACAAAATTATCATCAAAGTGATTGATGAACCAACAACAGGCTACCGTTTTTAACGCTGACATACCCAAAACGAGGTACGCATCACGCCACGCAAGCTGCCATCCGTCTCAACCGAAGCATGTACTTTTCGCCTCTCCTGTATATCATCACACTTCTGCCTGGCGTAATCGGGGGGCTCATCAACTTCCCCTTTCAGGCCATGGGCCTATTAACCCGAATCAAATCGGAACATGCAAGGTCCCATGTCAAAAGACCTCTCTCTCTCTCTCTCTCCACTCACGTTACAACATGTGCTTATCTGCAGGCACCAGCACTGTCGTATTATTAATATCCAAGGAAACGAAGAGAGGTGAAGGAGATGAAAAGTATCAATGTCATCCATCTTTATTCCATTTGTGCCCAAATTCATTCATGCACCCACGTTCCCATACCACAAGTAATAACGGAACAGAAGAATAGAAAATAAAAATACAAAGGAGAAGAGAACAAATCATTCTAAGCTAGCTACCGATAGCTGTAAACCAAAACAAAACTCAGATATATGCTGAGTAAAATTTAAAAAGGGAAAATCCAACTTGACAGGACAGTAGTTGTGTCCCATCAACGCCAAAACACCAAGTGCCCCATGAATCTATTTCTCGTGAAATTGCTTTCCCATCTTGTTGTCTGCTCCTTGTCGTTATATATTCTTCTCTCTTTTGATATGCCCAACTAGGCCAGCTTGGGCCCGGCAAGACCAAAGGAGGAACACAGATAGGTCCTGTTCCCGCAGCAATCAATGTATGGCCATCATATATCTGCACGGCCTCTGTATTATTTATATCGGCCAAGTCTCTCTTCATCGTCTTCTATTAGTTCGTATGCCGGTCGAAAGTCTCGCTCGTCTCCTTGTTTCTTTAATCGCGGGTTTGGCAGAGTGTCGCGTCTCCCGCCAAGACTCGTGTATCCCTATCAAACTCGTCAGTCGCCATAAACTCTCTGTAGCATAAAAAAGAAGGCGAGTCATGTCCAACATACCTGGTCGTATAGACAGCAATAAGGAATATCTAAATGTCGAGTAAACTAAACTCCCAGTCAGCTCCCAATTCTTAACGGGTCTTGTCTCTATCCCATCCTTGTATAAAAGTGACTCACAGCCCAAATCTCAGCTGTTAACAAAACAATGTTAGCATCTATTCTTTACATGGGTTAGATCAAAGGGTAAAGAGCGGCAGCACTCACTGTAGTGCCAATCAATCACAGGATGAATCCTCATAAAGTCGGGCCACCCCGCATCCGTCGGGTCGAAATGCTTCAACTTCTCTCCATGCGGATCCGTCCGCCGGGTTCCCACGAAAATGGCCCTGACGCTGGGATTCTGCGCCTTGAAAACCTCCAGGCCCTTCTTCATCGGCAGCGTAAACCGTGCAACGTCCAGGTGGTACATTGCGCTGCTCTTCTCGACGAAATCATCAACCTCGGCAAAGGGATCCGCGGATACAATGTAGACCGAGTGCAGCGTCTCGGGGAAAGGCGGCAGCTTGGGCGCTCCGTTCTGCAGGTTGGCGCCGGCCACGGACTTGGGAGGCGAGTATCGTCGCGCGTAGCATGCAAGGAGCACGATGAGCATCACGAGGCCTGTTGTGGTGGTTAGCAGCCTTGTCTGGATATCGAATGCCAGCCTCGGCACAGTGCGCAAGGCTTCGCAATCGGGTGTTCAAAACGTACAGTCCTTGCCACCATTGTACGAGATGGAGATCTCCTCGGGTCTGTAGTCGCGCATCAGTACTGGCCATTCAACAAGCATCCCGGCGCAGAATCCGGGACGCAGAGCGGCAAAACCCACCGATATCTCTCCAGCGCCTCGTCCACCACCTGGACCGAGATGCGCACCTGCTCCTGCGCCCGTCGCAGCAGCGGCGCCGTCATCTCCTCTGCCAGAAAGGCATCGACCTTGTCTCGCATGGCGACACAGGCCTCGTACAGCGAGCCGTAGGGCGGGTTCTTTGCGGCGCCGTGGCCGTGGCCGTTGGCGATGGCGATGGCGGCCATTGGCGGGACTGGAGCCGCGGCTGCAGTGACGGCAGCGGCCGCGATGGGATGGACGGGGACAGCGTGCATTCGCGGCTTGTGGACGGAGATCATTGTCGGTGTTGCTGGCAGGTTTGCAATCAAGGACAGCAACAACTCGCGGGCATGCTGCTTGTATTTGATGAATAGATAGGTAGGTAGGTAGATACCTGCTGTAGGTAGTAGTTATAGCATCTGGGGTGCCCGGCCGCTTAGTGGCCCAGCGGTGTGCCCGGCGGCTCCCAGATGTATGTCAGCACCAGGTTCTGATGCCGAACAGCCACCGACCGGCAGCGTAGATTGCCCGAGCCTGCTGCTCGGTTTGAGTTTCAGCCCAACCATTGCGCTGTGCAAACACGAATATGAACAGGATAACCAATTAAAACGGCCGTCGGTGAAGGCATTAAAGGACTGAATGAGACTTGTTTTCTCTCGCAAGCTTCATTTGGGGGTTTCTCTTTGCATCAAGATCAACGCGAGCGGCAAGCAGGGCTGCAGACGCATTCCCATGTGATTACAGCCCCAGAAATGCTAGACGTTAGACAATACTCGGAATCAAGTTTCCAACTTCCAGCGGCTTTTATTTCAGCTCTCGAACAAAATCAATAAGCTGTGCATACTCAAGCCGAGGCAACCTCTCTCCCGTTACACAAACTGCAATGTAACCAACTAAACATCCGCGATATACTGTAGGCCTATCAATCGAACGCGGCCCGCCGCAGGGATCTCGGGATGCAGTATCAACAGCTCCGAGCGCTTACAGGATCCAAAGACGTCAAATCCTTCTCACAGAAATCCCCGCGCCACTATAAAATCCTTTGCGAAAAGAAAAAAAAAAAAGACACTTATTCAACTCCTAGGTCGATTACAGAACGATATATTCGTCTCCTGTTGTGCTCGGATTCTGCTCCGGAAGGTCTCATACTTGGGGCATTCCAAGGCCGACATGCATCCAGCCTTAATTTTGGAAACTCAGTAGCAAATCAAGAAACAAAAGCATCTCTATCATGATATCAAGACAGCTCAAGCCCAACTAGAGATTGGTTCCACGACGAGAGAATGTAATTTCCCAGCTTACATGCTGCAAGCCATATATACACTTTTCTCTACCTACGCAAGATGCATCTATTCTCGACCAACCAGCGTCTTTATACCAGCATATTCGCTCAACACAGCTACTTCGCACTCGTACATGCAAAGCCCAACATCAAAAGTCAAAATCCCACGCGTCCATGGAAACTTTATGCCAAATTCATAAAAATCCGTATCAGACGCAAAACTCTCAAGCGTCCGTCCGTTTTGTCTGGGCGTGTCGATTCCGTTTGCAGTATGCCGAAATAGATCCGCAATGCGACGACTGCCTACATACAGTACTGCAGATATAGATACCCAGTTTGCCTCACTGTATTGTGCGTCATGCAGCATCATCCGCGCTTAGCGGCTATGGATATTTAAAGCAAAATCCAATCTGTCCTTTTCGCTAATTAATGTTCATCATTTAATGTTCATCATACTTTTCCTCAATTCCTCTTTGTTCAAGATACAAAGATGTTGTATCCATGTAGCTGGCCGCATCTTCAAGCCCAAAGCCGTGCGGCAGCCAACATATACCCGGTACCGTGCCGCCAAAAGTCACGGGAGCCGTTTTCAGCCATCAATGGCAGCCTGCAGATGGGAACCACCACTCAGGAGAATGAAAAAGAATTATAAATACAAGTATAAAAAATAAAAATAAAAACAAGTAGTACTCCACAAAAAGCTTCGGCCGAGTCTGACCTGTCGAGTGGCTTGCTTGCTTCGCTTCATCGCAGGAAATCACGCAGCCCCTCTTTCTCTTCTTTTCTTACATGCACGCACAGCCTATCATCGGTATGCTTCTCTCCAGCGCAGTGGCCTAAGCCCCCACGCGCTGACGAGGGGAACCATGTCCGCTTTCCTCTCTTTGCATTCTTCACTTGTTCTAAGGACATGTTTCACGAGGCAGCATATAGTAAGGCCGTGGGAAGCCAGGGCGGAGGACCGAGGTTCTCTCAGTTTCCAGCAGTGTCCAAGAGAGGCACCAATGTATAGACTTCGTCCCGTAACATCTGCCTGTATAGCTGCCTCTATCGGCCCCCCTTGCAGCAGCAGCAGCCATCTTTGGATAAATCGTACCTACATGAGCACCTACATGGAAACCAACCTGCCTACCTGTATATGAAAATCCAAAGACTGTTTACATCTCGTAACAAATCGCCGAGCTCGACGGAGTAGGTAGCTTTACCCGCTTTATTACCCCTCCCCCTCCAAAGAACATCCTGTTTGTGCGAGACGAGAAAAAAACGTACTTGTAGTGCTACCTTTCACCGCCCAGTACCCACCTAAACAGTAGCAGCAGCAATACGAAGAAGAGAAGGCGAGAAAAGGTACAAGTTGGCTCACGCATATTTCCCTCTCCGCGCTTCGATAGTTTGTGTGTGTGTGTGGTCAAGGTGGTGTACGAAGCCATCTGCTGCTTAGTCTCATTACTCACCCATTCTTGGACCAGGCGGATCGGCTGCTTCGGCGGGTAACACTTCCCCGAGAACCAGAAGGAAGAGGAGGGGGAGAGAAACGAAAAAAGAGGCGTAGCCAGTCCAGATTTCCTACACAAAACGGCCAGGCTACAACAGCCTATTAGCCAAGGCCATTCCACGTTTGTAAGCCCAGCGCCATCATACAGACGGGATCAAACTTGGTAGGGTGCAGGCATATCCGGGCAGCGCCTCCAATCACGGGCTTGCAAAGGCCAACTATTGGCCACCGACGTAGGAGCAACAGCTTTTTTCGTCGTGCAGACCATGGCAACGCCGAAGCGGAAGGAGGCAGGAAAATCCTCCTGCGGGACTTGGAAACCTGGAGAACCGATGGGCCGGCAAGAATCTAGGCTGGGCCTGTTTCAACCGTAGAAACTTCTTGAACCTGGAAATGGCTGCTGATCGTGGCGTTCGTGATACTTAAGTGACTCAAGCTGACCCTGCCTGTTGATCGTCGTCTCGATCATCTCGTGTAAGTGTGACTGAGCTGGACCGACTGGCCTCTGCTAGTATATTACGTAGATATCCAGGCCAGGCCTAATCGAGATTTTCCCGGCTGACACATCGGTGGCAATGTCCACGGACCTCTCCACGGACCCAGAGCTGGGACGCTATCCTTACTTCCCCGTCGTCAAAGGTAGACTTACAAGATACCCGGATCTGCAGGCCTGGAGGTACCGTGTCCTTGGCCAGATGTTCACCATCGCCACTTCAACGACGTAGCCTTACATACTTGTACGTACTCCATACAGCTCTGAGAAATGCAAGTCAATCGGGCAAATGCGTAATATCGTAGGCACCAATGGACCACGATGGACTCCCAGACGCCTGCTTGGTGTAATACAGGGTAAGCAGAAATCACATGTATAACCTTGGTGATGCTCGATGGATGATCGTTGTTCCGAAACATTCCCTTTCAAGGCAATTTCCGAGTAAGAATTACGTAGCAGCGCAACATACCACCATGCTCGCGCGGACAAACGCACCACTGTGTCGACCGGATGATCGCAGTGGAAAGCTTGATTCTCAAAAAAAGAAAACAGTTTAGAGCTTCACCAGTCATCACCCAGCCTCCGCGTGAGCTAAGCTGAGTGGCCAGGCAGACCAGAAAGGAAATTAGACTCTTCAGGGTCCAAGGCTCCCACTCACCAGTCAGCAGAGAAGGGCTGGGAAAATAGCAAAATCATGCTTTTGTTGTTACCTAACAATAGTAGCCAGCAGTGTAACGCGTGATCAAGGGAGAAGAGCGCATACGGGCTATTACCGGGGTATTTTTAGGAAGGGAGAATAAAAAGGGACCCTGAAGCTGAGGCTGAGGGTTGGCGCATGGGGGAATGATCGCCATCGTCATTAATCTCGAAATAGGCTTGGTGGTTGCCTTCTCCCCCCCCTAGCCGGACTCCCCAAGAGTCATCCCTGCTGGTCTCTCTGTATACAGGTAGGTACTGTAGCATTCAGACAATTGGTCAATGTACTCACTTAGCTGTACAGCCAATGTATATAGCGAGTCTCGGATGTGCCAGAATGGACAATGTACCCAGGTAGGTACATACGCGCGCGCAGCAGGTCCACCTGGGCTGGCACTTTGGCACGAACCGTCCAGGCAGATTGGCAGGGCGTCTGATGATGTGCAGACCCTTTTTTATGCCCAACCATCTGCTGGCATGCCAGACTCGTGCATGGCGCGGGAATGGAAGAAAAGCAGGTTGGGCAGCTTCCCCATGCTCCCCTCTCCGTCTGTGCCAGTAGCATGTCCCCGGTGGCATCCCGTGGTGGCATCGCTATCCAATCCTGGACTCGATGGAGATGCTGTACAGCAGTTGTATGGTACGTATACCTGCAATGCCTAGGCACTCTCGAGTCCGTACAAAGCACAGCAGGCTGATCTGCATGCGTACCTGGTGTATACAGCCAACTAGGTATCTGTACGAGTACGCGGGAGATGACCAGCCTCAACTCATGCATCCTACTGCTCAATGGTCAGCAGCGCTGCAGAAGCGCGACGACCCAAAACAAAGACCGACATTTCGTAGATCGAGGCAGGTACATACAAGGCTGCAAGAGTGTTACCAGTCGCTAGTTAAAACCCCAGGGCGTCGGTGTAACACCCTGACCGCCAGGTCTAAACCGGCTCCTCTGCTTAGTAGCATTTCAAGTAGGCCTGCTTTTAGCTCCCCAACATGTTCAATCGCCAATCCTACCACGCTGATTGGTGTCTGGCCCGCGATTCTGGATCAACTGTCCGCACAAAGCGAGAAAAAAATCTGAGAGGGAGGAAAACTCAAGAGGCGTCTAGTAATAGGCACCGGAAGGCTGAAACTAGAATGACTTATCGAAATTTCACCTTCATTTCCAGGCGTGCCGGCACAGGGGTCTGGGGCCAAAGTAGCCAATGCTCTGCTCTCCCTGCTTTTCACATGATCTCCTATTCTTATCGCTCGGCTGGCGTGGTAACGACGAGACTGAAAACGAACGCGCTGACCACGCTCTGTTGATGTCAGCCCAGGCCAAGTAGCAGATCTTCCCTCGGTCCAAATGCTAGCTGATTCTGAGACGCTGTCAGGTCAGCGCATTTCCGATTCCTCCCTCCTCCCAGCACGCACTGACTTATACACCAGCCACAGGCTACCCGTCGTAATAATAGCAGCAGCACGGCGTAGTACTTGTACGTGTAGGAGTTGTTATAAACAGCAGTGCTAACAACCCAAGCACTACTGCTAGTAGCAGTTCGATGTGTGGTTGCTAGCAATAGTGCTCCGTTGGACTAGCAATGGTTAGTTAAACGGAGACAAGCCGTGGAACCCATCTAAAATTGGAGTAATCTCAGTGGTTGGTGCCCGTCCCTGAAAAGAAAATTAACCACGGGTCTGGGTTTCTTTGGCGGGTTCCATCAGAACTCATACAGTAACGTGGTGCTACAGGCTGGTCGGGCCTGGACTTGCAACCCCTTGACCGCGTTTCATTTCCTGGAATACCGTGCTTTGCGCTTCGAAGTATTGCCGTACGGTAGGTAGGTAGTGTGTCGCGTACAAGTACGAGTACGGAAGACCCAATTACTGTAGTTTGTACGGCAATCGACCGCTGTGGACCATGTTCTGCCACTCCTCCGGCACACTGTCCACGTCTCTTCCCTTGCTCTGTCCCATTGAGCCGTTAGGGAAACTCATTGTGATACTGGTGCACGATGCTCCGGGGGTCATGGCTCGCGGACTTTGCGGGCTGAATAATGATGCTGCTACCACCCAGCCTCTTACAGGAGCAATTGGTTGCTGGAGACGGCTCATTCCGGATGGTATGGTGGGCTGGCTTGTCGTCATGTGTCCTGAAGAATCGCTTCTTCTTCTTCTTCTTACAGGGTCGCATATGCATGCGTGCTAGCGGACTAGTGACCAAAGCTCTATACTAGAGGTTTGGATCCAGGGTCGGCTATGCTGGTGTCAAAGAGAGATTCAGAATTAGCCGGCCGAGATTCTCCTTCGCTTGCTCCGGCGGTCGGCCGTGAAAGATGGGGCAATCAGGCGCGAGTCGCGCGGCCGCCTTAAAAATCCATCATCTCAACAACATCTGCCTTTCCACCACGGAAGAGAAGCTGTCCAGTTGAGTCGCAGCATGCACGGCGTGCAGTGTGTATTTGGGATGTGATTGACTGAATGGCGATGCAGGCAGATCACGGCTTGTGACTGGTCTGGTAGCTGCAGAAAGGCCCACCAACTGGGAGCACTGATTTTTGCTGTGAAGACTTTGGAGTGTAGTCCGAGTACAATGCAAGTCAAGCCATCTGTCTGTACTGTACCTGTGGACTTGGAAAAGTTGCCCTGGGCGGTTGAACCGACGCGCGAAGACGGACTCGTAGACTCCCCGGAGCACTGGTGGGCACTGGAGTGAGGGATTTCTCTCCGCATTCTCCATCGCCCAAGCCGTAGCGGAAATTTTTTTTTCTTCAGAAAAAAATTGGAAGGCTTGATGGCTTCTGCTAGCACTGCGATGGAGTACTGTAGGACACTCAAAAGCGTGCACCGAATGTACCTTGTGCGCGCTACAAGTAGCGCTGCTTGGACACTTACACGGCTTAGCACGCACGCATCTGCACAGTCCCCTGTCCATGCATGCTGATTTAGATGGAGGGATTAGGAACAAGCAGGGCAGTCAGTCAAGTACAAGCAGGTACATTGTACGAAGCAGAAAAGGTGGGAAAGATGTGGCAGGGAACCCCCAAAAACCATCTCTCACAGCGTAGTTCTCGGTGGTAACGGTAATAGCAATGGCATCGATGGCCTCGGCCTCGGTCGATGCTATGAGTAGAAGGTCAGCAGCGCTGAGCTCTCTGCTGGGCCCTTGCCCTGTCTGCTCTGCCCTCTGGCTGTGGACCACAGAGCGCCCTCGTATTTGCAAACAGCAGCATCTGCACGAAATGGGCTGCCGAAAGTGCGTTCAGGTGCACAGTAGTTGTTCGGGCCGCCCAAGGATCCGACAGCTCCGTCCAGCGTGCGAGGGCTTGTCGATCAGGGCTCCAAGACACGCCGCCACGCTCCCAGAGCCTGAGCAGCGAGCTTGCGAGCGTCCAAGACATAGGCGCCACCGATTCGCCGGATCATGCAGGCAGGGTCTCAGGACCTTTTCCAAGTCCAAGCCCATTGCTGGCGCCATTACAAATGCTGCTCCGGCCAAGAGAGTCGTCGACAAGGCACAAGCACCAGACAAGGTGGCTCGAGGATAAAAGCAGAGGCCCCATCGCGCCAAACCGGGTTCGCTCCGTGACTCGCAGATATACCTCGTTCGAGAACGGGCATGGCCCCGTGCTGGCGCCAGGGATTGGGCGGATTGGCGGACTGGCGGATCCAGCATAGCGACGCGATTCCCTTTTGACAAGAATGTGCAGTGCCAGTGACGACGGCCTGCCGGAGACAAAAGCTGGAGACTGTGCTGGACGCACGCCTGGGCTGGCCACCCCTTCGCCTTTGGCCTTGCGTCACATCCCATCAGACGACCAGTCCAGTGGTGGGCAGCAAAGCCGCCGCGAAGATGCCTGCATGTGAGTCGTCATTCCGAGCATCTGCAAATTGTAGTCATCGACTCCGTACTCGTGCTCGCGCTGGCACGGACGTGCGCGTACATGGACGGAGCAGGCGGTAGATGTCGGCTTCTTCTTCTTTTTTTTTTGCCTCACCATAGGACATCAAACAGCGGATTCCAGTTGATGTTCCAAAGCGACACGCCCAGTCTGGCTTCAGATGGGGCTGCTTATTCTAGTCTTGGTGGTGGAAAGGGGCAGAAAAAAATTGACGACGTCAAAACTTTGCTAGAAGGAAAAAAAAAAAAATTCTTTCTAAAAAAAACATCGTGCCACTTTTCCCGCAGTGGGCGTTGAGCGAGCAGCTCCAGTCGTCCCGGCCAGGCAGGCACTACTGACCACCACAGTGGCAGAAGCCAGTCACGGTGGCAACTGCGTTAACGCCCTCGTGCAGCGCAGGTCGCTGTGGGAAAATCCTCAGGAGGCACCGCGCCGCAGATGAAATCTTCCAAGCCTCCCAACCATCCTGGAGTTGAGCGACCGGGGTGCTCTGGCTGCATGCGCCGACCGTCTGAGGTACTCGGTACGGCCTGCATGTACCTGGAGGCGAGGCACGCTGATGCACGAGGAAGGCGCTGCGCCCCTGGGCCAATCAGCACGCACGGCGGCGCCCTGGTTTAGCTAGCCACATTGTCCATGATTGTCCACAGAGGCGCCACCATAGCACCATGTGCAGTGGAGACGGCCGCCGAGGTACCGCGCCAGCCTGCTACGCGCGCGTGGGTACTTGTGCACTTCGACCCCCATTCCGCTAGGCTCTAGTTGGCCCGTCAGTGGCACTGTTGCGGCCCCACCCACTCCGGGGCAAAGAAAAAAAAAACAGCTTAGCACGAAGCCCCAAGTACTCGTACCCGAGAGACCCCCTGTCCAGCCCAATGCCTCGAGGACCCCATACCTGCAGTACGTACTTGTACTCCGTACTTGCGGTAAAGAACCTGGGACGGATTGGCAGGTGAGAGAAAAAGTTGGCTGCTCCAGCCAGCCCCAGGTACCTTGGCGCCTGGCGCATGGTGGGTGTCCACTGCAATACCTGCCACTGCACTACCGCTGGGGACTGCCACCTGGGACTGTTCCACCGCCCATGCCCTAACTGCTGTCGCTGTGCCGCCCGTAACCTTCATCTAGTAGAGCTCGCGCTCTTCATTTCTGCGCTCCCACACCTCAACCTCTTCTTTCATATTTTCTTCAACCCTTTTTCCCTCCTCTTCCTCCTCCACCGAATTCCGAATCCGCCGATTTCTCGACAAGCCTCGTCGCGAACTCGCCATCGTTCGTCGACGTCTGGATTCAGGTTTCTCGCGTGAGCCTACTCCTTTTGTTGCCTCCAGCTCGCTGCTGTGCAGGTAGCTTCTTTGTGTTCCCACGGCTTGTCTGCAGTGGCCGCTCTCAACACGGTCACGTCTACTTCCGCTCAACGGTCACATCCTTTGGAGGGTTTCTTTTTTTATAAAAAACTCTTGTGAGGACACCTCTCGAATAGAGGTTAGTATTTACTGCTTTACTTTCGACTGCATCACCGGTCCTGCCGCAACATGGTTCCTTCCCAACGTCCCGCGAATCCTCGCCGCGACACCAGCGATTTGTTTTGACAACACTCCATCTTTATAATCACCTGCCTTCCTACATTGTCGATCGACTCGCTTTTCGATGCTTTATGAAGATTGTATTCATAATCAACGACTCGACGTCATCTCTTCGCATTGTTTATCTTTCTTATGCTAGTGGCGAAAGCACACTTTGCAATGTTAATAAACACTGCTTCCTTTAACTTTACGCCTCTCTCGTCACACCACAAGGCATGACTTGTACATGACTTGCTTTTCGCCGTGCCGCATGTCCCCAACTTGGCATTTGTTTACAAGATCTCCCTGCTAACGGTTTCTGACACAGAAAAGCTTTTTCATCACGCTACATCTTTTTTTTCCTTTCCTTTTTTCCCTCAGTCTCGCTTCCAGCTTGCGTTAACGCCCATACTTGGACTCGACGTTGAGCGATCTCTGAACCTTGGACGGCCATTCTATTTGACCGACTGATCCATTACGATATCCTTTTGTCACGTTTTCTATCTTCAAATCGCTTCCAACAGCATTTTCGTCGCACTTCACGGCAACACTTTTCCCACGTTAAATGGCTCTTGCGTCACAGTAGAGCCCCATCGACACATTTCCTGTTCGCGCCGCTTCGCCGATCCGCACGTTCTGCTTTCTTGTCCCGAGACCACTCCATAAAACAGCAGTGCATTGCCACGTGCTGTTTTCGTCTCCGACAAGAAATCTTCAATCCGACAAAGATCTGTTCGATCTTCGTCGGACCTCCTCCACTACCGTCATCATGCCCGGAGGCGTTTGTGCCGTCCTCGATTATGAGGTCGACATGATGGCTGAGTATGTCGCCGAGATGGCAACTCGCGTGGTTACCCCCGAGGCCAGCGTCACTTCTCCGTTCCGGAAATTCGTGTCGCAGATTCTCACTTCCACTAGACTGCCCAGCACGACCATCCTTCTTGGAATGAACTATCTCGCCAAGAGAATCAACTCCATGAAGACTCAGGGTCCCTACAAGGCCTCCGAGGGTCAGGTTTGGCGTTTCCTCACCGTCTCGCTTCTCCTTGGCAGCAAATTCCTGGACGACAACACCTTCCAGAACCGATCATGGTCTGAGGTTAGCGGCATCCCCGTCTCCGAGCTGAACACTCTGGAGTATGATTGGCTTCAGGCCATGAGCTGGCGACTCTACGTCAACCTTGATCACAGCAAAGACTATCAGGCCTGGCTTGACAACTGGCGCGAGTGGCAGCAGATGAAGAAGCGACAGGCCGTTCAGGCCAACAGAGAGCGTCTGGCTTCGCTGGTCCCTGCCATCGATACCGATCTGGCCAGGTACAACAGCAACCGCTGCTCTCCTCATTCACGCTACATCCAGGCTCAAATCGCAGAGTACGAACGTTACCAGGCTATGAAGACTCAGCAGCAGACCTACCGCTCGCGCGACTCGTGGTCCAACAACCCTTGGAACGCGCCTCTCACCCCTCCGGACTCTGGCTATGGTACTCCCGAGTACGCCACGTCGGCAGCTTCTAGCAACGCTCGCTACAATGAATGGTTCGCTCAGGCCGCCGCTCAGTACAGCAGCCGCTACCCCCAGCCTCCGGCCCACAATACGTTTTATCCCAACCGCTCAACGCCCTACGCATCCCACTACCCTTACCAGCACCACGGTGTATGGGAGCATGGCGTTGCTGAGTGCAGTTGCCCGGGATGTGTCGAGCCCATGAAGCAGTCTTCCTATTTCATGTCACATGGATATGGCCAGCCTGTCATGGGTTAATGTTTGCAACGATTTTCCTTTCTCGTTTATCTTATTGAGCTCAGATGGCTCATACTTTTCCTTATTCGGTCTCGGAAAAAAAAGGTGCGGATTTCGAGTTTTTAATGGCTACGAGTTTTCGCTTTCTTCTCTTTTATAAGAAGACGCGTGTTTTTCAGATACCCCCGGCATGAAAAAAAGAATTTCTACACACGCGATCAGTTTCAGCACGTCTTTTCTTCAGCTTGTTTTATGATGCCACCATGACGCGACTGTCGGATTCAGAGTGACCTGCGAATTGTTGTCACCTTCGTGACACAAGCACTCTCTTCGCAGTCATGGTTGGCTTCAACTATAAACGGCAATTTTTTTTTTACGGTACATGTTCATAATGGTTTGGTTCGGCGCAAGGCTATATTTTTTTTATTACTACTACAAGATGTTCATCGATGCAAAGCGAGCTTGGTCCTAGCGACATCAAAAGCGATCCTGTCATTATGGATTTCGATCTGTCAAAGGCACCGCCAGCTTGCAACAAACACCGAAGGCGAACATTGTCCACTCATTTACCAAAAAAAAGACGCTTTGCTCTCTTTGTTTTGATATCATGCTCTATGGAATCTCTTGCGTTTGCGCGCGCGCTGCACATATAGACCTGGTATTGGTACCCTGCATTGGTACCTCGATAGATTTGGAATTCAGTTATAGGCGCTGCCTACAATCGAAAACTGCTCACTGGCAGGCGTCCGAAGTGTTACAAAAAATCCAAAAAAGGTCTGAGCTGTGTCATCAGAAGTCCATGCCGGCAACGCGCCCACTATGGGTTGGTTGAAACACCAAAAATATCCGTGCCGGCTATAAGTGACATTGTTCATGACGCATCAAAAAGCAATAAAGATTACAAAAAGTTTTGGGAGCAGCACATATGATACTATACTTGTTTGATCGTGGTTGGAACCGGTGTCTGTGCAAAATGGGTTTTACGAGGGCGCTTTCATGCATTGTCTTCAGCGGGTAAAATGGAAGATTGGACCGGTTTATATATTTCTCTTTCTCTTCGGCGCATTTTTTATTATTTTACCATATACGGTTTTGCATTCCGCGGCCAAACATCACTTGATGTAATGCCTTGGGTGGCTTCACGTCGAGGTCAGATGGACATCTTCTATGCATCATCTGACTTGTTCTATTCCCCTTTCTTCTTCTTTTTCTTCTTTTTCTTCTTTTTCTTGTCTTCTCTTTTCTATGAGATGTTAGACGTCTTGTTGTATGGATTGATTTGTAGAGAGGGAAGGTTTGACGGCGATGGAGAAGATGGGGTTTTTTTTCTTTGTTCGATTAATGAGATTTTTTCTATTCGCGTGAGTGCGGACAGTTTCTCTGTATTCATATGATCAATTCCAGACTTGTTGTTGTGGAATCTTGTGTGTTTTTGAGAGGACAGATGTGATTTTGGGGACTGCGATAGGTTGGGCGATGGGTTGGGCGATGGCCAGATGAAAAAGGCATTTCTGCTTTGGCGACAGAGGAGATATTTCTGACACGGCGGCAAATGAGCAGCGGCTTTACTTTCATACCCCAAGAAGACGGAAACAATTGGATGGATGGGGGAGTTGTGTATGTGGGTGTGTGTCCTGAGACGGAAACAGGCTGTGAAGATATTAGCAGGGCTTTAGCCCAAGGTGACGTCTCCTATGGTTCTCCTGACGGCGTCCCTATTGTGAGATTATAGTACAATTAAATTGATGAGCAGCCGTGGCTGGAATTCAATTGTATATTATGAGCCTGTACAATTACTATTAATCATTATCAAGGCCTGTTTATCTGTCTGTGTGATGAAAACTTGGCGAATATGGAAGGGTAGAAATGAGTGTCCGGCTGATCGTCGGAAGTTGAGCCTCTTACCTCGCCTTGCATCTCGCCGGTGCTCTTCGGTCTGTAACTTGCATGAGATTTCACCGCCTGTGAATGTAATACCTGTCGACATATCTCGTACCTCTTCAAACTCGTGATCTGCCTAATCAATCTACTCATTGACTTGCAATGGAACGCTGCTAATTTCAATTACTCGTTATACGGCCTCGGAATCTACTGAGTTGGATGCAGCCCTGGAGGCCAAGCCCAACTTTCGTGCGAAGCGTTCCATAAGCCAATCCTCTAATACAGATTCAATCACGCTATTTCATCCCAATTCGACACTTGAAAAAGAAAGAGAAAGAAAAAGCGGAAAATCGGAAAAGGGGAAGGAATTAATTTTTTTTTAAAAAGAAAGAGAGAACAGAAGGAAAAAAAAAAAAAAGCCATAAATTTGCTTGAGCTACAATGTCTGGCCGGTTCGTCTCCGGCGGCACGATAACTTCCAGCGGTGAGCCTACCACGGATGAGAGCGGCCATGAGGCGGTGGTGGCGGCCGCGAGGGAGCCGCTGATGAAGAAGAATGCCGAGTGGGAGGCGGTGCAGCACGAGCTTGAGGAGGACAGGAAGAAGAGGGAGCAGGCGAGGGCGGATTTGGCGGGGGAAGGGCAGCAGAGCTTGTATGATGTATTGCAGGCGAACAAAGGTTTGTTATTTTCTTTGCTTTTCTCGAGATGAGAGATATGATGAGAGCTGTGCTAAAAAAAAAAAAAATCGCTTTCATACAGCGGCTAAGCAGGCAGCTTTTGAAGAGCAGCTCAAGCTGAAGAATCAGTTTCGCGCCCTGGACAATGACGAGATTGGCTTTTTGGATGAGGTGAGGGCCAAGGAGAAGGCGGATGAGGCGCGGGCGAAGAAGGAGCTGGAGAAGGGGTTGAAGGCCTTTCGGGAGAGGCAGAAGAGCACTGGCGGGGAGGCCTCTGCGGCTGCGAATGAGGATGAAGGGCCGAGAGGGGGAGAGGATGAGGAGTGGGCTGTTGGGGGGAGGAAGAGGAAGAGGCATGAGAGGGAAATGCTGGGCGTGAAGAAGAAGGCTGTGAGTAAAGGGGGTGAGAAGGAGGAGGCTGTGGGGGTGAGGAAGGGTGGTGATGATGATGATGGCAAGAAGAAGAGTGAGACAGAGCCTCATAAGGAGGAGGCAAAGAAGGGGGAAGAGAAGAAGGCAACGACGGGGCTGGGACTCGTGGGGTATGGCTCGGACTCGGATGAGAGTGGTGATGAAGATTGATGCTTGATGAGAGAGGGGGAGTGAGATTGAATACCTGAAAGAGGAGATGATACGTGTGGTTTGTGGATTAATACGGCTGCGAAGCTGGATAATATGTATATATGCCCTTTATCATGGCTCGTTCTCATTTCTGTTTTGCTTTTTCGCGCCACATATCCAATTTAATAGATACCTCTCTCATATATTGCCGTACAGCGTATTACTGTTATGGTATCAAACGTTTTGAATGTTCCAATCTCTCGGCTATACACATTATGCCATTCTTGATTATTATTCCATTCATCTTCCTTTTTAATGATTCACGTCAATAAAGTTATCTAGCGCTCTAGCTATATGTAGACTGACTGCCTTGTTGAGCTACAGCTGGAGTGCTGGAGAATAGAACTGGCTTTCTTTTCCAAGGTTTCCTCTATTGTTACTGCTCACTGATTTATTATAACAGGTGATCAGCAGCCGCCAGATTTTGAACAATACCTATATAAACTCCTCCTAACTCTTCTCAAGCCTCTCCTCCTCCTCTCCCTCTTTCTTTTCCATCATCACCCATACATTTAGCCATCTCTTATGAGGTTTGTTTCCAACTCATTGGATTGCAATCATGACAGGCCATCATCAACACAACCCCGATTCTCTATTAGATGACCAACGGTCGCTTTCTTCACTGGGCAGTAGTGACCGGATGTCAATCTATGATTACTTCACGCTGCCAGAGGAGCAACCGCCGTTGGACATCGATCCATCCACTTCGCTTCAAGGCGGAGATTCAGGTTTGTATCTGATTTAGAAATAGCGATATACACGATCGGGAGCTAATATTGCAAAAGACTTGCTTGACCTATCGAGATGCGAATCGCCATTGCTTTTATCTGAAGATGGCAACCGCGAAGATTGCGACCACTATCTAAACACGATACCAAGTCCTGATTCTCTTGTCGGACAGAACAATCAGGTAAAGACGGAGAACCAAGACATTGAGACAGCAACGGCTTCTGTTCTCGCCAGTCCATCAAATGCCGAGATACAGGAAATGCGCAAGGAAAAAGAAGAATTCTCTCTCCTAGCCAAGAAGAAAATAATGGGAGCTGCCGAATACAAGAGAAACTTGGAATCGGCGTTGCTGAAAGCCGAGGCCGTCAACGCAGAATGCCAGTCGCTGCGAGCTACAACACAGTGGACACAAAAGGCTATATATAAATGAGTTAACCAAGCGCCTTGGTTCGAATGAAAAGACTATAATCGAATTGGCACGGCGCCTTGAAGCAACAGAAGCTGAGAATCGTCGTTTGAGAGCACGAGCAGACACGCAAAAGGATATTAACAATGACGTTAAAGCGGCGATACGCAACTTGCAAGGATGAATGGCAGCGTTTGTGGGAGGGGCTTGGAATATCTATTCGGCAGACATGGGGAAACTCAACGTGACAGCGACGGGGGCGTTAAAACATCGGTTTATAAAATACTAAAGGGAGTACGAACGCTCAGTGAGAGAAGCTCGAGGGATATAATAGGCAAACGTACGGAAGCGTAACATGGTAATATCAAGGACATCAAAATAGCGGCTTACAAAATACCAGAGGAAATGAAAACGTTCATTGGGAAGATTCAAGGGATATATTTCAGAAATTTGGTGATCATCTTCACTATTGGGTACAATGGATGCAATGAACGGAATGGGGAAAAGCTTTATATCAATATTAAATTGCAAATTTGGCCTTGGAACGAAGCTTCTTTTTAGTCATATATTCTAATGCCACCAAGCTTCTCTCGCAGCTGATATATCCATGAGACCCTAACTATATCCAGCGTGTTCCATCTTGACTTTCCATCTCCCCCTTACTGCTTTTCATGCAATTGAATAAAAAATAAAAAAATCAGAAGCAAAGCAAATTCCAGCGATATGAACAAGGATATCAGCACTGTTCTCCATGCCAAGTATCATGCATCTTCAATAAACGACAGGGTCTCTGCTGTATAACGTTTGACCCTTTATGCAGGTTGCTCCTCGTAATTTGGTAGGTCAGCCGATTAAGCATGGACCCCCTTTTCAAAATTCTCATCTTCATCTTATAAACGCACTTCTAGCTTGCGTTGAATTCAAAATCTTTACTGCATATGCCCGCTTCATCATGAAAATCAAGACCCTCTATCGGAAGTTGTTATCGAACCGCTTGAAAGTGTAACCGATAAATGGCAAGCTCATCTCGGGCGATTCCTCAGGAGCTGTGCCAGTGCGGTTGTTCTGGATGGCCTGGGCCTTGAGCAGAGTTGCGTTGTCGGTCTGGTCGATTTCGTCGGTCGGGAAGTAGGTGGTATCGATGTTGGACGTCAAGCGAGGCTCGAAAGGAGCGCGAATGCGACGCAGGCTATCAAAGTCGACGCCGCGGAAGAAGGCGTGGCTCTTGAGTTCATGGGCACCTCCCCGTCCAAGTCGGTTCTCCGTGTTGCAGACCATGCTATTCAAATTGTTGGTCAGCCATTGATGATGCAATGAGAAAAAGATTAGTCGATCCTTACCTTCGAATCAAGTTCTCCGCCTCGGCACCCAGAGTGATGTCGTCAGGGAAATACAGCGTTTGCCTCCAGTTGACAATCTTGCGATAGGTGTCGTGGCTGTCTTCAGCACAGAAAGGCGGCCAGCCCACCAGACACTCAAACATGATGGTGCCCAATGACCACCAATCGCAGTCAAAGGTGTAGCCATGGCCTGTGAAGATCTCGGGGGCGATGTAGTCTGGCGTGCCGACGGTGGAGTAAGCCATCAGTCGTCTAGATCGTCTCCAGTCGTTAATCTGAGATCGGTTGCTGACTGTGAGATTGATTTGATCAATGGCAACCGAGGTTCGGTCACGGGGACGGTTGGAGCGGCCCTGCAGGAGTTGCTGGTAGTAGTTGTTGTCATGCAGACGGTGGAAGCCAGTGGAAAGACCGAAATCGGTCAATTTGACGTGGCCGCCACGATCCAGCAGAATGTTGTCAGGCTTGATGTCACTATTTTCAAACGGATTAGCCAATGACCAAAGGCGAGTCTTTGGAAACAGGGGAGCAGAAGGATCTCTTACCGGTGAATGAAACCAAGCTTGTGGACGGCCTCAATGGCCAAAACAATTTCAGCAATGTAGAATCGCGTAATGTCTTCCGAGAAAATCTCATATTTAATCAGCATGGTCATCAAATCTCCACCGGGCAAGAACTCCATGAGCATGTAGAGGAAGTAGGCATCCTGGAAGGTGGTGTAGAGCTTGACAACCCAGGGGCTGTCAGACTCGGCAAGGATATCACGTTCTGATCGGACGTGAGCCAGCTGGTCCTTTTTGAACATTTCAGTCTTGATCAGAGACTTCATAGCATAGACCTTGCCATCTCCCTTCTTCTGCACCAGCTTGACTTCACCAAAGGCACCCTTTCCGATAATCTTGACCGTGTTGTAGTTCTCGGGCTTATCTTTAGTACGCAAGAATCGCAGATATTGGCCTTCTTTCCGGCCAGCAGTTGACCAGAGCTGCTCTCTCCTAGTTGAGCTCTGGCCGGGGTCTTGCAGCTTTTGCTCCAACTCGTTCTGCCTATTGTTGTTTATCACGTGAAACAAATGTCAGCCAACGGGGTACTGAAGTAGTTTTCCAAAAAGGTCTAGCAGAAGGAAGAGGGCGAGGTTGGAGAGATGTTTGTATGTGTACAAGGCACGTATACAAGGCACGTATGCAAATGACAAAAACTGTACCTTTGGTTGCGTTCACGAGCTCGCTTCACGCTGTCCTTGAAGAAATCCGCAGCTAGCTGTGAGCACTTCTTCTGGTTGCTGTTGGCATTTGTGCCATATTTATCAGGGTTCCTCTCTGGGATGGGCTGAAACTCGGGCGAAGACACAGCGCCCTGGGTAGGCAAAGGAGGCGCGTAGTTGCCGTAGCTGCCCTGCTGCCCTGAGCCGCCCGCAGTTCGTGGCCGACCTGACGATGGTCCTCTACCAGCATATTGGCCTCCCCTTGCGGCGCTGCCGCCGAGGTTCTGGTGGGAGAACTGGTGAGCCAAGCCCGTGTTCGGGTCGTTGGTGCCAGGCGCGCCAGACTGCGGGGGATAGGCAGCGTTGGGATAGTCGCTCGTCACTGCCTGGCCCGGATACTGCTGGTTCTGCGCAAAGTAGCCCTGGCCCTGAGGCGGGTAGCCCGCGCCGTACTGCTGCTGGGACGATTGCATGCTGGACTGAGCTCCCGCGGGGAAGACGGGCTGGGGGAAGGTTGAGGGCGTGGTGGGATAGGCTCGATCGTTGGCGGCCGGTCGCTGGTTGTCGAAGTTCAAGTACAGACGGCCGTTGTTGGAATCCATATCCGCAGCCGATAAGCAGCACCGCTATACAAGTACCTGCGGTATGGATGCGAGCCTGACGGGGCCTGAGGGGTCGGAAAGGGGGCACGAGAGACGGTGCTGGAGATGCTAGTGCGTGACGGGGACGAGCTGCGATTCGATGCCGCTGCAAGCGAGAGCTCCGCTGCTACTCAGCGCGGGCGGGCCCAATTTTTCCAGCGGTCACAGAGCGAGAGCAACGCAAGGGCCTGGCCGCGGATTGGAGCGGTGGTTGTCGCGGCGCGGTGCGTTTTGCAGCTCGGTGCAGCTCCTTGTTGGTGATGTGCTGGAAAGGGGAATTGCGAGGCCGAGGGGTCGAGAGAGGCGGGAGGCGTTATTGCAGGTGCAAGGCCAGGAGGGCGGTCAACGTGCTAAGAAAGTGAAAATGACTTGGGCGGGGTGACGGCGACTTGAGAGGTACCTGAGCGTCGCGTTCGAGAGGGCACCTCTGCACAGTGAGCGGCGCGAGTTTTGGTATCTTCAATGTTCCTCACGCGCCGAAGCCAGGGGTCATTAGTGAGGGGGGCAACGGGGGCACAGTGCTTGGTAGGCCGCTAAATTGTTCTGGTTGGTGCTAACAAGCACGAAACAATCAGAGCACCAGGGACGTTTGCCGCTGTAGTGGCACCGAAGTAAGTTTTCCTAGTGGACGCCCAGGGCAACCTTCACAGGTCACCGCAGGTGGGTTTCGATTTGCTGGTCTCATCTAGTAGATATCAATAGATTAATAAGTTGATTGATGTGATGAGCATTGCTTCATCTATTTTTTTGGCTACTACCTACAAGCCTTCTTGTTACAAATGTGCCCTTACCTTGGTCAATTGCTGGAGCGAGAAATGAGAAATGGCATTGAGACTTGGATAGGAAGAGATTAGCACGAGCAAGGCCAGCGTGGACAGCGGAAGCATCGCCGCTAACACATTTTGGCGACCTATTCATCCCGTCTCTTAGTAGTACCTGGTAAGGCACTTGTAAATGTACGTTTGCCCAGCTTGCTATTTCGGCCATTGTTGGAATTCGACTTGAGTTACCTTTGTATGGAGTGTTTTTTTACTTTCTGCCCAAGATACCTAGACTTGCATAATCCTACGTGCCACTGTCCGATGATGAGCTCTCAAATTGGTGGTTATCTGTTATCTGGGACCCTCCTCTGCTCAGGGGTCGCGCTTTGAACGGAATACGTTACAAGTACCGCTGCTGTTAGGCAAGTATCAATCTGATGGCATTAGCTCTCCAGGATCCCTAGCCTATCTACCAATGATTCAGTCACTCCCCAGTTATTAGCTTCATCTCAGGTTGACCTGCGACACTACCCGCGAAATCATGCGTGTCCGTGACAAGAGACGCAGGCTACTGGGTAGATTAGAAAGAATTCAAGGTTGCATTAGCAGCCTACCTTGCTTCATGCAGGGTCTAAATGTCAGGATGTTGAGCCTCAGATCATCTTTTGGCCAGTCCAAATATGACACCTTGTTGCCTGAAAAACCTCCCGGCCGGTGAGCTGGGGCTGGCTTGGCACCATTTTTGATGCAGGGTCTCATGCTTAATGACCTCGCTGTTTTCATCCCAAGGATGGGATTATGACAAGAGGTTGACCTCTGCGCGCCACAAGGAACAGGGCATCTGCTGCCTTGATCATTCGTGCTGTACAGACGAAATTACCGCGTTAATGCGTAATCATTGTTCAGTTCTCCATCATTCAAATCCTAGAGTCTGTGCCTAGGTGCTCAACCCACCGCGGTGTGTGGGGCTGGGTCCTGTATGAGGACCTAGTATTGCTGATGATATGAGGCTCTGCATTTCTTCATCAGCATGATACATGTTGTATTGAGGGCTTCTAAACTTGATAGTATTCTCTTTGTCTAGACGTGGTAATAAAACCTTCGTCTAGATTTACTTGATTTCATGTTTAGGAGCTCGTACCGAGGCAGAGTGCCTGTATCTCTCATATTCAAGCTGTCATGAAAGCGAGACCAACACTTATTACCATCTTCAGCATTTACACAAGTCTAATTATTTTGAAATCAGTTTCAAACTGTGTAATATTTTAATTTATTTAATATATTTCAACCAGACAGTTGTTCCGTAGCCTTTTTTTTGTTTTATTTAGATGGCTGGTGTTGATAGCCAAAAGCTCAACAGCATGTAAACTGGCTGCGGTCTAGCTCCGCCGACCCTTATCGTGTCCCGCATCCTTATCGCATCCAATTTTTTCCAACTTCATACCAGCATCCATTGAGAGCTGCGGTACGCAGCTCGCTCGCAGCACCCGATTGGTCGCCTCAGGTTGCAAATCGATATCAGAGGAGCTCTCCAGGCCAAACATTTCCCATTTTCATTCTATTTCTCTTATATCAAGCGACACCTCAAGCCAAAGGGCCGCGCATCACCATGGCCGACCCCAAACCCTCAACCCCGCCGGCCACCGGCTCCTCGAGCGCTCCAACGCCTCGCCCGCGCAATCCAGTCTTCAAGATGATGGGCCTCCCGGCCCTGCCTCGCAAGCTCCCATCCCGCAATTGGCTCATCTTCTTGTCCGTCACCACCTCCTTCGCTGCCGCAATCATCTACGATAAGCGTGAGAAGAACCGCGCGACAGCCAAGTGGCGCCGAGCCGTTGCGCCCCTCTCCCAAGAGCTGCTCGGAAATGCCAGCCAGCTTCCGCGCAAGCTTACCGTCTATCTGGAATCGCCCCCCGGTGATGGCCTACGCACCGCCCAGGACCACTTCATTGAGTATGTTAAGCCTATTCTGGCAGCTTCCGGCCTCGATTGGGAGTTTGTCCAGGGCCGACAGCAGGGAGATGTAAGAGCGGCCGTTGCCGAGAAGATTAGGAGATCAAGAAAGACCCACGAGCGGCCAGACGAGGAATTACCACAGACAGACGAAGCCATTGTGGAAAGTCAGAGGAAGAAAATCGGGCTGGCAGAGTATGAGGGCGTCAAGGGTGACATCGTCATCGGCCGGCATACGTGGAAAGAGTATGTTCGAGGCTTACACGAGGGATGGCTGGGCCCTCTCGATCCCCCGCCACTGCCCGTCGTCGAAAATCTCGACGACAAACCCGAGCCTGAAACCCCATCTACAGAAAGCGAAGGTGATAAGAAGCCCGAGGACAAAAAGCCAGAGGAGGAAGAAAAGAAAGATGAAACGCCCAAACGGCCGCCGCAGCCGCGCCCTCACAACTCCCCTGACGACTATCCCTCCGCAAGCCTCCCCGCCATCATCCCCGCCGAATTCTCACCTTCCACCGCCATTGCATTCCCTCACCGCCTCGGCTTCCGTCACACCTTTGTCCGCCTGGGCCGCTTCTTGACCCGCCGTCACTTGGCTGACGACATTGGCCGAGAAGTCGCCGCGGTGTGCTTCGCTGCTGCGCGTGAGTGGCGCGAAGCCGAGGGTCAATACGAGCAGCAGCTCGTTCTGAAGCACGAGGAGAGCGACTGGCCCAAGTTCGTCTGGAAGGACGAAGAACCCGCGGCTGCCGACGACAAGGAGAAGGAGAAGAAGGCCGCTGAGCCACCCAAGGAGAAGATTTGGGCTTCGCCAATGGTGGTAGACTCGCGCATCGCAGAGCGGATGCGTCGTTTCGAGATTCAGCCCGAGGACGAGGCTCGCGCCAAGAAGATTGTCGTCCCCGAGGCGGAGATTGAGGGTTGGATCAAGCGTAACCTGAGGAGCTTGTATCACTGGGGCGCGAGCTCATTCGCGAGCAAACCTCAAGGCCCCAACGTGGGAAACCTGGACGATGACTGAGCAAGAAGACGTCATGGGGATAAAAAAGAGAAAGAAGAAACAAGCCTGACGGTATGAATGTGACATGATGTATACAGAAGGGGGTTGGGAAAATTAATGTTTTTGTATTGTAATAACAGTAAGCTGTACGACTATATATGCGGGACAATGTATTAAATATCTACACATGGTAGTGTGAAATAAAACCACCCTATTCAAACAGTTGACGACAAATTGGAAAGAAATTCTTGTCTTAATAATGTTTATAATAGTTTATAATCGAGGAGAATAATATCCAGCATCTGAGTTTCATTATCCAACACCCCAGCTGTAGTTCATTGAGACAATTAGTCTTCATAAAAAACATCTAATCGCCATCTAGATACACCTAGAACTAAAAATAGCATCAGTGGCAGTAGTAGCCTATGCTATAGCTGTGTTGCTGGATATTTCTCATGACTCTACGATGATTTGGACGATATTTGATAATAAAGATCATAAATGAATACAAGACTATAATATAAAAATTCATATGTATTTTAAATTGCGCCAAATATGCTGTTTCCCGCTTCGATCCTATTTTTTTTTTCTCCTTGTTCAATCTGAGGCTGAGATGCCTTCAGCAATTCAGCTAATTACAAGTCAGCAAACTGCATGTTACTGTTGAGCCAACGGACAGCTTCTTACCATTAAGTCGTAGTACTAAGTCTTAAAAAAAAAATCTGGGATGTGGCTTAATGAAAGCCTCCCCCCCCCCGCCGATATTGATTTTCAAAATCATCATGCGGCGTGCTGAGAACTGTGAAATCTTCCTTGGTATTCTTCCTCCTCCTCCCCCTCTCTCTACCCACGCTCATCTCCTGCCTGTTAAACCAGGAGCAGCATTGAAGCGCTCTTCACGCTCCGTCATGAACATGACCTGAATCCAGTACTCTTTGGAATCCGGATCCCAAAAGGCAAACTGCTTGTCCTCCCGCTTGTCCAGCTCTCTGGCCGGAATCTTGAATCCCACACTCTCATACGGCTCTGCAGCGACAACCAGATACTGAAAATTCCTGTCGGGCTCTTCGGCGCGCTGTGTGAATGCGTTCATGACCTGCCACTTGGGCGCCAGCTCGGGCGTGGCGTCGGGGTACTCTAGCTGGAAGAGAAGACCCTGCTGGCGCGTGACCGGGTCGCGGATCTTTGTGATTTTGTAGCCTGGGCGGCCAATCTTGACGATGTTTCGCCTAGCAGTGAGGCTCGCGGCGACGCTGGTCGGTAAACCCGTCGCGGGATCGATGCTCTGTTTGCCTTCCTTCTGCTCGCGGGCGGCGCGACGGGCGAGGTTGGTCTGGTGCTTTTTGCCCTGGGTGTGGGCGAGGTAGGAGCCGTCGTTCTGGTGGACAGTGAGGCAGAGGCGGCATTCGAAGGAGCCGACGTGGTTCTTGAAGAAGTAAGGGTCCTTGTCGAGGTCGATTGTCTCGAGGGCGAGCTTGCGCAGACGCTCGCGGCGGTCGGCGTTTGTGGCGGAATGGGAGGCGACGCCGCCGCCGCCGAATTTGGAGCCCGCGCGGTTTTGGAAGTCCATTTGGGGCTGTATGGGTGTGCTATACGAAGGAGGTTTGGAGTATTCGGGATGTCGGGGTAGAATTGAAGGGAATCGATTGAGAGATTGTTGGACTGTAGGCGCGACTGATAAGAAAAGTTACGAGGCAGGCGAGGCTGCAATAGGATGGATTATGTAAAGGCGGGAGGCTAGCCAATTAGCATTGCGTCTATCCACAGCGTAAGGGGACGCTCCACCAACACCGCTGCAGCTCTTTTACACCACAGCCTCTGAATATCTTCTCACATACGGGTACTCATAGAATCATTCGAATAACTACATGGCTAACATGTCATCCTCTCAAAACGCCAATACGTCGTCATACTTTGATACAAATGCTTGAACCGCTCCCACGAACCTGTCAAGCTCAGACTGTGGCGTCTCCAGTACCAGCGCAATGAGACCCCTACGCGTGATCCAGAATCCTTGCTCAAGCATCTCAAACCAGAACAAGTCTTTCAACGCTTCATTCTCTGTAAAGTCATCTGCGCATTTTATATCCTTCACCTCTGTATCTCCATCCACGAATCGAGAGCATAGGATGGATCCGACTCCCGAGAAGCCCAGTCGCGTTCCCTCGACTGTCTCTTGAAGCTTGGATATGAACGACTCACCAATCTTGAAGAACTTGTCCGCGATATCAAGAGTGTATATCTTTGTTAGTCCTGCGTATCCAGCGTGCGTCACGAGCGTGTTGTTATTGAAGGTGCCCGAATGAGGAATTGAAGGGGTCTGCCTTGGGTCAAATGCTCCCATGATGTCGGCTCTTCCTCCAAACCCACCAAAAGCGAGGCCACCGCCGAGATATTTGCCAAACGTCTTGAGATCTGGCTTGATTCCTCGCAGGCCTGCAAGTCCAGAGGCTGATATCCTAGAAGTCATTACCTCATCAAGGATGAAGAGAACACCGGCCTAATATCCGTGAGTATATTTCTCATTACATGCAATGTATGAGCATAGTTGCGTTGTCCCTACCTTGGCAGCGGCATCCTGGACGCCAGCCAAAAACTCTGGTGTTGCACTGAGACAACTTCCATTGCCTTGCATACCTTCCATGAGCACGGCGGCTACCCCCTCACTCTGAATTGCCTTGACGGCGGCATCAAGATCGTTATACTTGACGATAATCCAGTCATCAGGGTCAACATTGTTGGGCGCCGGCTTTCCTCCCCAAAACATCAATACGCCTCCATGGTAGCCCTTGTTGAATACGACAACTTTTCTCTTCTTAGTGACCAGTCTTGCGACGGCTAGAGCATGGAGGTTGGCCTCGGTGCCGGAGTTTGTGAACCGCACTCGTTCGAGATCAAAGCGCCGGCATAGTTCTCGAGCAAACAACTGCTCTTGAGGTGTGGTTGCCCCGATATTCAAGCCCACATTGTTGAGAACATTGTTCACAGCGTCGAGGATCACAGGATTAGAGTGGCCGTATAGCGCTGCCGTAAATTCGGCCGTAAGATCTGTATAGCTGTAGAAATCGGATCAGCCGACAAAGTCCTTTGGATAATTCTAGGCCATGTGTTGTTTGTATCGGCATATTTATATCACTTACACATGCCCATCCTCTGATGTAAGTTGGTAGCCTTTGCCAGACTTCATAGAGATAGGGAAGGGGCTCGTATGAAGCACAGTCCTAGTATTGCCGCCGGGAAAAGACTTGGTAGCTTCCTCGTGAAGACTCTTGGATTTAGCATTTCGCACGACGTAACGTGCTTTAGCCTCTTCAAGGGCTTGGGAAATATTCTGAGAGGAACTCGACGACATTATTGCGAGTGTGTGAGGCCTCGGGGGTACCAGGTATGATGTCTTACACAAGATGTATACCTAGGTATGCAATGATCAAGGATGTCTCTTTAAGGGCTGGATCTTTGGCCTCATGAATATGAACAAAGGAGCTATCTAAAATAACAATTTACAATAGTTTTACGAGGATTGCCTGCGTGCCTTATATACCCGTGGTCATCGGGACTATCTATCTACTCTATCTTCCAAGTTGGAGTTTCGGCAGCACGTAGTTACAAGCGGGGTCGATTATTTCCTATTAGACGTTTCTATTAGACGGCTGGACCCATCTCCTGGGCAGACAAAGTAGGGTATCAACAACCAAGCTCACAATTCATAGGTCAATCAAGCTAATCGCAGGATGACTCTTGATTACCTAGCCCAAGTAGGTCTGTTCGGCCAGACTCAAACGGAAACTCACGACGAACTACATGCAGCATCACCCAATTTGGACTGTATCTTCTCTACGCTCTGCAGGTTAGAACGATAAGCGGTAATTCATGCCGGCAATGCAGCCCTTACTAGGTACTTTTGTTTCTATCGCTTTATTCTATCATGCACGATACGAATTCATGATGAAAGTATTATTGGTGTTAGAAGAGGCACAGATTAGGTGAACATAGTGATCGTATTGTGATGATGATGAAGCTAGGTTCCAACTAGCTAGCGGGGGCGGGGCCCGGCTCTATATATGATAGGCCGGCAGGTCCTTCCACCGAGTGGACCCGAGAGGGCCCGACCTGCCTCGAGAGGGCCCGACCTGCATCGAGGCCAGGGGAGTTGCTTCCAACAATTGGAAGAGGCGCAGATGAACGTAATGTGATGTATTATAATGAGAATAAAGCTAGGTTCCAACTAGCTACAATATGCGGGGCACGGCCCTATATATAATAGGCCGATGGATCCTTCCCCCGATAGGGCCCGACCTGCATCGAGACCAGGGGAGTTGTTTCCAACAAGTTGGAATTTCTATACCTGATACCGCCTATATTTGGTCGCAGTTTTCTTAGACCTAGTGCTGTACTACTAGTAGTTCATGATATTATTTTAGGATCTAATACTACAGATCATTGATGTATTTTTCCAGGACCAAATACTGTAATTAGTTATATTAATTCAGGACCTATAGCTAGAGACAACTGTATTACATCAATACTTGATTGAATTCCTTTACACATTCCATGGCCTACTAGTACTCTAGTTCTTGCTTCTCTTGAAAAGCAATTACTCCTGCGGCAGCGATAGCGAGCTCTTTGCACACCTCTTCTGGTAACGCCCGTCCAATGTCTGAAACCGTATCACTTGCAGATTGATCAAGTCGATTCATAGACTCCTCCCAAGGCCAACTACCATCTGTATCTGTTTCAATCTCGCTTGTCCAGCTATCAGAATCTCTATCGCCTGGTGCAGATTTTCTCTTGAGCGGAGTTGCATTTCTTGTCCCGCCTCCGCCATATAGTTGTTTAAGCAAAGGGCCTGATGCCCTTTCGTCTTTATATTCAAATTCTCCTTCGTCATTTATGTAACGTCGAATAACTTGCCGCGCGACATTACGGGTAACAAACTGCTTTGTTCGTAGCAAAATCGCCCAAGCAAATCGTGCAAAGACGTAAGCTTTTGATTCTATCGAAAGCTGATTGACGACAACATTGTGATATGTCGGCCACATTTGTGCTGCTGAACTGGAGAGTATGTGGGTAACATATAGATCAGAGCCCTCTGGGTCTTTTTTGGGTACAATAGCGAACCAGCGGTCATCGAAACATTTATGAAGATCTTTCCTCAATAAAATAATGTTGTTGATGTCGTCAATAGCGGGAGTTGTATCATTCATGATATTTTGCTCAGACCATGCTTGCTCCTCTTGCGGTAGAAGGTGGGCTCTGTTAATAGCGTAACCAATGCCAGAGACGCAGCACTTGGACCCAATAATATCAGGCCCATTGGAAATATTAGGCCAGATACGGTCAATGTCCTCGTTAGGGAATCTCCAATCTCGAAAGCTTGGTACAACAGCATAGTTATCTGGAAATAGGATGTTAGCTGGACCCAAGAGATATAGGCGTTCAGATATGAGGTCCACAAACGGTTGCCATTAATGATAAAAAAGTACTGGTCCTCAGTCAAGAGGCCATCCAAAGGGACCTTTACCCCATGAAGGCCGGCTTGGTCCAGAGCGAAATAGCCAGTATCAAAAGCATTGTTAGCAATAATCTGACAAGCCGTTAAGGCGGTCTTATGATGTATTCCATAGACAACAGTGTCGTTGACATCTTGGCAATCCACTCGTGGTAGCGATAGGAGATGATTCAGTATTGGACCATGATAGCCAGGGTGTCGGAATCTGATCTCTCCTTTCCGGTCCTCCTGAGGTGGGAGGATTCTGCGACTGGCGTGTACATATGGCGGAGGTGGAGTTTCTGTGGCCATAGCTTGGAAAAAGAGTAGGGGTTGGTTGGATCGATGAGAATGCTGACTTAGTTGGAGCAAGAATTCTCCAGCCAGCGAAAGATAAAGCGGACTAGTACGTATCCTATCGGCATAAATATGGGGCTGATAATAAAGGCGGTGTGGAGAAAATGCGTGGCAGAATCCGCATCCCACTTAATTTTTTTTTCTTAGCACGGCGTGCCATCAAAGCTGGGAGGACACTGCAGCTAAGAAAAATTACTACCATTAGCAATATTGAGAAAAAATAAAGCACAATGGCAGGCACAATTAACAAGCCCAAGAGTACGTTCTGGTTCAATCTCTTCGAAATTTCCCTGAAAGTATCAAGTTTTGCACAAAATATGCTAACCATGATGCCGTAGGACCCAACTCCAAGCGGACGACAACCCGTCTTCGCAACAAGATCCAAAAGGCCTCCGCAGCCAAGCAGAGAAAGGATCGAAAGTTGGCCAAGAAGAACCCAGAATGGCGATCAAAATTGAAGAAGGACCCGGGTATTCCCAACCTCTTCCCCTACAAGGAGAAGATGCTGGAGGAGATTGAGCAGAAGCGCGCAAAGAAGGCCGAGGAGGCCCAGAGGAAAAAAGAAATGGCCAAGGCCGCCAAAACAGGTGTTGCCGCCGAGAATAACGGGGACGCCATGGTAGATGCGGGCGTGGACCAGATGGATGAGGATGACGGAATGGACGACGTCGACGAGTCGAACCCAATGGCTGCCCTGCTTGCCAGCGCTCGTGCTGCCGCCGTAAAGTACGACAAGTCCCTTGCGGCGAGTGACGACGACATGGACGATGATGACGATGACGACTACGACAGCGATGGCGACGCTTCTGATGACGGCGCACACGTCTCCATTGGCCAGGCGTCATCACGAAAGACCTTTGACAAGGTCTTCAAGCAGGTCGTCGAGGAGGCCGACGTTGTTCTGTACGTCCTCGACGCCCGCGACCCGGAGGGCACTCGCTCCCGCGAAGTCGAGCGCAGCGTCGTGGCCGCCGCCGCGGGCGGCAAGCGCCTGATCCTCATCCTCAACAAGGTCGACCTGATCCCCCCCAAGGTGCTGCGCGACTGGCTCGTCTACCTGCGCCGGTACTTCCCTACGCTGCCCGTGCGAGCGGCGAATGCGGCGGCGAATGCGCACATGTTCAACCACCGCGACTTGAGCGTTCAGAGCACCTCTGCTGCGCTCTTCAAGGCCCTGAAGAGCTATGCTGCCAGCCGCGACCTGAAGCGTGCCGTCTCTGTCGGTGTCATTGGTTATCCCAACGTTGGTAAGAGCTCCGTCATCAACGCTCTGCTCAGCAGAATGAGCGGCAGGGGCGCCAGCGCAGCCAAGGCCTGCCCTGCTGGTGCAGAGGCCGGCGTCACAACGAGCATCCGCAAGGTCAAGATTGACAGCAAGCTCACGCTGCTCGACTCCCCCGGTGTCGTCTTCCCGTCCTCGTCCTCGGTCCAGTCCGGCGGCCTCGTCACCATCAAGAACGCCACCGAGGCCCACGCCCACCTCGTTCTGCTCAACGCCGTTCCCCCCAAGCAGATTGAGGATCCCATCCCCGCCGTCAGCCTGCTGCTCCGCCGTCTCTCTGCCACCCCTGATCTGCTGCAGAAGCTCACCGCCGTGTACGACATCCCCGCCGTCCTGCCCAGCAGCGCCGACGGCGACATCACCTCGGATTTCCTGGTCCAGGTTGCCCGTAAGCGTGGCAGGCTCGGCCGTGGCGGTGTCCCCAACATCAACGCTGCCGCCATGACCGTTGTGACTGACTGGCGAGACGGCCGAATCCAAGGATGGGTCGAAGCCCCCGTCTTGGCAGTCGAGAATGCAAAGGGCCAGAACGGCGCTACCAAACCAGCCATCAAGAACGCCGGCGAGGAAGAGGTCATGGCCGACCAGAAGGAGATTGTCACAGAATGGGCTGCAGAGTTCAAGCTCGATGGCCTATGGGGCGATGACAATGCTAATGAGGGTGATGCCATGGAGCAGTAAAAAAAAAAAAAAAAGGAACCCAGAGGAACTCATGATGCAATGTGGCCGGAATTTTTTTTTTTTTTTTTTTTACATGTATAATTGCGCATGTTTCGTGCCCATTTTCTTTTTCTTTGTTAATGGTATTCTCATAAAGAGTTTGGCGTTGTAGGTTCGGTTGGTAATATAAAAATAAAGCGGACTTGAACTGTATGTTACAAAACGCATACATGTATGTCAATATTACAATATTAGATGTACACAGTTTCTGAAAAGGGGGTAGAAAAGAGGATTCTTGGAGATAATTTTAAGAAAACTTTTCTTCTTTATAAGCTTTCTAGTCTCTAGCATTCTTGCATATATCCCAAATCAACAAATTCCATTAAAATTAAAACATCCTGTTCTTGGCCATTTTTCATCTCCCTAAGCACTCACCAACTCCATCTTGACGCCTCTCTTTCCTGTCCTCTCGTCCTTGTCGTCATGGACTCTAACCACAACCTTTTGGAAAAGTTCTACCTTGATGCTCTTCTCTCCCTTCGTCGTCAAAGTATACGTCTCAGCGTCATACTCACTCTCCGGCTCGGGATCAGCCAAATCACGCAGTCTGATCAAGCCCTCGATACCGAATCGCGGCACAAGAACCACGAAACCGTTGCTGAAAATCTTCATCACAAAGGCTTCTTCCTCAGCAACCTTGCCCTTTAGAGCTTGGCCAACGTAATAGGCAATGCTGGCTCGGCCGGCCATCTGGGCGTTGCGGTGACGGACGTTGATGTTCTTGCATACGGCCTCGAGACGGCCTCTGCTGCGGACTGAAGGGTGGACGGCTTCGTAGCCGATGGCGGCGGCAAGTTGTCTATGGGCAAGAAGATCTGCGTATCGACGAATGGGGGAGGTGAAGTGCGTGTAAATCTCGGAAGCGAGACCGTAGTGGCGGAACTCGGGGTACGATTGGGTTCCGGAACAGAAATACTCTGCGCTCATCATGCAGCGGGTAGCCATGATACGAACAAGGGTGTTGAAGAATGGGTCTTTGTCGTCGACGCACTTGTCGAGAGAATCAGCCAGTGCCTTGCTGGAGTCGGTGCGCAGTTCAAGGCCGCGTTTAATACGCAGCTGATCGGCCAGCTCGTCAAAGTTGGTTTTGGGGGGAGCAGCGTGGCGACGTAGAATGGCGGTCTGGGGGAATGCCTCGTAAATCTTGGCGGCAACGCTGACATTGGCGAACAACATGAATTCCTCTACCAAGGAGTTGGTATCGAGCAGTTCCTTGGTCTTGACGTCGATGGGATCCGAAGATTCTGACTCCATGTGGACTTTGATTTCTGGCGAAGACAGACTCAAGGCACCAGCATCCATACGCTTCTTCTTAAGCTTCTTGGACAGCATGAGCAGCATTCGCATGCCCTTTGTGAGGTCATCCTGCTGTGACTCGTCATCGATTCGGAGCTGTGCTTGTTCGTAGCTAAAGGCCTCGCGAGACGCAATAACTGACTTTGTAAAGCGGACGTTAACAATATCGGCATTGTCATTGAGCTCCCAGATGACTGTGAATGCGAAGCGCTCGACATAAGGCTTGAGAGAGCAGAGGTCTGTACCAAGCAGCATGGGAAGCATGTCTATACGCTTATCAACCAGGTACACGGTGGTACCACGGATACTCGCTTCAGTATCCATAGCATTAGCAGGCTTGACAAAGTTCGATACATCGGCAATATGAACGCCGACCTCGTAGTTGCCGTTTGGTAATAGCCTAGCGTGAAGAGCATCGTCGATATCTTGACAGCCAGGCGGATCAATACTGCAGATGAGAAGTTCGCGAAGGTCCTCTCTGTCTCTCCAGCCAGGATCCTCTTTGCTGGCAGGCACCTTCCAATCATGGCCCTCCTTGGGAAGGCAGTCGAGCACCGTTTTTGGAAAAGGTCGGTACTGGACATCCCACTCCAGGAGCAAAGCCTCCGTCTCTGCCGCCTTGGTCTCGAGTTCTCCCAAGGAGCGCACCAGATGCCCGACGGGATGTCTCGAGTCTCTGTCCCAAGAGTCGACAGTGACCAGCAGCCTCTTGCCCAGAAGCTCGGACACTTGACGAGTACGAAGACGAATCTTTGGAATCTTCTTGTCCATGGGAATGAGGAAAACGCTATCGAGCTTCCGGCCTTGTGATGAGCCCTTGTTGGCCGTCGATGGGTCGATGTGGCCGACATACTGCCGCCAGTTACGCTTCACTACTCCCACAACCTTGGCTGTTGGCTGTAGCTGGTTCTCCCCCGACGCCTTCTGGGTCCTCTTTACTTCCTCTTGAAGTGCCTTGCGCTCTTTGTCAGATACAAAGTCTTGGCGCTCTTCCGCATCCGCATTCTCATTCTTCGTAATCGTATCCTCTTCAATGATCTTTGTTGACGGTGACTTCCACTGATCTTGGGGGAGCAACTCCACGACTACCACATCGCCATCAATGGCTCGGTTGATGTTCTCGCGGCCTAGGATAAGTAAAGATTTCGGGAAAGCAGGGACCTTGATAGATCCCTCAAGGTAGTTGTACGGAGACACGTTGAAGATTCCCTGATGCAGCAGCCCGGCCTTGACTCCCGTCATCATCCTTGACGCGGTATAGTACTCTGGGTAAATGGGCTGCTGAGAGGCTTGCTTGAATCCGCCCTGGGCCTGAGACTGTGACTCCGCAATCATATCAAGTAATCTCTCGCCATCTTCCAGTTCGCGGACGTAGTCTCTGAGAGAAGACGCGTGCAGTCCTTGCTCTCTAGCTTTCCTCAAGTTGTCCCGGTCATCACTAAGCATGACAACTGCCGGGATTTTCGCTGCCTTGGTCAATGCCAGATGCTCCCCGTACCACTTAACAGCTTGTCTCACAGCGCGGTCATTTCTGTCATTGACACTCTCGCCGGCTTCACGGTTAACATATGTCTCCTGGCGGAATTCGTTGAAGAAGACGTAAAATCTCTTGTCCTCGCTCTTCGTCAGTCCCACAAGGCGGTTGTAGAGAGGAAATGAGCGGTTCTTGAGCTCTTCCAGAACAGTCTGCAAGATGACAACGTCATAAAATGATGAGCTCTGCTCAAAAAGGTCCATGGCGTTCAGCAACGCGTTTGTATCAGGAACGAGATAGTGGCCCTGGGGAAATGACTTTGTCCCAGCCGGTCTCTCCGACAGGACAAAAGGTAGAGCTATCATGAGCTGTTAGCCTCGCGCCAACCTCATCACAGGTTTGACACCTGATAGATGGATGGAATGAATTGTTTCTCACCTTCATTGGCCGCATTTCTGGGTGCCTGGCTCAAACACGCCCTACACAAGTTCGATGAACATGGGATATCCGTCCTCAGGTAGACCTCCCGAACAATCTTCTGCACTTTTCCACTCCGCGTCGACCTGACATAGACCTTGTTGGAAATGTTCAGCGCAGCCTGGTCTGACCGCTGCGTCCTCTTTAAACTCGTCATGCTGGCTGTCTTTGTGATTTGATTGCTCTTTTTTTGTAGTGTGAAGTTTTTCACACGCGCTCTTGCTCGCTGAAGTCACTGAAAAATGCTGATATAATGGGATAAGGCACTTTGGAAGTTCAATGTGGGGTCGAGTGCCTTATCGATATGCGAAACACAGAACAGCGCCAATTGGAGACACTTTTATACACAAGTAACTCCTCCAACAGATAATATCAAGTCTGCAGAATTTGCATCTCTAAATTTTTCTTTGCTTCCTTGCAACATATCCAAAATTTGACATGACATACCCAGAATCATTTGCAAAAGATAATGCTCACGTGACACATCACGTGAGCTTTCCCCTGGCTCTCCGGAGTGGGTGAGCATCAGAGCGCCTTTGTGCAAAAGATTACTTTTCCAAGTAAAATAAAACCGTCAGCAAGAGTCTTGGATATTTGCCAAAAGTCAAACTCTGTTATTTCATTTATACCACAAAATGCTATATTTGCACTCACTCCTATATCTACTTCCGCTTCGTGAAAGTGAATTGCGAAGCCAGCCATCATGACCTGAGAAATCTCATATGCAGACCCTCTCCGTGAGCGCCACCCTTCGCAATGTCGCAAGTACATCAATCTAACAAATCTTTGACAGACACACTAGCTACCTCCCACCATGGAGAAGGAATCCAAGAGAATTGGGGAACCAAAGGAAAAGCCAGGCAGTCGTTACAAAAATGCAACTTCACTCTGTAACATTACCACTCCGAGTCACTTGCCACCCGCCCTTCGCCAAGCCCACCCAAAAGGAAAAAGGTGCACAAAAACCAGAAGAGGGAGGAAACAAAAGTTGAAAGGAGGATCCTGAAATGCTACCTGAAGCGGACAACTTTGGTACCGATATTACCAGCCGTGTGCAATCACCGAACAGTGAACGTACCCTGTCGCAGGATGATGAGCCCCCTTTTTTTGGCCACTTCGCCAATAAGCATGAGGCTGTATCGCCACCGAGCAGCATGTTCCCTCGGAGAACTGGCCTCTCTTTGATCTAGACCATCATTTTGTATGACTCTGGGTTCCCCCAAGGCGCGCTCCTGATCCCGCCCGATGTTGAGAAAGTGGGCTCCGGGTGGGCTCCTCTCTCTCTCTCTCCATTTTCGTGAGACATGATATTTGTCAACCGCTCCGAAAGGGCATACGAGGCTATAACCACACCGTCACCGTGGTTTGCGGGAACACGGAGGCTCTTTCACTTCGTGGGGTCCGGCGCTCGGCTCTACTACTTGGCGACCCCTTTCTTGGCGAGTCTTACACATGCTCTTGTATCATTATCCGTATTCACTCTCGTTTAGCCGATTCTATTCACACATCTGCGCCGTTCATTGGGTCTTGAGGGTGCTCAGCGTCCAGCTATTGCTTTCAGTGTAGCACCCAGGCTCGCAGGAATGATGCGCCATGTTCCCAACAGAAAGGGAGTGGGTGCCGAATTATCGGGTCTGTGTCTTGTTCCCACCCCATTCCTCGATAACCTGACGAGAAGCTGGTGTATCGGATGCAAAAACGCCTCTCAGACCTT